TTTTAGGACAAAATAACAAACCAAAAACGATTTATATTTTGGAACAAAGAGAGTATTTTTTAGTATAATCAGGAGGTGTGATCTATTCGAGCAGTAGAAAGTAAAAGGTTTTTACCGTTTCAGCAAAATATACTTCCTGAAGATCAAACTTTTATTACCACCCTCACAGCTATTGAGTTAACATATATACTACGTCAACCAAAACCTTCTTGGCCTTGATTACTAATTATTAATCCAATACCTATAGACTCCAATTGTCCTAGATACAATTAATTAGATTTTCCATTAAAAAACCATGCAAGAAGAAAGATAGCTACACAGTGCAGTAGCATCATGTTAGGAGAGCATCACTTCACCACCAAATAAGGAAAATTTCGTTATCTATGCTAAACTGCTTGATGGATCTAAAGCAAGATATAAAACATTATGATGTAATAACTACAAAGGTTGAATTAATTATATACCCTTCAAAAAAGGTTGACTTATATATACATATTGTATATCTCCACGAAATTGATCTCGTTTCAAGATTTATGGTGTCCCTCTCTATAGAGATTGCCTGAAAAACTAAAGGGTCTTACCATTTTAGTTGCTCTTTGTATATAAGATTGACTCATTTGTGATGAAATAGATCTATTTTATATCTTATTCGCTGAGATTTATATATATTTTTCATATATAGATTAGCTAAGGTTTGAAAGATCAACTTAAATAACACATCTGCTACTGAAAGCAATCTCTTTAACATCTTAATCCATACTCAGATGATGAAAATCCCTAAACTATAAATGAAAACTTTTACTCATTTACGAATTTTTCAGTCTTGGCATGGATAGTTAACCTCCTATTGAGTGGACAAATCTAGTTTTCTCTGCCATGTTTTCTACTATTTGCGACCAGCTTTTTATCATTTGTATAAAGTCCAAAATAACCCCGAACCCTTCAAACAACAAAATAAACTGAGGACATTTTGAACAAAGCGGGAGGAAAGTTTCCTCTAACAATGAGACAATGACATAGGACATGTGTGGTATTGTAGGTTAAGTGAAGGGCAATTTGGGTAAATAAAAAATTACATGTAACACATTTCCTCTTTTGATTGATGTTGTGTTCATGCATATGAATTCGCTATTAGGCGCATCCAAATTTATTTTTGAATTGTACGGAATGCAATGCACGTCTTTCTGAGCCCAAATAGGATAAAGGGTTTGGCCAACCATCTTTAAAGATCAAAATTTATTATTTTCCTTTTTTTTTCTTTATTTTTTAGGCTTGATGGATTTGAACCACTTGCACAATCTATGGCAGTGTTAGAAACCAATTTATGAAGCAAAGTATTACCAGTAGTTCATGATTATAAGTAGAGCATAAATACAAAAAATTTTGGACTACATTAAAAAAATTAATTAATTAGCGGCATAATTTTACAAGTACTCAAAAGAAATTTTTGAGGCTAACGAAGGAACCCATCTGAGTTTTTTTTTTTTTTTTTTTTGAGTTATGGTTACTCTTGGCTCAATTTCTTTTTGCCATTGGGTACAATATAAAAAAAAAAGATTTTATTCTTTTATACTTATGATCATAAACATTTTTAAACTAATTTATGCATTATTAAAATTAATTTTTGTATAATTTTAATAGTATTTGTTATTTTTTATTCAAATAATTTACGTAAAATAAATTCCTTTTTCATGGGTTTTCCTCGTATAATAGTACGTTATATTGATAGAATTTGATGTTAAGAATTGTTACGGAAATTTCAATCCATTTAGTATTGGAACATTTGATAAGAAACAATTTAATCAATATTAAAGAAATGATAAATTTAGTACAAATTCCTCTATTCCTCGTAAAATCAAAGGAAGAAAATTAGAACCCTATTCTCAAATTTATATCTATCCACGATGGAAGATGTGGTTATGGTGGAGGAAAGGAGTTTGCTATTTATAGCATCAAATTTGGCTTTGTTCAAAGAGGGTGGATCCTCAATTCGAGGGGGAGAGAGAGAGAGAGAGGTGTGGGGCAATATCGGCCTTTTGAGTCACACACAAATGAACAACAAAGTCCCAACTGGAATTTTTGATGTGGGTCCATAATTTTAACTTTGTTCCGATTAAAGTTCCTAAATATAGTAAATATTGATATGGTGGAGGGAGCTCTTTTCTAGGATTTCTGTTTCATCTGTCAACCACATTAAATGGAAGTTTTCTAGTACTTTTATTTCTCACTACATCTCTTTTGCCTTTGGCTTCACCATCATAATAATTATTAAATGTTTTCATTTAACTAATAAAGTTTCCGCCTTTACTCCGTACTCATGCTGAAGATAGTATTTAGATAAAGCTCTTTTAACGATGGTGATTTCGAACTTTAAATTCTTAATCATGTAGATAAAAATTTAACGAAAAGTGCAATTTACTTTTACTAATCCGACCGCTCTTTAATTTTTTTCTTTTGTTTTTTAATATTAGAGGGAAAAAAAATCAACTATTTTACGCTATTATTAGAGTAAAAAAGTATGTGATAACACTGTAGATTTAATTTTAAATTGACATTTTGAAAATTTCAAACTTGGAGAAAATAAAATATTACCATAAGGAAAACATTTTCAAGTCATTACTCAATAGGATGCAACACTAATTAGATTTAAACATTGAAATTGACTCCTAAATAATCTTATTTTTATCTAAAATAGACTGACCTAAATCATAGTATAAAGTAGATGTTGACAGAGATATTATAAAACCTTGACTGACATGTATAAATGTATGAAACCCAACCAGTTATGGAGCATTCAAGTTAGGGTTTTGGGGATTTTGATTCAGCTATTTCATCCAACTGATGATATGCTATGCAAATAAATTTCATAAAAACAATATATTTTGTTTCATAAAAGCAGATTAAGTATATTTTCAGATAACAATAACATAAAGATTAGGAGCTCTTTATTTCCTAAAATAGAGATACAAACTTGTGAGGCAAAGAATAATCTTTCTTTTCTTCTCTCTCTATGCTCTTTATGAAATTAACAAGTGTAATTACATTTGAAAATATGAATTTCTCTCTTTTATCTCTTTCTTACAAGACCCTCTCACTTAACCTTTTTCTGTAGATTTAGATTAAAACTAGAGTAATTTGACAGTCAAACTATATTTCTTACTTTCAATATACCAATGTTTCACCGACCAAACTAAAGACACGCTGTTTAATTCCCATTAAATGCATCTATAAGAAGGGGTGAGGAGCCTTAACTGTGATTAAGTCCCGAGCTGAATTAAACAATCCTCAATAATAGAGTCCGAATACCGGTGATTTACACCGGAAAAAAAAAAAAAAAAAAAAAATTTAAAAAAATTGTATTACCTATGTTCCATAATACTTGTCATATTTAGAATTACAAGTCTCTTAAAAAAATAATTAAATTGTTTGAGTTACAATAAATTATTGAGTATGACTATATTACCCTTAATTTAATACTATTTTTTAAGAAAATCCTTAAATTGAAGTAATAATTATTGGTCATACATAAGAGGATAAATTTAGAAAGAAATGTTTATTATTCTTTAAAATTATAAATGTGAGAAGTATTTTAAAACAAACTATTTTGTCAAATTTGAAAAATATTACGAAAAAAGAGATATTATGAAATTTTATTTAAGTCTGTATGATGTTTAATGCCGATTTGTAAAAAATAAATAAATATTCCGAGTGTGGAAAAGTCTTGATTATTTTCCACCGACTATTGGGACAGTGACACCTAACCCTCATTAGAAATTTAAAATTCTACGAACAACACGACTGGGGAACAGAACAAGAATTGGTCTGAATTTCTGTTACATGTGAAGCAGCTTTTATGGAGGAGTCAGTTTCAAACTGGCCCTTCAAATCCTAACTGGGGCATGAAGCCCAATACCCATTGTGATTTGCAGTCTACTGAAGGGCCCTTTTTTTATTTTTTTAATTTTTAGTCATGAACAATTACACTTTCAGTGAAATTATGGAGAAATCTCACTTTATTTGTGAGATAGAGTGAGAGGTCGTCTCCTCTATAAAACTTTTGACTTATAAACCAAATCAAATACTAGAGCAGTAAATTAGACAACTCATTAATGAACAGCTCAAAACTCGACTCAATAAAAGTTCGTTCGATAAGTTTATGAAGCCAAGCAATGAAGTTAGCTCAAAAGCTAATTTTATTGAGTCAAGTCGAATTCACGAGCTAGTTTAATATGTTAAAATCAATTAAAATCTGCATTAAAATGAGTAAGTTTGATTTAATAGATTTCGAGTTGAAATTCAAAGTATGGTTATCGAGCCGAACTGAGCTCGAGCTTAGCTATTTTTAAACGAGTTGATCTCAAATTCAGACTTCTGAAGTCGAGATTGGTTCGTTTATGGTTATCGAGTCGAGCCGAGCTCAAGGTCATTAAAGCTCCGCTCAGCTCGTTTATATATTTTACCAAATATTATTCTACTTTTTAACATTTAATCAACCTCTTAATCCCATCAATTATCATTATTGAAGAAATAGTCTTCTTACGAAAGGAAAGCAATCATAGAATAATAAATGCAAACTAATCTTAGAGGTTAGTACGAAAAGTAGAAGGAAGTCAATAAAGTGTTAGTAACCTACCACTTCCACTTCCACTTCCTCTCCATTTTTCATGGCCAAAATGTGATCTACCAAAGGACACCTATAATTATTGGTTTCCCATCTTGCATGAGATAAATCACACATGCTTAATTCAGATATTTTAACAATTAATTAAGATTGTAACAACAAATACAAAACCAAGTACACCTAACATGGGCATACTTCCATCAAATTCAACCAACTTAATCTGGCAAAAACAGAACTAAGATAGTTCACTGTTTAAAACTATAAACAAACACCCATTTCATTCAGCACAAATTTCTCAGGTTTTAAGCTTGTATTACTTAAAAAGGAAAGAAAATTAAAATATCGAAATGGTCAGAAAGGAAAGGAATTTCTCACACCATGCTAAAGAACACAGTTCTAACATTAGCATCATAAACTTCTACCAAAAGCATATTAAGTTCAATTCTTCAGAGGGCACTATGGTCAGCTAGCTTTTTCTGCAACTACATCAACAGCCTTCTGCCTAGTGACCAATCTTTAACAAATGGAGGCACGAGTTACTACTCATGTCCAAGCAAATCAAATTTGGTACGAATGTACTCAAAATGTAATGAAACTATGGATTCAGTACAACAAAACAGAATTCATGGTCATCCACATTTGTTTAAATATTAAACTACATCCTCTTCTTCACATCAACAACAATTAGTCGGAACTTGATTCTCTTTACAGACGCTCAGTTTGTCGCTCATCTATCATGGTTAGATAACTTCTTACAATTTTTTGATCCTGACAATGAAGCTCCTTAACACTCGAATAAATTGGTGATCCTCTTGCATTTTTCCTAATTCTGGATAAGCGGCAGTTGAGCTTGAGGTTCCTCTCTCAATGGCGTATTAATATCCATTGATGCAAGGCCTTCTAACTCTTGGATTGCTGCAACTGCACCAGCTGCTGTTTCGCTGGTTAACTGAGGCTTTAGCACCCCAACAGCTTGCTTCACTTTTGATTGCTGCAAGTTAAATTTTTAAATAAGTCTGGGTCTTCCAAAAAACACACCATGCAACCTTTTACAAAATGAAATGAAAGTATTGACTTACAAAAAATTCAAATTTCCTCTTAAGATCTCCATATGCTTCTGCTTGTGGTTGAGAAGCTTCCGATAATGCCCATGACACTTTTACATTCTTAATTGCAAAATGGCAAGCACAAAAAAGGATTAATTTAATATGAGTACACCAACAGTATATAACAACATAGTTAAAGTTGAAACTTATAAGTCCATTCAGTTACTAGCAGTTTAACAACACCTAATGATACATAATCACTAGAAAAGGATTAATAACTACCATTCGGACTAGGAATCACCAAAAAACAAGAACTTATTTCCTTTCAGCGAGGAAATTTCATAATGCAACACTAAATTTTATCTCCATCTTAATCAATTTGCTTTCCTTGAGTTTACAAATTCTAGGATTATACATCTGATTTTCTGGCATTTTTTTTATTATTGATAATCCTCATCAGTCAAAATAATGGAAAATCACATTCTTAGTTATTGTCTGGTTTTTTTCATTTTTTTTTAAGTAATAAATATCCATTGAAACTTAAGTACATAAAAAATTAAAGACAATTATCTAGAAATAATCTAGATTCATGTCCCACAGAAAAAAAGGACAATATTTATAAATAATAGTGACCTAGAGGAACCAACCCACTTGATTTCTTGTAATAAAATAGATAAAGATCCAATTTTTCCCACTTTGTAGAAACCATTTCTATAGTCAATTCTATTCATTAAATTTACTGCATAGGTTTTTACCATTCATATTGTTGTTTATGTTAATCAAATATTTATTGCATAGGTTTTTATCAGGCAAATACTGTGCAATGGTCAAGTGACCACCTCATATTATAAGAGGTGAAAGGTAAACCTCAAAGGCCAAATTTTTAGATGCATCTTACCAATACAAACACACAGATATGGTATTTTTCAATTATTCATATCAATTACTACTTACTTATTAGGAAATGAATGCCTCTATCTAAGACTAACAAGGAAACAAAACTCTATCAAGCAAAAATTTTGCTTACGTCTAACTGTAAAGGAAAGAAAAGATCAGCACTAACCTCCTTCCTAGGTCGTCCAGCAGGCCTTCCAGGCCTCTTCTTCGGGTTAACGATTCCACCAACTTTAGGCGGCCGGCCTGGCCGCCTTGCAGGAACCACCACACCCCCGGCAGGAGCGGTTAACACCCCACCCTTCTTTGGACGGCCTCTAGGCCTTGGTACATTGAGAACAGCAGCAGTACCCGTAGCGTAAGGAACGACAACTGATTTAGGAAGTCGTTTAGGACCTTTCTTAACACCATTAGCAGCCACAGACTTAGGTTTCTTAGGTCTTCCTGGACTCTTCTTAGCTCCAATTGATATACTCTTCGGCGGCCTTCCTCTCCGCTTTCCAATCACCCCCACTGGCGCCCCACCACCGCCAACACTTTGTCCTACCACTTTCTTAGGACGCCCCGGTCCTCTCTTAGCCATCGCCACCTGCTGCTGTTGAGCAACAGCTGGAGCTGCAGCAGGTGGCGCCGATGCGGCCACATTTGCCGGATTAGTAGTAGTCGGAATAGGAACAAAATTAGTAGTAGGGGCAACATTGGAATGAGTGGTAAAAGAAAGCCCTACAGGAACCATAATAGGCTGACTATTAGTATTAGAATTAGCATTTACAGTACCATTACTATTGGGCTGCTGATTGGGCTGGACAGAACCAAGTGGCTGAGAATTAGATTTGGGCTTAGGAGGCCTTCCACGGCCCCGTTTAGGCCCAGACAGAGGAGAGGCAGAGACGGCTGGATGAGGAGGAGGCTGAGATTGAGTAGGAACACTAGTATTGTTGCTGTTATCATTGGTGGAATCAGATCTAGCGCCAGGAAGCTTGTAAGATTTCTTAACCATGACGAGGAGACCAGTACTCTTCAACCGCTTCAGATGGTGAGTCAACAAAGCTGGGTGAGTCGGTGGAAGACCCGTAAACGCTTTTTCTATGTACTTGGAAATTGCTCTTTTGCTTGACCCGTCTCGTTCCTTTAAAGCTGTAATCGCTGCATAGATCATCTGCAAATCTAACAGAAAAACATTACAAACTAGACAAATCTAGGAAAAATTCGACCTTTAATTAAGAATTTTCTTTTTTTACTTCACTCACATCAGTATAAGTTGGATGGTTGGAAGACTGAGTGGCCGTCGGAGTAGGGTTTGCTGCATGTGCTATGTGGTTGTTGTTGGTGGTGGTGTTGTTTGCTTCAGCCGTGATTGCAGTAGCTGGAGTTAAGATTGATGCTGTTGTTGTTAAGGTTGATGCGTCGGTAGGAAAGGAGACAGGGACAGTTGCGGCGGTTATTGTGGCGGTGGGGAGCGGAGGGAACGGTGGTTGAGGTGGGAGTGGGTCCATGATGTAAGAGATGAGCGGTGTTTTTTTTTTTTTTTTTTTTCCCCTGTTTGTTTTCTTTTTTTTTTTCTTTTCTTCTATCTGGACAGGAAAAATTGTTCTTCTAGAGAGAGAAAAGTCTAAGCTGTATTTCTTTTTGAGATGAAAGAGAGAGTAGGTAAGTGGTATTGTAAATGGGAAGGAGTGAAAGGATAAAATCGTCTTTTGAGGTGAATTATAATGTGGACCATTTTCTGTCTTTTTATTCCTTTAAATTATTGTTAATTAAGGCCAATATTGATAAGGAGGCAAGCCAAAGGACGGTCACGGCGCTTCTTCTTTCATTTATTACGTTGAAGCAATCTGGATCTGACTGCTGCAAACGGCGGAGATGGATTTCCGGCGGAGTCACGAGGAAGTAACAAAAGTGCTGGTGGAGTACAGGCTGGCGATTTAATTACAGTCGGACCCAATTTGACAAAGGTAATGGATGCTCCAATTTGTATTTTTATTTATTATGACGTAATTGCCCATCTGAGATGCTTGCAATTTCAAAATGCCATTCACCCATTCGCTAGAGAGGGTATTTAAACCTGAATTCTAAATATAATAATTTCAGGTATTGTTACCTTTATTTAATATTTCATTTTTTTAAAAAATAATTCAAGGGAAACTCTTATCTTTTGAGTAAAAAGCAACAAGACGCTGATCTTATGATTAATGAATTTACGGCCGTCGGATGCCTTGAGGTATCTGAGATCTGATTGGTTGAAATAGATAAGATCGATAAGACATGTGACTTATCCGTAGGGATTAGCTATTTGCTGCCCGTCAGATCTGGTACCCGACCCGTGATCGGAACACCCATCACATCTAGTACCGACCATGATCCGGCCACCTGACAACTTTATTTTTTCCGTTACTTACTATACTATTTAATAATATTTTGTCAAAGTATATTATCTATATAAATATATGTAAATTATAAGGCCGAAATGTTGTATGGCAACATTTTAAAATATCACTTAAGCGATGACATGTTATATTATTTTTATTATAATTAATATTTTTTATATTTAATTAAAAATTAAATGTCCTTTATTAAAGAATGGAGTTACAATCTAAACTAATAAGATTTCATTATACTTAATATATAATAAATATAAATTTTTTTATTAAATAGTTTTTATTTTTTAAAAAAAATAATGGAATGATAATAGTCATAATAAATAAAAATTAATTACATAATATAATTAGATTAACAAATATAATTAAAGTATAAATTTCAATTCACTAAAATTTATTTCATTAAAATTAAATATTCATATACTTCGTTTAATTTGATTATATGAAAATTTCAAAGAGAACAAATAATTAACTAAATATAACAATTGAACAACAATAATTTGCTTACAATAATTAACTGTGCCAATTAATATTTTTAGTTCAATATTTAAGAATTTAAAAAAGAATTTTAATCAAAAGTATATAAACAAATTATTTAAATTAAAGCAATGCAAATATAAATTAAAATAATTTTTTTGAAAATTATATTTAATTTAATTAAAAACAGAGAATTATACAATTCACACATCGCGCGGGTACATGACTAATTAATTATAAATTTATAAGTTCTAATAGAGTTACTTACCGAAAAATTACGTTGAACTTAATCATATATTTGGGAAAAGGAGAAAATAAAATAAAGGTAAAAATTAATAAATGTGTAAACTGATACTATTCACTTTCCTTTTGGAACGGAGTAAAGATTAGATTGGTCCTTCATATTTTCACCCAAATCAAATAAGGTATTTTGAAAATTTCCGAACATTTTTATCTTCTATTTACATTGACTATTTTTAAACCTGCAAAAAAAAAAAAAAAAAAAAAAAAAAAACATAAATACATAGGAATATGATATATTTCATATTAGTCCTGCAATTTCTTTCAATTTTCAATTTTTTATTTTACATTTTTAATGTACAAAAATAATTTTATTTTTCAATAAAAGTTATACTTAATTCATCCAAAAATAAAAATATTTTACTAGTTTGACTCTTAACTTAAAATTGAAAATGATTAAAATAATTGAGAATCAATTGAAGTGAATTTTTTTTTCATTTATAAATTAAAACGCATTTATGGCAGATGCATGTTCACATAAATAAATCTATTCGGAATATATATATATATAATATGTTGAGTTTTAAAATTCATAAACTAAAAGTCTAATAATTTTTCTTGAAAATTTTGATTATATAATATTAATTAACACATCACTATTAAGCTATTAATCAATGATAAATAATTTTTATACATAAAAAATCAAAATTATTGACAAGGAAACAAATTATTGGACTATTGATATTTATCATTAATTTAATGACACTTAAGAATTTTGTATTTATCATGCAATAGATATGTGGCTATATTGTCTGATAAATTGTTCATGAAAAAGTCATTGGCACTAATCTTCTTTCAATTTAAAAATTAAAAAAAAAAAAAAGAAGAAAGAGAGAGAAAATAATATTATTGAATAATTTTTAAAAAAACACATATTTATATTATTTAAAATAGTGTTTGACAACTGTTTAAAGGAAGAATATTTAAACAACTTGGTGGTTCTGATTACCCTAATTACAATAAAAATAGTGGTCAAATGCAATTCATTGCATTTGACTTGCTCATTCCTATAAATTTAATATATCAAAGTTGGATTTAGAGTTAGATCTTTAGATAAGCATCAGATGCTTATGTGTAATCAAACCATTGCTTTGCCTTTGCTTTTTTTTCTTTTTTATTTTTGGGCCATAGTAAAAAATAAAAATATATAAGATTGTCAAAATTTTGAACACTTCTTTGTATATTCTTATACTAACATGAACATGAAATGTTTAATCCAATTGCTTACAAAAGGATTCATATTTAAATGCAAGCATTTAATTTAGTTTTTAATGTTGAAAGCCATTTCTTTTCTTTCTTTTTTTTTTTTTTTCTGTTTTTTCCCCTTTTGTAAAAAACCATGCATTACCAAAAAAAAGTTGTACACATTAAAACTCATCAACTGTTGAGGTGCCACAAAATTATCTCATTTCAAAAGCTTCATAGTATGGTTTTTCCTATGTTAATTTATTTTGTTTTTTTTTTTTTTTTTATTAAGTTTGAAAGTTGAGTCATAGGTATATATTAAATATGTCTAACATTCAATTTCACTTCAAACTTTTCAAATGTTTACAATTTTGCTCTAAATCGACTCTTATATCATTGGCACTCTAAACTTATCGAACTAGTTATAATTAAAGCCTAATTTATTTTTAGAGTGCAATTGCACTCTAAAATTGAATTATAACCCCCTGAACTATTATTAGAATATTAAATAAGAATTATTTAAAGAATAAATCTACTTATATCAAAAAATTAATCTTATTATATATTATATAATGTATATATTAAATATGATGAAAATATAATATATTTAGTGACTTTAATTTTATAGGTTGAGAAAATAAAGATAATTTGTTTAATTGATTATATTAATTTCCTATTTAAACTCGAATTCTATTGGTTAAACTAACAATTTATATTATATACTAAATAGGATATATATTAAATATGTAAATGATATAAGGATGTCAGTTTTATTGATCGAGAAAATAAAGGTAATTTAATTTTGATTGGTTATATTATACTATATAAAATATATTAAATATGGTAAGGATATAATATTATTTAATTATTATTTTTAAAAAATTTTAATTTGATTGGTTATAATTATTTTCTATAATTAATTTATAATTTAATTTTGATTGGACAAATTAATTTTCTATTTTAAATCTAAATTTATTAGATGAAATAATAAATTATATTATATGCTATAGTACTCCAAATCCGATACACAATCCGGTACAAGTTACAATCAATCTTTCCCTTGAGCCCATTGTCCAAAGATTTAAGGTTGGGCTCAATTTCGGCCCAATATAAGATGAACCCTAGGAAAGAACTTCGCTATAAAGCTTAGCTTTATAAGTTGAACGAGCCGAGTCTTTGAAATTTTTATATTCTTTCTAATCCCAAACTCGATCCGTCAACATTTGCGCTTAGTGAAATAGATTTTTCTTTTTTTTTTTATTCACTAGAAAATTTAAATTTTCAAAATAACAATGCAGACTAGATAATGAGAAATAATTATTTTTTTACTTATTAAATTGATGAAGATTTTTATTATCGAGAGAATTTGAATTCGAAATTTTTCACTCGTTATAATAAAAAAAACAATCAGATCCCACATGATTTACTGAAATATCCTTTTAAATGTGCTACCGATAAAAATGTATACTAGTTTAAAATTACATAACATTATGTGAAAAATAGCAGAAGTCACCGCTTTTTGTTTTATTTTATTTTCATTTTTCTAGATTTAAAGCCACTTTCAAACTAAAGTTGAAACACTGAAGTGTCATTTGAAAAAATGGGTGGGTGTGACTGTGAGCTGCACGCTCCCACCTTATTCTGGTGCTTTGTATTTCATATTTGGTCCCTCTTCCTCTTGAATTTCGATACATTGCTTTCCTTCAGATGCGAGGACGAGGAGTTATCAATGCTCATGGAATTTCGATTGCATCCAAATAAAAATAGTTTTCTATTATTTTAATTTTATTCAATTAAAATAATGCTTTTATTCAAATAAAATATTTTCATATTCAAATAAAAAAATTAAAACAACTTGCCCTGTCAATTTTCATCGATATAATTTTAACATAGCAAGTCTGCAACGTTAGAAACTTGCAATTTTTCTTTGATATTTAGGGATGGAGGATGATATCTTTGGGATATCCGATTCATGCTAACCAGTTTATTGGGCTCTGATAGTTAATACATAAACGGATAATAAAATTACTGTTCGCAGTGAATTCAAAGAGGGTATGTAAAAGGTTAAAAAAAAAAAAGAGATATGTGGATTTCTAATGTCCGTTATTTATTGATTGAATACATAAATTTACTCTTAACTTTCCTGACTTTAATTCTGTGTTAGGTTAAATTTTGTGAATAACTTATAATGCACTTGTAAGTTTTTTTTTTTTTTTGAGAAGTATGCACTTGTAAGTTTTGATAATATTATCTATCTGTAAAATATCAACTTGATATATAATTAGCATCAGTTTTGGAACAATAATTTACATAAATTTCAACTTTTTAATAAATATTTAATTGATCTAATTTTGCAAGTTGAAGTATTCGATAAAATAAATTAAAAAATGAAATATTTAATATGTATAATTTTATAAATTGAAGTCTTTGATAATCAAAGTAAAAGTTGAGAGTGCCGAAAGATTAAAGCAATAGAGTTATAATTTATGTATTTAGCCATTATCCATTCTATTGAAGTCACTTACTATCCATGTGTATATATATTTGTTTAATATATTGTTTGTTACAATTAATTAAATACTTAAAGTTATTTTTTATGGGATAAAATAATCAAAAAATAATAGCAATAATTTGCGTTGAACTAAAACATTAATCTCAAAATAAAATATGATCTAACCACTAGAGAAATCTTTCACATACAAGAACATACTTATAATATCTTGGCAAAATGTACAAAAATTGAGTTCTTAATATAACAATTCAATAATGTTGTTATAGTCTATAAAAAAAAAAAAAAATTTAAGAGTTTCCCCTTCAAATAAAAAAAAAAAAATAGAAAAGAAAAACAGCAAGTGAAAGGAACAAAATGCATTTCAGGTACTTTTCTATGCAATCTCACATCAAGGCCAAAAATGCCACACCACCTCTACATTTTCCCACACAAACACTGGAACACAGCGAGACAGAAACGACAAAGAAAAAAAAATTACAGGAAGAGGACTCATTTACAGGCTGTAAAGGAAAGGAGAGAAGAAGAAATGAAAAATGGGGAGAAGATAAGATCCAGAGAGAGTCCCCACCAACCTAGAATACAGAAACTGCCATAAAATTGCAAGAATCAATGGACTTATTATTTTCTTTCTTATTCTAAATCTTAACTCACACTTCCTTCAAACACGTCCTAGCACTAGCAGTCAAAAACAGTTGTTGAAAATCAGACAAAACTCCGCCTTAGAAGCCTACTTTAATCGAAATCACTTTCTACTGCAGAGCAGCCTGGCCTAGTAACTAGCAACTTTCACTTTTACCATACCACCTCTTTTTAGGTTACTACAGTCTACAGATACAATTGACCCCCTTTTTTATATTTCGGTAAGCAAAAAAAAATAAAAAAAATCCCAAAAATGATGAGAATGTTGAGACCAGAAATCTCACTAGGTAATATATCCAATACAGTAGGACAAGCATAGGGAAGGATCACCAAAGGTTAAATTTCCAATCAAAACCTACAAAATTACAAATGAACACAGAATTGATTACCATAAAACTCAAAGCTTAAAACAGAAATTCTATTAAATAACTTAAAAAAAAGTAACCTGAAAATCCACAAAATCTACCACCTTCAGAGGAAGGTTACACATCATACCAGAACTAGCATGTGCTGGTAAACATAGAAAGCAAACAAGCTCCATTACTTTCTGCATCTCGTTCACTGACTTGATAAAAGGCAAATATAAAGCTAAACAGAATTGCAGATAAATCACTTTTTGCTCACAACATGCAATCAGTTCTTGCTGGCAACCGTCTGAAGAAATTGAGCGGGACTGATGGGAGCTTGTGGCGAAACCTGGGATGTCTCAACACATAAAAACCAGTAAGAAGTGCAACAACTTGGAAAGGAGTAACATAAAGAACAATGGCAGCCACCAAACAGAAAATAACAAACAGTGCTGTGGCTCTCGGGTCTCGCCAGCTCAGCAAAGATTGCAGCCTTTCCCCTTGAGTGGCTAAATCTCCAACCACAGTCTGGATTCTGCCAGCAATACTTCTCAACCGATCATACCTCATCCTCACAATATCAGAAGGCCTCGAAGTTGGGAATGTATCAAATTCCTCATCCAGTTCATCAGGATGTGCAGACTCTGCATGTGATAAACGAGTGTCCATGTGTGGAGGATGCCTTGGCCTCCATCTATAATACCAAACGCCAATCAGGAAGAGATACAGGAAGACTGTAGGTAAGATAAGCTCCGGGTAGAGCACAAGTATGATGAATAGTATGTGAATCAGCACTGTAGTGATGGGGTTTCTCCAATTACATATCTGATCAAACCATTTGCCAACTGCAATTAACCCACTCAGAACCCCCATGATTCTGAAAAAGTTTGCTTTGCTTCTTCTCATGCTCCACATGTGAGACCCCACATCTAACATGTATTCAACAACCTCCTTCCTCAGAGGTGGCTCTGCACGGCTTAGCCTCATTGATACAATCTGAGTGGCCTGGTGCCTCAGACTGTCAAGCTGGCTAACTGTAAGTGGATGAAGGTAGTGCATCTTGGGAAGCAAGGGTTGTGAGTACATGTGCATCATATTGAGCAATGATGAGCATGTAAAACGAACTGCCAAATGAATCTCTCCCATCTTCTTGACACCATTAGGATGCAAAACCAGGAGCGGATAAGAGTGCGTGTACACCCGATCAGTTTCAAGTGTTGAAAGGCGGATTCGAACCTTCCCAATTCTAGCATCTTTTGCTGCTGCAGACTTCTCCCCTCCATGCAAATGACAATTATCAAAAACCCCAATGGTTATGACGGTACAAGGATCAAAAACCTCCCAAGTATATTGCTCATTCCATTTGGGTATGAAACTGTCAATAATGGTCCGTGTACGAACCCATTTCTGCCCGTACTTGGCTACACAGTAAGCATCAGTTGTACCACGACCATCCTTTGTCTTCATAGGCATCAATCCCTGAGCATTGAGAATACCTACCTCAAGAACCCCTATACTCGGCTTCCACAGCTGTTTGGCTGTAGGTCGAAGATCGCTACTATAGTGTGTTGATTCGTCCAGAACATGATAACCACCCTCCAGACAAATTCTCATGTGAATTCTGCTGGCAAACTTAGTTTCCTTCTTCTTTTCCCCTTCTACAATAACATGCTTCTCCAGATTAAACCATCTGGTATTAACAGGTCGGTGGTCAAGCCTCCTGTCCACATATTGCAAAGGAATCGCACATTTCCCCAATACTTCATCCTTGTTAGGTGCAACTCTATCTTCCACGCTCAAGATCAAAGGCTCCTCAAATGGTTCTGCTGCCACAAACATAAGGTCCTCATTCCACATAGGATTAATAGTCTTGCTAGGAGAAATTCTTGTTCTCAAGGCTTGGTTACCCAGGATAGCTTTCACAAACACTTCTGGATACCGACCTTTATCAGTTGGTTGCAAATCTTGAGCTTCAATGACATTAACCCTCAAATACCAGAGTTTAGGGGAGAGATATACCTTGGACCGAATATTGGCAAGACTATCCATTCCACTGACAGAAGCTGCATCAGAATGCCAGGCTTCTGGAAAAGCTTCATCTGCCTGTGTACCCATCCATACTGCTAACATCAATTCCCCCTTAAGTTTATCTCCTTTTCTATCCTCCAATCTATACCATTGTGGTGCTAACGGACTGTCCGGTGGCACACGTTTTGGTACCTCATTCAAATCAAATAAAACACGCCCAATGAAATCATCCTTCACAACATCCTTATCCTTGACAGTTACCTCCAGTACGGAGGCCTGAATTCGATCCTTCGAGAATGCAAACACCTGATTCCACTCTGGGTTCGTCTTCTTCTCAAAATGCCGAGTGGTACCCTTATAGTTTCCAAGCCTAACTTCCACATAAGGGTCACAACTACCTGTAACATCTTTCGCAGGCAAGTCCTTGGCCTTAACAACCCGGACATAGAGATACTGCATTTGCTCAACGAGGTCATAGGTGGTAGTAAGCTTGTCACCAGTAACCTTTCCTCCTCCAAGATGAGGATTGGTCTCCTTCAACACATATTCCTCTGGAGGAGGCCTCTGCATCTGCATCTTGTAGGCTCAAAATGAGACAAGACTGTTCAAATCCCAAGAGTAATTTGACGCTGAAGTTGGACAGTTCGGTGTTTCAATGATCCAGCAACCAAACTGACTTTTATAATTCAAAGGATTTCAAATAGACCCTGAAATGAAGGAATTAGAAATTCCAATTAGCCGTTACAAAATGACACGCGAAGTAACCTAAACTCTTGGGGAAGCTGAAAAATAGGAAAGCAATCTAAAAATATTCAAAGTAGCAAAACTAACTTTTAACGGATAAAAATATGTGTTTAAATGAGAAAACAAGAAATATAAACTGACAATAATCAAAGTGAAACAACAGATCTCTTAAAAGAAAGAACTCAGAATCTGTTCTGCGTAGCCTGTTGGCTTTTTCATTTTACGAACAAAAAAAGAAAGAACTTACCACCACCACAAGCAGAGAAATCTTCAATTCCTCAGATCTGGACGCTTATCCCCTGTACAAAAGAGAGGGAAAATGTCGTTAAGTCAGATAGATAACAACATTATATTCACAGATAAAAATTAGATCCAACAACATATAAAGAGTACTAGTTCTGCTGTTAGTGTGCCGAGAAAATGCAGGAAACTCCAAAGAAAAATATAGCTTTATTTTTAAGATTTTCATTCCCGTAGCAACCAAACACTCCTTCTTCGGCCGAATTAATTAAAAACAAAGCAATAGAAATGTTTTTTTCATTTATTTCCGTACGTTCTCATCAACCAAACAAGTAGTAAGAATATCTCCCATGTAATAGATGTTTAACTAAAATTCCATCTCCTCTCCTTCGATTTTCTCAAGAACCAAACAGAAAACCAAATTCAAAGAACATCTCAAAAATAATAATTAAAAAAGCAACAGAAAATTACATTATAACTACGAAAGCAAAAACAGCAACTGAACACTCGAGCAAGTACAGAGCACAAAAAATACCTCAGCAAATCTTTTTCAAAAAACAAAAAAGAAAATACAAAGCCATCAACTTATATATACCTCAACAAGTAGAAATGTAGAAGAAGAGGTTTGATCAGCGAAGATCCAGAAATGGATTTTACAAAAACCCTAGCGCTCTCTCTATACATCAACTAAAAAGAGACAAGCACACGCTCTTTTCTTTCTCCTACCAAGAAAAAGAAGATAAGAAGAGAGAGAATTCTAGAGAGAGAAAGCAGAGAAACAGAGAAAAAATATAAAAGAAACTAGAGAGAGAACGGTATGTTTGTGCTTTTGCTTTTCTAAATTTTATTTTTGGTCTAAATTAGGATCTAAAGAATCTGCGAGAATTACACACCAGAACCTACTTTCTCTCTCTTTCTTTCTTCTTTTTTAATTTTTCTCTGTTGTTTTGTCTCTGTTGTGCATGTACAGCGGACTGTAGGAGAGAGAGGAGTGGGAAGTGGGGGAGTGGGGACCAGAGTCAAGCGTGTGAACGTCTGTCTGTCGTGTCTCGCACGTGTAGTGACCGTTTAAGAGAGCGTCGTTTGGGTTTTGGGGAGGTGGTGGCGGTGGTGAAAAACCAGAAAGGCAAAAACCGCTCTGGGATAAGTTTAAAAGGCTTTTCAACACTTGTCATTGGATTCCCCTTGAGGCTTTATTTTTAGAAGGTGAAAATGATATTTCACTATCGTACGGTGTTAATTAAGGAAACTTTTACTTGTATTTATTTACTGGATAATCACTTAATAGTTTTAAATAGTTTCACTTGGTTGAGTTGGTTTAGCATTGTGTTTGGATGGGAGGAAAATATAGAAGGAAAAAAAATAAATGAGGAAACTCAATTTTATTTTGTTTGGAAATAAAGAGAAAATATTTGAGAAAAAGAAAAAGTGTAGAAAATTTCCATTAAAATTTGACCTTTTCAAATTTGGAGAGAAAATGAGACATGTTTTAGAGAAATAATACCACTATTTATGAATAATTACTATACTATCTATTTATATTATAGGTCTCAAAATATATAATAAAAATAAAGTCAAAATTGTAAAATTATATCGGAGGTCCAATGAACTGAATAATATTGTGGATTACACGGTAGGAGTACCTCTCCATTTGAAGATGACTCGAACTCGAGATCTCTCGCTCCCTATATCTTCTACGAGAGATAGAAAGACCAATTAGACCACACATAATTAGCCATATACACAATAAGATTAATTATGAAAATGAATTACATTATATGATAGAAAATGTATTCTGCTTTTTGAGATTTATTAATAACGTGCAAGAAGAAAAAAAGAACGTGGGAAAAATATAAATTTGGTCCTTAAAATATAGTCAAATTAATACAAAAGAATTTTTATTTTCTAAAACTAACTATGAAATTCTTAAATTACAATTTCATTAATACTTTAAACATTTTATCTAAAATAATATCTTTTGACCGTCAATTAACTAAGAAAACAGGAAATTGACATTTTTAAAAAGATTTTAAGGTTTCAAAAAATAAATTTATTTATAAATTATAGTCAAACTAATTATAAGACCTTTAAATTATGATTCTATTAATATTTTTATTCCTCCATTTTGAACAAGAGGAATAAAAGATTAATGAAATCATAATCTAGTAACGTCGTAGTTAGTTTTTCAACATAAAAGTTTTTATATATAATTTGATTATAATTTAAGAAATAATTTATGTTTTTCTCAGAAATCTGTTATGGTGCTATTGGTAAATATGATTTATTTGCATCAGTTTCACATTTTATCAATAATGATAAAATATTTGTATGGAGTTCACTTTATTAAGTGTAAGCATGACTATTCCAACACAGTATGTTTGGAAATTTGAAAAGAGTGGGGAAAAAACAATAATAACAATAATATTTGTACTTTTAGTATGTACTTTTAACCACAAGCATTTCACTTTTTAATTATGTACTTTTAAAAAATAAAAAATATTTTGATAAACTTCTAGTTCTTTTTTTGGAAAATAATTTACCTAAACTTTTTTAAACTTGTTGATATTTGGGTGCTTAAAAAATAGTCAATAAAAAAGTATTTTGCTGATTAGAAGTAAAATAAGACATTTTTAAAGAAAAATAACATATATTTTTAAGAAAGAAAAATATTTAACTTATTTTTTAAAAAAACGACAAGTAGTCACCAATATCACAATATATTTCTATATTTATTTAATAATTTATAAAATATGAAATTTATAGAATTTTAAATTTTAAGTATTACAAATTAAAAAAAATATTTTTAACTAACTGTCAAAATTATTTCTAAACAACAAAAATGAGTTGTTCTGTTGTCTGGAAAAATTTTTAGGAATAAATTATTTTTCAAAATAAAAGTGGAGCTGAAATGTCACATAATAATAAAATTATAGAAATTAAGAAAAAAAAATGGAGGGCAAAATCGAGTGCTCCAGATTGGGATTTTCCTTACTGCAACAGCAATTTTATCTGATTTCCTAACGTAGGGAAGCGTGCACCTTTGTCACCATATCATAAGCTTACTTAATACATTGACGTGTCCATTCAGGTACTTTATGGTAATTCGCCGAAAGTATCTAGTGTACGTGGCTTCCACACAGGTAAGTTCCACAGTAAGAGTATTCGGGCGCCGGTGTTGGGAATAGAAATGCCCTACAAGACAAAAGGGCATGTTAATTGTACAGTGTAGTGGCCTTTACAGGTGTCTTTCATGCTGTGTGCTTTAGATATTCGAGAGCTTGCTTTAGTTGGATACCAGCAACTGTAGTATTATTAGTATATCCGAAAAGCAAATACAAATAAACCTATGATTAGAATTATTTAAAATTGTAGTATTAAATATATTTAAAGGAAAATTAATGTTATGATTGTATGATTAGAATTATTTTCATTTCAGAAACAAAAGAAAAGGAATGTAAAATTTATAATGTTGAGCTATCAAATGACTTCTTTGTGTAATGATGCTAATTTGAACTTGATAAAATGATTTCAACTTCATAATGGAAGTATTTTTGAAAGCTTATGAAAAAATTATGGAAGGCACATGGTGTACTCATGGACATTTCCTAACAACCTTGATTGAAACCAAACAACAAATATGTGCCAACACCATTCCCTACTGTGAAGGAAAATATATAATTGGGAGAGGCTGAATTTATAATTCCAATTGCTTGGTAATTGTCTCATTTCCATTTGTCCTATAGCCAACCAAAAGTTGTATTTTTAATAATATTTTCACTTTTCTCTCAATATATTATAAATGTTTAAAAGAGAATGCTTTATCATGTACTGAACTTTTAAGGCTTTCTTGTAACGTGACATGTATTTTATCATTGGACAACCTAATTAACTAGAAAAAGAAAATATGATAAATTGTACGTATTAATTAATTAGAATTTGTGATTGAGTGAATGTCAATATTACTTTATGAAATACGTAGACCAAAAATGACATGCAATATTAATACAATACCAATATATTAATGTTGTTATTTCTTTCTAAAAAAATAACGCATAAAAATATATTTTATATATGTATACGGTAAATGCATAAATTCACATTTGAATTTTATAAGAAAAATTTTAATTTATGTTAAAAGATGTAGAATATATTGCTAATATTAAAAAGGTTTACTATCCAACTTGAAATCCATAAATTGAGCCTCTCTATATTTTATAACATATCATGTTAGAAAAGCATGGACGAATGAGTAGCTCTTATAGAAAAAATTTACCTAGAATCGGTACATGACTTACTCATGCACTAAATTAGTGAAAGTAGGATTTTTATTGTAAATAGAGTATTTTTGACTATATATTTGAAAAAAAAAAAATTAAAATCAAAATACTTTTTAAAAAATCTATAGTTTCATTTGTTTGGTACATAAGTGAGGTCATGGACTTAGTCTAGACAAGTTTTAAAATAGTATAATCATTTATTCTGTAGACTGCCACATGCCTGATTTGTAAATATGAGACTTTATCATGGATGGTGCTAAAAAAGGAAAGAGTTCGAAGACTTAGAATTTATTTGGAAGAAAGCGGTCGCAAAAGATCTATGGTGTTTAGTTATTGTTGTGTAAAATTATTTATATTTTGAGATATAAAACTACAATAATTTAAATTTTCTGCTAAATTTTTACTTTTTACTTCACCAAATTATTACTTTTATCTATTATATCCATAATTAAATATTCTAATCCATCCCTGGAGAAAAGTGTATCATATGCACACATATATAACTAAAATCATATACTACATTAAATATATGTATAAATACATACAAATGTAAAGTGTATATAGTTCCAAAATTGAGGGGATGCATTTTTTCAAGCTTCAATGATTCATTTATAGAAGCCACAATATATTCTGTTAAAAGGATAGCAATTGATGGGCATGTGGTGGGGGCCTTCAATGAGAGGATATGTGAATGTGATAAGTAGATATTAGGATAGGTGTGGTGGGTTCAACACTCACTCCATCTCTAGCTTATTAATTCTATTTCACTTGATCAAAACCTAAAGTCCATCTCTTTCACTATCACTATTAACTCAAGTATTGTTGGGCAATCTTTTTCATGCAGCCATTTGACCTTAAATGTTTACCTTTCATAAGAAATTGACCAAAAATCTCATGGTTTTGAATGACTATAATAATGTTACAAAAGTTCAATTCTTCATATACAATTCATATACTTTCAATTTTTATGTTGTTTAGGAGTTTGAGTATGGCGCATGTAATTATAATTTATTAAGAGACCCAATGAGCCGAAATAACATAATGGATTACACAATAAAATCAGGCATTCACCGAAATTCGAGACCATTTAAACTACACTTGATTCACAACATAGTGTCTATATATATATTGAATCAAAGCTCTAAATAAACTCAATTGAATTCACTTAAAATAGTAAGTTAAAGATTTTAATTTAAAATTTGCCTTGAATTTATTGGTGGATACACTTTTAAATAATTTTAAAAATTAAAATTTTCATTATTTAATTTATTCAGTGGTTAAATTTCAAAGTCTTAAACTTTTATCACTGAATTTTCAATTTCACTAAACAACGCCTGTCTAATAAGAAAACGAATAGATTCTTATGATTCAAAGCATGCTACAAGCAAAATATGTGTATGGGCCCTTTGGTTTGGATACAGGCCTTTTCCTTTGAGTTGGCTGTTGGATGGAACTAATAATATTTATTGTCGATCTATAAATTAGAAAAGCCCACCCTTTGCACTGTTTGGGTCTTGGGGTGGAATGGGCTTTTTGTTTTGTTTTTTTTTTTTAATTTTTTGTTTAAATGAAAATTGACAATGGTCATTGACCATTGTTAAATTAAATTGACAATGGTCAAATTGTTAAATTATATTCCAAATCTTCCTAAAAAAATATATTCAAGATTAATTTGTTGATATAGTTAGTAAAATAATTTTAACTTTCAGCTTAATTAAATTATTGAAGAGTAATAACAAATTAGTGATTATTTTAATTATAAGATAATCAATTAAATATTAAATTATAGGCCTAATATTACATTTAACCCGATTTTTTTTTTCTTGTTTTTTGATTATATTATATATAGGGACTAAACAATACTCTCTGTTAAATTTAATTGGTTTTTTCAACTCTGCAAATTTGATAAACTGTTGCTAATTAAACTAATGATTCAATTGACTAATCTATTTTCTATACTACAATATAAAAATATATGCTTTCCGTGTTTGACTAGAATGACTTTTATGGATAAATCATATAAATTTAAATCCATGTGAAGTTTAACGTTATAAATTAATGAAAATTTTCATGGTCGAAAGAATTTAAACTCGAGATTTGTGGTTACTTATATTAATAATAAGTCAAATCAAACCACAGTGCTTAATCAAATATATTGGTAATATAATTTTATCATATTACATTTCATTGACAAATTTTTGAGATTCAACTTGAAACGTTTTTTAGTTGAAAAGACAAGAAAAACTGATATAATGATTGATTTCACGGGAGAGGTGTAGTCCACATGTTACCATAACGACCTTAAAACATGTCAAAATCTGATTTCCTCAATTCTCTAACTTATCCAATAAAAATTTGCCACGCGTTCAATCGACCGTGGAGCTGCCCGTACCTAACAATAACTCTTCACTCTCACAAAAACGCAATTCATTATTTCTCAAAGATCTGCAAAAACAGAAAGCTTTCATTTCTCTCTTGAAAAACGCTTTCCCTTTCTGTAGAGTCATGACCGACTCTGTCGAGCCACCGTCCACGACTGCCGGCGAACCTAATCCTTCCTCAAGTCTGAATCCGAATTCTTTAATTCACCCTCGTCGAGAGCCTTTTGAGCACGGTCTTCTCCCAATCCCCAAGCTCATCTTTCCTGACCCCACACAAACGCTGACCCAACTCAGGCAAAAACTCGTTTCGCATCCCCGTGTTGATTCAGCAACTCTCGCTGACTCGCTTCAGATCTCCACCGACCATGCTAGGCTCGTTCTTGACACTCTCGCCTCGGTTTTACACTCCGAATGCGACCCACTTGTCAAGGCCCAACCGGGAGATATTGATTCGGTTGGAGCGGATTTGCATGATCTGATTCTGTTTCTGTATATACAATCGTATAAGAGGCTGTTGCCAAGAACGCATAAGGATTCTGCTGCCGTGGCCGATGTGTGGCCCTCCACCTCAGCTTTCGATGGGTACTTGTCGGCTTTATCGCCGCTTCAGGTGCTTTTTTTTTTTCCCTTTGGCATTTAAATATTTATTTTTACATGAAAATGTCGGGGCTTTTTGGCGTTAATTGCATGAATTAGTGTCTTAATTAATGTAATTTGATTGGACTGCCAAATTGTTTAGCTTAGGTGTGTTTTTTGTCTGGGAGGAGATGATAATTCAATGTGTTATTTTTGTTCACATCAATTTTGATTGTTTGGATGGCAGAGGTATTTTCTTTAAGGGCAGGTTATTTTTGTTGTCTGTAATTCTGTATTACAGCTTGTGCATGAAGTTTTTGTCTTTCATCCTCATTACTGCTAATTGGATTATGGCATTTGCTAATGGTGTCAAGTAATGTTGGTCTAGTTGATTATCTATCAGTTGGTTGAAAAGTGCTGTTAAATTTCAGTTGTTTTTTTTTTTTTTTTTTTTTAAATGATTGTTTGTAATGGCAAACAAGACGGATATTTTTCTTTAAGGGCAGGTTATTTTTGTTCGCTCATGTATTCTTGTACTTACAGCTTGTGTCATGAGAATTTCTTATTGTCTTTCATCCTCATTACTGCTAATTGGATTATGGCATTTGTCCTAATGGTGTCAGTAATGTTTGGTCTAGTTATTAATCTATCAGTTTGGTTGAAATAGTGCTGTTAAAATTTCAGTTGTTTTTTTTTTTTTTTTTTTTAAATGGAAATTTTGGTTGATTATTAATGAAAATTTTTTTTTTTTTTTTTTTTTTAAATGGAATTTTTGGTTGATTATTATGAAATTTTTGAAAACTCAATATAAGTTTCATAATAGTTATAGGTAATCAATAAAGGTAGATATAAATTTATTCGTTATAAATTTGTGTGTACTTAGATGTCTGTTCATCTCTTTAGTTTTCTATTATTGCATACATATTTCCATTTTTTGGTTTTTTTTTGTCCGAGTAAGATGCAATGATAGGTTTGTTTTAGAATTATAGTTTGGGTAAGTTGCAGCACACTGTCTTGTGTTAACTTCAATTGGATTGGATGTAATATCACGCTATGGAGCTCCCTAATCTTCACATTTTGGGGGTGCTGTATATGTATTACTATGTCTATTGTTTGACATGCTTCTTTGCAATTGTTCGTGCATCATTTATCCCTTATGCATTCACTTGGAGCATGATGCGAAATTGTCTATGTGGTTAACCCTAAATTGTTAGATTCGTGTTTTGTTTGTTTGCTGCTTTAAGATGGAAGCCATATTTCGATGAATTTCTTGCCGTTGTGTCAATATTTCATGCATTATTGTATTTATTTATTGCCATAAAATTTAATTTTAGCAGTTTATTTTCCTGCAATGTTACTTAAATTTACTGGTCTATGGTATTGCAGCTTGTGCGTAGCAATAGCCGCCGGTTTATGCCATCACAGGCTGATGAAGAGGCTCATCAGTTATCCTATCTGCAGAAGCACATGGCTAACATCCTCTCTCTTTTGGCAGAACCCGTGGAAGGAGAAGGCGAAGAGTCTCTGGTTTGTAACTTTAATTTGTTTCTGTAGTTTTGGTTAAATTTAATTTCTTTAGATTCACATGAAAAACTAATGAAAATGAACCAGAACGTAAGGACAATAGGAGTTCCTTTTCTTTAAAATCTTCTCTGTCGGTTCATTGTTTGCCTTGCATTTTCCTAATATTATTGTTGTATTGTTTCCTGAAATTTGTAATGATTGGTAATGGTTCTGTTAACATGTTCCTCTTTGTAATTGCTGTTGTTAGGCATGTTTTTATATGCAGGTTTGTAAACTTTGTTTTAACTGTAGAATTCAATGGTAGCAGAAGCAGAATGTTGTTTGTATTTGAACTTTCTCCACAGACATTTTTTCTTTTTGCTGTTAGTCCTGCAACATATAAGTAGTATGTGTAGAAGCTCTTGTTTGATGCAGTATGGAGAAATTTTCTAACTGAAATGACAATTTGTAGTTTGTCAATACCAAATTAAATTGTCTAACTGAAAGAACCAAACCAAACTGCACAGAAGTGTTATGGCATGGTCTAGTTTATATAATGGTTTGATTATACTTTTTTTTTTTTTTTTTTTAAAAGCAACAGAAGTGTTATGGCAATGGTCTAACAGTTTTCATATAATGGTTTGATTATACTTTTTTTTTTTTTATTTAAAATATCATTATCCTACATAAAGTAAGTATGTCAACTTACAACAAAACGCATCTAAGTCTAATTTTTTTTTTTTTTTTTTTAAAATATCATTATCTACATAAGTAAGTATGTCACTTACAACAAACGCATCTAAGTCTAAATAAAAAGGAATAAAATGTATGTATTGTCAATAAAAAAGTACTACATGTATTTAGAATTTATAACAAGAAAACAAATAAATATATCCAACATGTGTTTAAACAATTATATCTAGTGAAATATTATAGGTGCATTAATGGTACAATTGCAGTATTTACAAATTTATGTATGTCAACATAAATTAAACAAAGTATTCAGAGCAAACATTTGGGATTTTATTTATATCATATGACAATCAAAAATCAACTGCTAATTAGGAGAAATCAGTGTTTCTGTATTCATGTGTATATAAAGGTTCACAATTTGAAAAATGGAAAAACCAACTATTAAAAAAGTTTCAGAATTGCAAATCAAACTGAACTATTTAATTCCTAAGCCAGTTAAATTGTATAATTCAGTTTGGCTTGGTTTGGTTCAATGGTTGAGTACAAATAATGAATGCTCCCTTGTATGATTGAAATGGAAATTTGCAATGAAACTGCTGATTGATTAAGGCTTGGTTGAGTTGGATTTTGTTTTTAGGATGTGTCTTCATTGTTAGAACCTTATTTCTCTTTTGGATAGAAATATAATATTTTGGAAGTTTAAATATGTTTCTGAACTTTGTTCCCTTGAATTGACTAGCGCTTTGTTTGGATGGAGGGAGGGAGGGATCATTAAAGTAAGGGCTTTGTTTGGATGGAGGGAGGGAGGGATCATTAAAGTAAGGTACAGTTAAGTATAGTACGGGAAAGTATGGTAAATGTCTTTTTTGTGTTTGTGGGAAAGGTATGGTAAATGAAGGTTTAATAACATTGGTTTGATGGTAGAGGAAGGTACTGTTAAATATAAATATTACGAAAATACCCTTTTCATGGAAGATTTATAAATATAATTATAGATAATTTTGAAAATTAAATTTTTTAACCATGCTTATGTCCCAATTCGGGGTGTTGAAGATTGGGCTGTTTAGACGGGTTTTTAACCCCTCAAATAACTTTCAAGAAACCATATTCTCATTCAAACTTTCTTCCCAAACGACTAAATAACCCCCCTATACCTTGCTTGACTCTCCAAACCTATCAAATAACCTCCATCTAAACAATCTGTAGAACTTTTGAAAAGTTGAGTGGACCTAATACCTCACAATGTTTGTGGTTCTAAATATAGAGCTTGTTTTGTTCTGTTTCTATTAAACAATCAACTACTCTGTACATGTTCGCATTTTATAGTAGGGCAAATATTTGGTGCAAAGTATGTTAACGTTTTTGCTTAGGAAAATTTTCTAAGCTAAATATTTTCTGTAAATATATGTTTTGAGAAAATTTTCTATGGTTCTTGACTCTTTTGGAGTTTTCATCCAAGATTTTAATACTTATTATCTCTTATTACTTCTGCAATTTATTTATGCTCGGTATTTTTGGCAGCTTAATCTTAATTTCAAGGTAACAACTCTGTTTTAGGTTTTGGCCATGGAAGGATTTGAGCACCTTGGATTTCTGATTCTGGTTCTTGACTCTTTTGGAGTTTTCATCCAAGATTTTAATACTTATTATCTCTTATTACTTCTGCAATTTATTTATGCTCGGTATTTTTGGCAGCTTAATCTTAATTTCAAGGTAACAACTCTGTTTTAGGTTTTGGCCATGGAAGGATTTGAGCACCTTGGATTTCTGATTCAATTTGGTGATAAGGGATCTGAAGGAGTTCTATTAAGTCAAGCTGCTCCATTTTTTGCCAATTCAGATCCTGACATGCCTGCTGTTCCCGTTCCTGCTGCACAAGTCCATGACTGGATTACACAGAATATAGCCTCTGCTTTGGAACATATCACTGAAAGACTTTCTGCAAAAGAAAATGGGCAACCCAGTGCCTCTGATCCTGATGTTGCCATGGCTGATGCCTGTGCAAGTTCACTTAAGGCCTCACCAAGTGCTAGGGGATCATGTTTTATTGAGGGGATCTCTAAATCTTCATATGTAAAGCAAGCATCAGATCTTAAAGGTTCTTCGGTGAAGGTTAGTCTTTAAATGCATTTTCATCTTTCCTTGTGTATACTATCCCATGAATATAAAATTTAGCTAGTCATCAATAATGCAGAAGTTTTTATTCCCAAATGATGCTTTTTAGGAATTAGTACTTTCTGGCTGATTCTATTTTTGATAAAGTGGCTTTTTAATGGGTGGAATCAGGTGCCAAAGTAGTCAAAATTGGCTCAACTTTTAAATCTTAAAAATATGTTGGAATCTTAATAACAGAACCTTGTTCTACAATGAAGTTCAATTTTCATGAAGGTAAAGGATATGCTATATTGCTATTAGTATTTTCCTTTAAGGAGTCATTTGTTTGGGCTGGATTCTGAATGCTGAATCTAAATCAACAACTTATTAAGAACTTATTGCTGAATGATTAAGAAAGATTGGTAAATAAGATAACTGAATCATTTGGGTTAGTGCTCTTTTACTCATTTGACCTTCTAAATACTTGATAACAAAATTGATGCATTATATTATATAAAATAAGGCTAAACATACAAATTTAACTTATCATACAACTATTAACATAATATTGTTTACTCTTCAAATATATATATATAAGAGGAGTATTGCAAATTAATTATATGAAAGTTAAAATAGTTTGCAAAGATGGACGCAAAATATGAAAGTTAGTTATATATAAAATAAGGGTTATATATTCTTCGCAAAGATGACACAAAATATGAATCAGTTTCATTTATATTGTACTGCAACTAATTTTTATTTAACAAAATAACTTCTTTTTATGATACTAATAATTAAAAGCTGTAAACAAAAAAACAATAATCAAAAGAGAAAAAGAAGAAAAACGTTGAAGAAATAATTTTTAATATTACACAAGAACGTTTCCGTTTTTTGGTCAAATAGGCTGAGCATCTGACCGAATGAGCTAGAAAAATTAGCTTATTGAAAGAGAGTGTTTTTTGCCTTGACATTCTGATAAGAAGCTTATCTGAAAAGATAAAAGAAACAACTTTTTTTTTTTCTTTCTTTTTCTATCTGCAAGAATCAGATGAGATCTAATAAGTTGTATTAAGCCCAAACAAATACACCCTAAGTCTCTGAAGTGGTAGGATGTTCTGTATGTGCTTTCTAGTACGAAAAGCTAGAGTAGCCATGTTGCTTTTGGGTCAAACATGATGCAGAGTTTGAAATTTGTTATACTAATGATTGAATTTTGATTTAGTATGATATATTAATTGCTTCTTTGTTGAGTTTGTTTGGTTGGTGATTGTGGCTCAAATTAGTTTCCATTTAACATACCTTAAGTTGACCTTGTCTGCTCTTTCTATTTACACATGCTCAAATGTAGCGGCACTGTCTTCATAAGTCACTGCTTTCACTTGAGATGAATCTGCAAAATTGATATGAGCGTGGTTTTGAAAAGGTGAAGCCGGCGAATAGAAGATTTTTGTGTTTATTGGAATAGAAGCAGTTTAGTCGTTCTAAAGAAAATCTAAATTAAAAGGAATACAAATGCTCCAGGCCTCCAGTTTGTTTTTTGTGTAACCTAGGGAAACGGTCATACTGTGAACAAAAACCCCTAAGAACTTGATAAGTAACTAGTGTGTTTGTGGATGTTATCGGTGCTTGTGATAGCACTGTGCCCATGTGATGTCAGCCCTGGTTAAAATGCCAGAGTGTCATTTCTCAATGCATTATAAGGATTCGTTTTATGTCTAGCTTCAAGGCCTGTATATTATTTTAATAATTTGTCCATTTATTTGTGAAGGATTGAGGATATTATTATTACTGTTAAAATGAAAATGACATATCACATATGGGTTTGACCTGCTGCATTGTGAGTTAGGAATATAACAATTGGTCTTGTGATCTGATGGTGTCATAATGTGTTGATTTTGTCATACCGGTAGATCAGTTATGTCCAAAATTTCCATTATATTTTTAGACTGTTTGTTGCCCTGCGTGGCTAAAATAAGCCAAAGGAGCTCAAACTCTTTTCTCTCAGTTCTTATTGCCAGGTACTGTTGCTAAAAATAAAGCAATCATTTAAGTGCTACTTGATGACATGTTGATGTCTCCAAATAGTAGCCTGTTATGGTTGAAGACACAACTCTTATAAGTGCAGATTACGTTCTAACTCCCATATGTTAGCATCATTTTCTAAGTTTGAAGCATATAATTTGATTCAAACCGTGAAGGCTGCTAGAAGCATTCGCCTATTGCATCATTGAAGTAGATGGAGGGGTATGTGGTGTCCTTTTGTTTATTTGAGGTTGATTTCCTCTGTCCATCAGGATTTTATTTACAAGGATGTGGTAACTGCCACTAACCTTGAGATTTGGTTGTGAATACATGCTCAGATCTGATCTCATCTAAAGAGAAAAGCAATTTCTAATTTCTCTTTTTCTTTTTTTTCATTGTTTCAGTTAACATTTTATATTGTTTTGCATTAGCCAGTTTCAATAGAAAGAGAAGAATTTGTTTATGCATTTGCAAATTTGAAATCTATTTTGTATTATCTTTTAGTACTTTTGGTATATTGATTTGCTTTTCAGCTAGTTTGACAGTATTTTTATTGTTGCAGGTTTTGAATTGCCATGATTCTGTAATTTATATCTTGGCACCCTTGAGATATGCCACAATCTATGGATGCTCCGATGCTACTATAGTTCTAGGAGCTGTAGGCAAGGTTGTAACAAAATGATTATTGTTTTTTTATTTTAATCACTTATTGGTATCTCATCTGCTTAGTTCTTTATTATGAATTTGACTAGTATTTAGCGTGAGGGTGTGATGGAAACCTTTTCTGGAGCAGCAGTTAGAAATGTAAAAAAAGATTTTTGTTTGTACCTTTAATTGGATTGGGGATAGCAGATTGAGGAACAAGATGGTGTTGATGCTGCATGTCTTTCGGTGGAATGAGATTGAGATGTTTTAACTAATGATTTGTGAATAAGGGGCAAAATGTTTGCGGCCCATAGTACAAACATAAAGGGTTTTAAAAATGGCCTTTTAGTTCAACTTCATTTCTTTTTGTATTTTCTCCTTTAAGAACATTGGACCAAGATATAGCCTATCTGTTCATGCAAGGGATATCGGTAAACAATGTACGAAAAATGCTGCTTTCGTTTGGCAACTTATGTCTCTGATCATTTTCCTAAGGATCTACTGCTTATATTTAAATCAAATTAAAAACTTGTTATCAGTTTGAATCTATTCTTACAAGTAAATGGTAGCACTTTGCCAGTTCATTTGTCAAGATATTTTATGCATGACTTTGTGATTTCTGATGTTTAGTTTTTTCCTTGTAGCTGGTTTTTACTTTTTAACGATTGTTGGTTCTGAAATGCATATATCTAATTTGCACTGGCCTATAAATGCTTTGAGCTTTCTGTAAGAATTCATTCAATTGTGATTCTGTTTTAAGGTAGTAATTTTGGAATAACTAGTTTGTTCTGATTACTTTTATCAAATACAAAACTTTTTATGCTTTATTGTCCAGTTTCCATTCCTTCTCTCCTCTTCTGGATAAAAAATTTGATGGTGAAACATTTCTTTTATGCTTCTGGTATAGGCTGTAAGGATTGAGCATTGCGAGCGAGTTCATGTGATTACAGCAGCAAAACGAGTCTGTATTGCCAATTGTCGTGAGTGCATGTTCTTTCTGGGGGTAAACCAGCGGCCGCTTATGGTTGGTGATAATCATAAGTTGCAGGTGAGTTTGTCACCGCCCATGTTGACCGTTTTTTCTGGTAGTATGTGAGCAGCCATTGCCATTGCATTGTCCTGATCATTTATTACGTTCAAGAACAGTTTATTCAGAATGCTGTTTTCTAGCTTTCTGTCTGATATGAATATAAAGATGATTTACTTCCAATAGAACCTTTATTTGGTTTTGAAATCAAAACTACTTAATTCTGGAGCTTTGTGGATATTTCCTGATCTGCAGGCTCCAGTTGCATTTGCTAGCCACTTCATCATCAGATTTATTTTTGGAATATTGTTATGAGTTCGTATAAACTGTCTTGAGGATAGCTATGATTAATTGGGGTACCTTATGAAGTGGTAAACCTAAGAACTTGCATGTAGGGATCATGCACAGGCGAGACTTGCCTCCCTCATTCAATATCTGCTGAATCTGTTGGATCCTTGTAGGAATAAAACTGTTATGCGATATGCTTGTTACAATTCGCCGTAGTTTAACTGATGAATAATAACCACTCATGAACAATCATTTGGTCGGCTTTGTTCTTTTCCAATTCTTACTTTCTCTTGGTTAGAAGGAAATATTTTTACAGATTCATTACTTGGATAATTTTGAAACTGTAAAAATCTTCTGCATGTATGTTTGTAGACCCTTTTAAGGATAATTATGTGTGCTGTTCGAATTTGCTCAATCTTGTTGCTTCTGCAATGGTCCTTGATGTGCTCACCTGTAAAGGTAGTTTATTTCACCTGCCATTCTCATTTTAGTGGTGTTCTTCTTGCATTTTCTAGATGATAACTTTTCTATTTGATTGGCCAATTTGATTTAAACACTGTTTTGACATACTCGTTTTTTGAAAAGTGTCACATCAAGTCTTTGCTTTTTGTTTGGGAATATCCATATGCTCACAGTTCTGCTGGACCTACAATTATATGAGTACTACAAAATATCACTTCTGTTTTCTTGAAAAATTGTGAATTTAAAAGGCAAATGCTGAACACTTTTATGTCACTTTTTGGAGAACATGCAGAATGATGTTATTGTACATTATCTAAATTTTATTGACCAAGGTACTGGTTTTGCATCTAATGGAGCAGTTTACTTGTCTTGATTGAATATCCTGTTCTCTTCAATCTTCAAGTGATAATGAATAATATATAGAAATCCTTCCGTGTTTCAAACAGGTGGCACCTTATAATACATATTACTCAGAGTTGGAGGAGCACATGGCTGAAGTGGGCATTGAGTCAACTATCAACAGATGGGATGATCCCTTGGCCTTGGGGGTGGTTGATCCACACGATTCGTTATCTCATCCGGCAGGAGTCTCTGATGTTCAAACTGAGTCAGCTACACGTCTCGACCCTGATCAATTCACAAATTTTCTGGTATGCTTTATATAAAAAGATAGTTCTGTTGTAACTGTTGCTGTGTGTGATTTTAGCGATCATTTGATCCTGGTCTTTTTTTATTAAACACCTCAGTTTTTACTTGAGCTCCTGCACACATGGTGAGTATTGTCGATTTATCTTGGGAGCATATTTATTGCTCTATTATCCTCCAATTTTTTGGAGAGCAGTAATGATCAGCATGCTTACTGTCTGTCATCTCTTGGACTGGTATCTCATACAATAACAATAATTTTCTGTCTTGATGTACAGATTCCAAATTGGTTTGGCCGTGAATCTTCTGGGTCAACAAAAGATAATCCATTTCCATTGCCAGAAGCTTACTTGTCATCTCAGCAGAGAAATGTATGTGATGCTGATTAAAACAAGATGATTCAATAGTTAGACCGTTTTATTTGTCAATTGCCATGCTATAACTAGAACATGAGTCAGCATTTTCTGTCTTGCCAATGGTGCCTTGAAATTTGCAATTTGTTTATGTATTCAACTATTTGTTCCAACTTTGGTAGTGCATTAACCCTTTTTTGGGGTTTGCCTTTTTTGACCAGCAAAAGAATTTGGGGGAGATAAAGCAATTGTTGAGGGAAGCTCCTCTTGAAGAAAATCGAAAGCGGGAACTATCCTGTGCACTGCATCTATTATTCAAGGATTGGTTATATGGTAACTTTCAGTACCTTAACAGGATATTCATATTAATAATACATAATTTGCTCATCATATTGAGTCTCAATCATGTTGGATTGTTTCACTATTGCATAAGAACATACAAGTCTATGGATATGCTGCCCCGGAACCCCATAATATGCACTTGCTAAAAAAGCTTAGAAGAGAAATTGATGTGGGAGCTTGAGCATCCTAGTTAAATTAGGATTTCAGTTTTTAGTGTTTTTTCAGTTACCTTCGTTGTATATAGGATTCCTTATTAATAAAGTATGAAAATGATTAGAATAGTATTTCACTTTCTTTCTCTATTTAGGATTCTTATTTCATAAATTAACCAACTAATAGGAATATTTCTCTAGAATTAGGATTCGTTCTAACTAGCATAATAGAACAACCATATTGGGAATCTGTTTCCCTAGACTCTTCTTCTATGTCAAGTGGTGTTAAGAGCGCAAAAGATCCTATATTACACTAGGAGATTTTTTTTTCTTGTTCTGAACTATGGTTGATAGAGGCAGAGGTTGAGGTAAAGGCAATCAGCCCCAACAAACATAGTTGGCTGTGATGCCGAGAATGATTGAGGACTTGACCTGTGTTGTGCAAGCCTTTCAACATTCCGGAAGGCAACCACTAACAATTCAAACTCTTGAGACTGAAGAAGTCGAGGAGGTGAACCAGAATCTTTCAACATTCCGGAAGGCAACCACTAACAACTCAACCTCTTGAGACTGAAGAAGTCGAGGACGTGAACATTCCGGAAGGCAACCACTAACAACTCAACCTCTTGAGACTGAAGAAGTCGAGGACGTGAACCAGAACCATTTTCATGAAGCTAGATTTGCAAATTAAACAGCATGAGGTAGATTAGAAAGCACTTGACCTTAATTTAGAAGTTTCTATTCAAACTCTTGATTTTTGTGAGTATTCCACCGCTAAAATAGATCAGAAAAGTAGCATTTGAGGAAGAACATCAATGGATGATGATGACCCTCAGGAGAGTGAAAAGGAGAAATAAGTTCTTGTTTCAATGCTCAAAACAGTGAAGTCAGCAACAAGGACCTTATGGAACCAATTTGTGATGGAGAGCAAGAAATTGACCTAGCACCTATCCAAGGAGGAAATATTGTTATTCAACATGCTCTTACTACCCCTAGAATAGAAGAAGATTAGAATGTTGAAGATGAGAAAACAAAGGAAGATTGTTGTTCTTCAAAAATTTGCTTACTGATATTGATATCATTGAGTTGCCAAAAGAAATCCCAACAATAAGAGATGTCTATCATGCAATTAATCTCAATTTTTAGTGCAACTTTAGCCAACCAAACAGGTAGTTTGATTCAAGTAGTCCATAGAGTTGCAAATACATCTTTGAGCAACATGCCTAATTAGTAGAAAGGCTAGTGCAAAGAAGTAAAAGGCTTTGTGTTGAGCAATCTTTGCTCAACCAAAAAAAGGATGGAGTATTTGAATGACTTGTGATGTTGTTTGCTCTTGCAAAAGCTCTAAGCATCTATATTTCCTAAAAAGAGCTAAAACGAGTTGTTCCAGTTATATATGAGGATATGTCATGGATTCCTCATAGGAGCTGAATTCTGTTTTTGACTGGAGAGAATGATGCAGGAGCATCAAGTTAGATTAGGATTTCTGTTTTTGTAGTCTTTTAAGTTTCCTTCTTTACTTAGGATTCCTCAATAAAGCGTGTTTATTAATTAGGAAGAGTTTTTCACTTCACTTATTTAGGATTCCTGATTAATAAAGAATGTTAATTGTTCAGGAAGAGTTTTTCAGTTTCTTCCTTTATTTAGGATCTAATTAATAGAGTATGTTAATACTAATTGAGAATAGTTTTTCTAGAATGAGGATTTGTCCTAACTAGTTAAATGGGACACAGTAATCAGTTTCTGCATTGTATTTTTCACCTTCAATTTAGAATTAGTCCCAGGGTTTCCAATTATATTAAGTTCCAATCGGAATCACCCTATTCTAGCCCTAGTTGTGGACTTTATTGCCCTAAACTCTTTCAGTACGTCAAGTATATAGGGAGAGAAGAGGACAGAGAGAGAGGACAGTTAGGGTGGGGGATTGTGCCTTATGTCCCTTCCATAGTTGCTATTATATATTATGTACTCGATTTTTGCATAATTGTTAGTGAGTGTCATCTATTATTTTGTTTGCATCCCAAAAATAATCATTTTCTTTTTTGATTTCCATGTAGTTTATGGCTGTACGCATAATTGCATTATTTCTCAGATTCTTATAGATATCTCACATCTGGCTATCAAAATATTTTTGTCATCACCATGTATGTTAATGACAAAGGATGGAATATGTTGGTGGGACATGGAAAATGTTGGGGACATGTGTTGATAGAAATCAAGTTCATATGGTGAACTTGTATGTCTTTCTGTTTGGGGAATTTGGTGATTTTCATATTTGATTAATGCTTCTTACATTCATCCTGAATTTGGTACATTCATCCTCACTTTACCTTTGGGAGCTTAGATTATATGCGATACAGGGTTTAAGCTCCTTTATGCGCGTTGTCCCTCCCAAAAGGTTATCTCAAATGCACTGATGTTATTCTTGTGCTTTGAATTTTGTTATTGCATGTTATCAGATCTGAAAACAAACATCATTCGCAACTTTGTGCATAAAGTTTACTGCCACCTTCATTGTCTTGATTTGACGAAGAATTTGATAAACTAGTTAACTAATTGTTGAATGGTTTGATACAGCTTCAGGCAATATCCGTCAGCTTTACTGCCTACAAGGTGATTGATGTTGAATGATGAAGGCATGGCGGAACTGAAGATTGTAACAGAAGGAAGCTTTCAGGCGTTCTTTCTGTTGCATCCCCATTTTTATTGGTACTAGAGACTGCTGAGACTCATCACTATGTACTTTGGAATCGTACACATTTGACTGATGACAGTGGTGCACAGAATACATTGTTTTCGCTAATCTCATTGTAATATTTTTTGGAAAGGAGAAATCTTGCTGTAGTATTTATTAACCTAGGTTCACAATCTTGTGAATTTTTCCCACCTCTTTTTTCTCTTCTTTTCTTTTTTTTGTTTTTTTTTTTTTTTAGCCTCCCTCGTGAAAAATTTAAATGTTGAATTTTTTTTAGTTATCCTTTCAAGTTTTGCCTATTGATTGATTGTTAATATTTTTGATGAATTTTAAGTGGAATTTTCTGCTTTGTTATCAGATAGGATAACGGGAAATATGATTAGAGAGTGTTTAGAATGTTTTAGATGATGCACTAGCTCGAAAAGGTGGTTTCCTCATATATGCATATGCTGTTAGAAAAATGGTTGTATTTAAAAATTAAATTTTCTTGCAATATATTTAAACTGGCGGTCTGCTGTCTAAATACATTCAAGAACAAGAAGTGTAAAAGAGGAAGATAAATGCTGCAAAGAAAATAAATGCTAGGATGATCAGTAGTGTAATTTCTTGGTCTATTATCTTTTCTTTCAGATCAGTCGGGCATTGTGTGTGAGATTTCCGGATACATTTAACTGAAAATTTTACAGATTGCCTCAACATATCTCTCTCTTTCGGCCATCTTCTAGTGGTGCAAATGAAGAATTCAACTTGCTGGGGCCAAGTTAAACAGCTTCTCTGCTTGCTCTGGGAATAAAGTGATGAATAGATATGCACCTATATACATTGGTCAAGTAAGAAATGATTAAATTCTTTCTTTTGAAGAGTTCAAATTCATAAGCTTGCAATCATTCCAAGGACTTACAGATAAGTACAGTTCCAAGCACAGCAGAGATCTTTCCTTGAACAGTTATCAAACCAGCTTTGCCAGCATTTTGCAGCTCGGTAGACCCTTCGGAATCAAATGTTCCTGGGAAAACCATTTTCAGTCATATTTGGTTTGCCTTGGAAATGAAATGAGAGCGGAAAAGCACGGCTAAATTAAAAGGTATTCCAAGTTCATTTTTAAATCTGTAAGGAGTTTCTTTTTTATAATAAGATTCACATAAAAAAATTTTTGGATTCTTTTAATATTTCAAGAAAGCATTTAATCAAATTGGGGAATTTGATTCTTGGAAAGAACTGAATATGACCTCAATAACTTGTATGAAAAAAGGATTTGGAAGAAACGTTAACCTGGTTTTACAGATTGAAGCCCTGATGTAATGCATGCTATGTTCTGGAAACCAGCTTGCTCTAACTTGCTGGCTGCTGCTGTAGACCTTAACATTAAAAAGAAACTAATGTCTCTCAAATGGTTTTGAGGGAAGTCAAAAGCAATTTCTACAAGCAAAAAATCGTTTCATATAAATTGCTTATTTCATGAAGTTAATTTAACGAGTTTCCTGAAAAAAACAATATTCAGAATTTGAGGAGTTCTCTTTATTTTCAGATCATAAAGAAAAAAAAAAGGATGTAGATAATCTAATAAAAATTTCAAAATTTAAGTTGATAGTACCAAAAAATCAATCAGTTAAATAACCTATTGGAATTAAGAAAAATAAACAAGTTTCCAATAGTCATAATCAAATGAAATATCAAACTGAAACGACAATAGGAAGAAAATGAAGAAAACATGACAGAAGATTATGAAATTCATTTAAAAAGGAAAGGTGCACTAATTTTCACTTATAATAAACAAACTCTAAATATACTAACGATACAACAAATCTTGATCAAGTAGACAAAATAAGACAAGAATTGACATTACTCTTCTATGAAATCTACAGATCAAATTATAAAAGTAATATAATGTTGCTTTGCATAATCTGACTCTACTTATCACATGCAGCCGGGATTTGTTTTTTGTTATTCCTCTACTTCTTTTTCTTTGGAGTTTTGGTTTGAAACATATTCATAAACTTTAACCAAGTTCAACAGTTTTATGAAGTAGTTTTTGATTGATAACCTGAGTAAGCCCTCCAAGCAAACCTCTCTCATTCATCTCATACGCTACAAGACGATTGACAGATGCTTCTGATCACCTATCGCAACTTTTTCTCATTTGCTCGATTGTTTTCAGTATTATTTTTTGACACTATATGTTTGTCAAGTTAGCTTCTTGTGACAGATTGCATCTGAATTTAAACATCTAATCTTCCATAACCTTTCTAATGCTCCCAATTCTGTGTCATTATTCTTACTTTTTCAGGATAAAGCATCGCAATCTATTGACTTTATACAATATTTATCACTGCAAATTTACATTCTGGTATGTACTAATATTGGTCTAAGACTAAGAAGTTCACATCTCTATTCTGATACCATCAAAACCCACAACAAATTTAGATGCTATAAGGAAAGAAGCCAAGTACAAATGTCCTAATCAGGTTTATTGTGCTTCTATGCGCAATCTCAAGGTCCCTCAAATTCCAAATGGAAGAAAGCTAAAATTTCCATGGACTAGCCAACCATTTAAGTATTTCATGAGTATTTACAGTAAAAAATACGTATAAAGATTATCTATGTTCGGCAAAAAGGAAAAAGAAAAATACAGCATTAGGTCAAACAAAGAGCATCAGGTCTAACCTCAACCCTTCCTGACATACAAGCAATAGTTTACTCTCAGGTGAAAACTTGCTCTTTACAGATTCCACAAATTCAGGATTAGGCTTAGTAAACGACAATCCAAAGAACAAACCAGAAAAGTTGTTGTGCACCGTCCTTTTTATGATAGTGCCTGCATAAAATTAGTGCAAGGGGATACATAAACAGGAACAAGGATTGAAATATACAGACAAAAAAGAAGAGGCTTTACCTAAATCATTGTCTTGGTTTAAAATAAAAAGAGGCACATGATGACTTGATTTTATGTGAGCTCTTCCATATTGAGTTATGTCACGAACATCCAGGACTACATATCCCTCATCTGCTACAAGTTTCTTTGCTTCTTCTGAACTCACATAATTGACTTCTGCTCTAATCACTCCAAACTTTCTCCAACAGTTTTGTTTTCCTGGGATTTTTCTTGCAGGATGAGTCCCAAATTCCAACCAGGATGTCCGTAACTTGCTGAAAGCACATCCTTAATGCCTTATAATTCCCATTATCACAATTATCTAATTACTTCCACTTTTATGGGTATGTAATCTAATGTTACTACAAAAAACCGTTATATGACCTATTCAACAACGTTTATAGACCAAGAAAGGATGCCTCTGTATTGTTCTTGAGAAAAATAAAATTAAAGATTAAAATTAAAGAATCCTATGGAAATTTGGAATCTTAAGAACTGAAACCAATATCACTATTTTGGAAATAGTTGATTTTTCATGTGTTTTTCTTCTTGTGGTATTGAATGCTTCATATATGTTGATGACCAAAGAACAAGAATACTGAAGCTCAAAGCTTATATAGAATCCCATAAACAGAAATTATCTGGATTACAAATGAATGTTAATTGAATATCAGAAAAAAAGAACAAAAACAAATGGCATAAAAGAGAGAAAGAAAAAAAAAAAAAAACAATATGGGTCGTTCATATATTTAAAGCAACAATAAAAACTGAATTAAAGTTCATCAGTTTTGGTTTACAGGCAGGAAGAGGAAGCAACACACCCAATAACACAAGAATTTCAGAGATACAAATAAACCCCAACACATCTTAGGAAGGAGCTCGTATTTCATATTTTCTCATTTATGAACTAATTTTGCTTTGGGTATACCAGAACCAGTTTCTTCAAGAATGCAAAAACTATGTACGTTAACCATTAAAAAAATAGAGGGAAAAAAAAAAGTTTGGCCACTTAACTTTGAAACATTGCTTCAGACAGTGAAGTGCCATAAATTTGCATTATGGAAACATAATTTACAAGAAACACACAGAAGGATATTACCTTCTGGAAGAGACAGTTAGACATGAAGTAGCAATCCCAGCCATCGAAATACTTCTACGACCCTCCTTTCTGTCTCTCTGAGAGAGAGACTGAAAGAGAGTATCATTTTGATTTTTAAGAGTGGCCCATGAAATTTGAGAGAGGCAATGGGTTTTTGCCATGTGTTATCTCTTCAATCTTACGCCTAGTCTGTAGTCTTTTAAATATAGCTACTACTTTTTTTATTTTTGTTTTTATTTTTTCGTGAAGAGTTAAATAATTATTGCTAATTTTGAAGTAATAGAAATTAAATAGAAAATTGAACGTTAGTCTTTTTTTTTTTTTTTCCCTTCTCATTGAGTCTATTTTTATATTAAAAAATGTTGTTTTGCTAACTTTGTTTCCTTTCTATTCTCAAAAAAAAAAAAAAAAAAAAAAAAAATTAATCAATGTCTAACATGCAAACACAGACAGCAGGATAGTCCATTCATCTCTTCTGGTATAGAAGACAGTTTTATTAACATGAAAGTAGCCAAATCCCAGACCATCGAAAAACTAAACTTGACTTACTTGAAAGACGCGCTCATCACTATGCCTCTGCCTCTCTCTTTGGAAGAGATCGATATGACTGAATAGTATGAGGTAATCTCTAATTGTATTGTCATTTTTTTTCACAGTACTCGGCCCCTATTGGTAAATTTGCAGAGTGTAGTTGCATTGGGTTTTTTTATGCCCAATCGTGTTTTGCAATCATCTCACACTTCATTACACGCCTTAGTCTTGTAGTCTTTTTCTAATGCAGTAGTATAGCTACATACTATTCTATTTATTTTAATAGATTTGTTATTTTTATCAGTGAAGGACGGGTAAATGAATTATCTGACTAATTTTGAAGTAATAGAAATTAAAACTATAAGCAACTTAATTCGTAGAAGCGTTATTGTTGCCCCCTTTTCTTTTGTTTTTTTGATTTTCCGCTTCTGCTATCCATTGTAGTCTACAGCTTTTATATAATTTCACCTAAAAAATGTTTGTTTTGCTAACTTTGTTTTCCAAAAAAAAAAAAAAAAAAAAAAGTTTCCTTTCTTTTTTCACACACGTATCCACGCTTAGATGCTTAGATGAGGATGATATTTAAATAATTGCAATATATAAAAAATTTCTCTTCGTTATTTACATTTCCAACTCATAATAATCAATTAATTAATTAATTATATCAGAAGAACGATCTATTTTCGCATAGAGAAGAAAGTAGGATTTATTATGGTTAAAAAATAATTTTATTCATGTAACTTTCTTATTATGTCCATTTTAAATAACACATGAGTAGTTATTATATTGAAATAATAAGTAAAAATTAACAAGGATTATTGAAAAAAAAATAAAATTTAATAAAAATATAATAGATAATTTAAAAGGATTATTGAAAAAAAAATAAAATTTAATAAAAATATAATAGATAATTTAAAAATTAACTATAATATAAAAAAGAAAAGTGGACTTTATTTTTTGACAAATCAAAAAGAAAAGATGAACGGTCTTTAGAAACTACGTCAAGAAAAATACTTGGGACAAATAATTTTAGTGGGATAATCAGACTATAATTTCAATGAGGGAACAACTTTAATTGTAATCACACAAATAATATTTGAAAACTTTATATAAATATGAAAAATTAATCTTCCACTCTCTCTAATACTAAGCAGAAGTACAGAAAAATGAAAGTAGAAACAGAAGCAAAAACCTTGTAAAGAAATAGGGCCATGTTCGAAGTGCGTTTATGAAATAATTTAAGATTGAATGAGCAAATTTAAAGAAACTGGTTGGCTCTGGTAATTTGGTGCCATCAAATAATCCAAGAAATTCATTTGCTTTCAACAATTAAACAGAAGTTCTATAATTTCACACTTTCACAAGTACCTTAATCATTATTTGTCCGTTTCAATTAGTTTTCACATAAAAATAGTCATCTCAAACTGAAAAAATAAACATCCAACATATATTTTGAACAAAAATGAGAAGCATATTTATTTTCGATGATCCATTCAGGCGCAAAGAGGTGAGATGTGAGAAAGGGGACCCCAGAGTATGATTTACATCTCCAAAAACAAACACAGACGATTCAGGGAATAGTGAAAACTTCTTCTCCCTAATTTGGCAACATCTTTCTTTCTCTGAAATGTGTTGAGAAATTAACTCTCAGCAGTGGATCTTTTCTTGGTGGTGTAAGGGTAGTATTCCTTGCCATTGTCTATTCTCGTGGTCTGACCTCCAGCATCAATAACTGCAGAAGTCACTGCCAGTGCTGCTCCAGCAGAGATAGCTGTTGAGATGCTCCTCCCTGCAAAATGAGCCGCACATAATTACATCAACTGAACATTTAGTACAATTCAGAGCACTACACCAACGTCAAACTGGTCATCTTAGGAGCATAAAATAACTTCAGACTAGAATCTTCTAGCATTAAGCATGGATGATCCCTATATAATATTAATTGCTCTAATCCAAGGAATAATGCAAATATAATAAAATGACTAATGTTGGTTAAAAACCAATATCAGAAAGCCTTAACAAGGGCATTAAGAAATAAGAAAGCCTCAATATATCAGAAACCCTACTCTATATTGTAAGTTCGTAATATAGTAATATTTAGTCCCACTTTCTCTGACTACTAATTTTAACTCCTATTTGTGAAATGAAGCCATTGAATCCACCTGCCTGAACTCCAGCCAAGAAAGACTAGCTTCCATTTCATTGTAAGCAATACTATAGGAAGCAATCCCACTATCAAACTGCAGACAAAATAATTTAAGGTTTAACCAATATAACACTAAATCTTTAGTAAATTAAACATATAAAATCCTAGTGTAAAATGAATATAATATCTTTAGATTAGAAATTTTGAACTAATAGTAAAATATCGTGTAAACAAAAAAAAAAATTTCTTCAAAAAAAAAAAAAAAAAAAAAAAAAATTCCTTCAAAAAAAAAAAAAAAAAAAAGAAGGAAAGAAAAGAGAAGAAAGAAAACAAACACGAATTAAAAAAAAAAAAAAAAAAAAAAAAAGAAGAAAGAGAAGAAAGAAAACAAACACGAATTCAACAATCAACAGGACAAACATCTATGAGAACTATGACGTAAACACCTTCACTTGCATAAAAAACAAAAGGAATGAAGTTTATGCAAAGAACTTTATATTTTAGTATGAATTGATGGTTAAAAAAAAATCGTTATGGTCACTTGGAAGGTTAGTCCATTTCTTTCACTTTTCAAGAAAATCAAACTTTTTTGGTCAATGCTCAAGAAAATCAAACCAATATGATAGGATCAAATATATAAACACAGATTAGACCAAATTCCCCTGCGCACTATTTTGCATGCCAAGGTAGACCAGAACCCACAATTTACCATCTCTATAAATTTTGAAAACAGAAATAAAAAGTAAAATTCCAAACTCATTGAAAAGAGCACCCCCGTCAGGAGTCCTCCTCACCTTTGAACCCCAGAATTGAAGCCCCTGCAACAAAGCCACCAACAGCTCCATTGACAAAATCTCTCTTCATCCTGTAATGTTGAACCAGCTGCTCGACTCCAATGTAAACTCCTCCAATAGCTGCAAAAGTTGCACCATAGTTACCCATCATCTTGACGGTCCTTATTAGCCCTGGAAGTGCAACATGTTTCTCAACACGAGGAACGTCATACCAAGTGGCAACAACAGTCCCCCAGATAGTTCCAGCAACTAAACCCATAGTAGCACCTTTGATTGTTTTCTTTATGGGAGTATCATCATCCTCCAAATACCTAATTTCCGATGGATCCATGGGTCTTCTAATGAGGTCTTGACAAACGACACAAAGATCAACAAGTTAACACTTGCTCTATCCCTTTGAAAAGAAAAGGTTTTGCCAAGATAAAACCATAAAAAGCCAAAAAAATTCACCCATACCCATTATCCATACAATTTTTTCATTAGAATATTGATGGCCAAGTTGAAAATAGCGAGATTTAACGATACAACCAACAGCAACAGTAATACTAATTATAATAGCATTGGCATTATTTACACATTTATTCACGAATTTGTTGCATACAGAATGCACCAAGTGATCACTTATCAGAATTGGGCCCTATGACATAAAGACGCATTCGACCAAAACAAAATGATTAAAGGAACCATCATATCCTAAAAAAAAGAACAATTTCTCTGGACCAAGTATACGGGGGACCTTGCATTTAACAGCAATGGAAGTAGCTTCAAAATGCTACCAAAAAATACCAAAGGTACTCTTTTGAGATTAATAAAGCAATTGGCAGCACGTACACAAAAACTAAACCAAACAATACTCAGAACAAAACCTCTTAGAAAGCAAAGAAAACACTCAAGAATCGATTGTGAAATGCCTAACAAAACCAAAATGCCCAAACTCCAAAGGAGAACAGCTTCGATGAGTCGAGCATTTCTAATTTATAAAACTCACTATCTCTCCCTTGCACTCGATTACAACAACCAAACAGATCAAGTCGAGAGTAATCGATATTTCGGAGGCAATTAATATTGAATTTCAATGTAAACCCTAGAAAATATACACACGTAAAAACCAGAAAATGGAGATTGGAGACTTAATTGATTCAAGAAAATGAAATTAGCAATGGGAGTATGAGATGTTACCTTAGAACTGAAATTGATGGCGTTAGGAGCAGAAGAGAGACCTTTGTACGGTTTGAGAAAAGAAATTTCGATGGTTTGATTTCTTCTACTTGTTCCTGTAATGAACCAGCAGAATACTCTGTAATGACCATATTACCCTCATCATTGTCCTCTTTTTAATTACATATATTCATCCCATTGTCCTCTTTTAATTACATATATATATATTATATATATAATATTGTTAAAAAATATATATAACCAATGAATATTAGTTCATCATGAGCCAAACCCGGATCGGATTTTGCAACATCGTATATTTGATCATGAGTTATATTTTAAAAAATATATATATACAATGAATATTAGGTTCATCATGAGCCAACCCGGATCGGATTTTGCAACATCTATATTTGATCTGTAGTAAAAATTAATTTTCATGTAACTACTCAGGTCGGATTTAAATTGATAAGTGGATTGAATTGAATCGAATTAATAAATATAATAATTAAAAAAATTGATGGTACAAAATAAGCTGACTAAGTTGAATATTTCACTTCTAACATTACTCTAAAAATAAATAAATAAAAGAAAAAGATTTAGGCTGATATCATTAGTCAAATAGAAGAAATTTAGTTAAAAAATTTTATTGTATAAAAATATATAATATTAAAATTTTGAAATTATTTCCGGGCCGTAGCTGGACAGGTTAATCTGTTCGGTGTCGTACTGGAGCCCTCAGCCTTCATGGATTACCCAAGAGTAAAAAGGATTTCCTGAGTTGGGATTCTGCATGCTGGGCCTTATCTGGACCTAATAAACTCATCGCTCCAACTCGAACGAACTCTAACAGCTTGTCAGCATCTTGACTCGTTTGCGGGACGAGTCCACTGAACTCGATTTGACTACGAAAGCAATAGCAATTAACAGAGAAACTAACTCCTGAACATTTCTCCAGTAGCCCCTATCAGTCCTAGTTTGGCCAAATTCGCCATTTCCAAACAGAAATGCAGACTCCTGATGACATTCGAAATCTCCCTATCGACATCACATTTTCACGTCTTGGAGGTATTGTCATCATCTTCTTCAACTTCCATCATCGGTCAATGGTTTCTACTTATTATTTATAATTTGATTTTTTTTTTTCTCTCTTTTGAATTGAAAGAATGGTTGGTTGATCGGAAGAGAGTACCCGCCGATTGGAGAAAACGGATTGCCGCCGTCAGAGCTCGAATTTCTAAGGAGTTCTCCTCTCTGCCTAAGGATATAGATCCCTATTTCCAAACCCTTGACCCCGAAGGTTTATTTCTCAATACTTTTAATGTTAATTGCTCTTTTTTTTTCTTATTTGGTTTTTAGCTTTATCTTGACTCTGTGAATTTCATTTCTGTTATCACGTTTTTTGAGAATTTGGGAACTTAAATCCTCATGTTTGTTTGGAATATGTCTTCTTCGACTAGTGACACTCAACTCTGTGATGCTGAAAATTCTTAGCTAGGTCAAAAAATTACAATGGTTACTGATCTTTAACTTATCTAAAATGTATTTGATTTAGTTATATGTCATTTGGTATGATTATTATCATGAGACCTTACTTGAATGCCATAGTGTTGAAAGGGATTAATGATTGAATTTTGAGTTTCAGCCGTGTGGCTACAATTTCTTTATTAAATAGAAATGAAAAGCTTCTAGTAAAGGACTTGGCTTAATGTTGGTGATCTCGGCCTTTTTAATGTGTCATTCAGTTTGCAGCTCCTAATTCGTATGGGCGAGAATGGGTATTTTTCTCAATTTTTGGGATCTAATCACCTTTGTTTAATGTTACACTTGATAGCCAAATGTTTGATTAACAAAATTGAAAGGGGATGTTATGCAATTAATTTATATTGTGTTTGTTCTAGATCTTCCTGAAATAAAGAGGCATTCAATTCTGAAATTCATTTTTGGTCCATATGCATGATATTTAGCTCAAAGGGTTATCTTATTTTGTGATAAGTTATTTTTTCTTGCAAATTTTCTGGTATATGATCATTTGTCTACCACTTTCAGGGATTGGGTATTTAGAGGCCAAGAAAATTTATGATGTTCTTGTGAAAAAGACTCCAGAAAGCCGGAATATATTTGGTCGGCTATCAGGTGCTGCTGTAAGATAGTCCTTTCATCCTTCTCTCTCTCTCTGTCTCTTTTAAATTAGATTTCTGTGAAGATTGCTGAATGTATTTTATTCTTTTGTAGGGTGCTTGGGAGGCAATTGTGCATTCTTTTGAGAAGGACTACATCTACCTAGGTGAGGCTGCACAAATAATAATTCAAAATGTAAATTATGAAATGTAAGTCTGCATTGTTCTAGTTGTCCACCCCTTGATTTTAAAAATAAAATATATTATTTGTTAGACCAATTGGGTGTTAGTATTAATACTTATACCCCTTTAAATGTTGAAGACCATATCAGAAAAAGCAGGTACAGAAGATCCAGCAACAATTAGCAGAACTAGAGCGCAAGGAAGCTGATATAAAAAGAAGTGCATCTCTTTCAGCAGCTAAATATATTGAGGCTTGTCAAGAGCTTGGACTGCAGGTTATACCTTCACCCATTCTACTGATAGTTGTAAAAACCAGAGAGACATTTCTTTGTTCTATGTCAACAATTAATTTAATTTAATTTCAATCTGCAGGGAAACAATGTTAGATCTGAACTCTTAGAGACTGCAAAATCACTACCAGGCACATTTAGCAGGATTCTTGAAGTAATAAATAGTGATTCTCTGCTGCGGGCAATAGAGTATTATTCCACTTTTGTCAAAGATGTTCACACAGAAAAGGATGTAAGCCAATGACATTCTTTTTCCATGTAGTTCTCCTATGGAAGGTTTTTAGACCAGGAACTATAAAACAGGAACTGGGTCAGTTGCCATTCTAATCTGTGGGGCAACCCTTCTGGCTTAAAACCTGCTTGAACTGGCTGGCAGGCTGGGTAACTGGTGAACTGGTGACCTAGTCCTTGATTTCAGCAGGCAGTAGTAAAATAGGGTTGATGTAAGCTGCCACACCGCCCTCAATTTTATTTTGAAAAAAAAAACTTCAACTTTGCAAGTCTTAAGTCTTGAATCCACATGCAGACATGCCCTAAGACTATTTCAGCATCCATTTCCATGGAATCAAACAATCATGTTAATACTTTTTTTCTTTTCATAATAAATGTTTATTGCTTAACAATATTTGCAAAATCCCTCTATTATTTAGTAAGTTGATAAAAAACTGCATGGTTATCTATGCAAGTAATTCTAATTTTTTTGCTAATATAATTTTATTTCTTTTTATTTAAATCCTTGTAACTATTTTTACTATTACAAGAAAAATTGTTATTCGAAATATTTCAAATTATTTATTGGAAAAGATTTATTATAATGAAACTTGACTACAGTTACTTGTAATTTGCTAACAAATTTGACTAAAATTTTGTTCATTTTAATATGTTTCAATTCACATGATATTTAATAAACTATACAAGTTTTCATATGTATTATTTAATATTTAATTGAGTTCTTGTTCAATTCCTACTTCAACCTGGTTGAATCTTTGCCACGTAACTTTCTACTTTTTTCGATTCAATGGTCCCAATTGATGCATGTTCTTTCTCATTAATCAATGCATTAGATGCAGGTTCAATTGGGTTCCATCATCTTGATTTTTGTGGTATTGATGGTTACTTAAGTGCTTAACTTAGCAAATATGGGACACATTAGATGTCCTGTTATTATCTAATTTTTGACTATTTAAGTTTATTCTGTTCTTTTTACTCTTAAGATATTGGTAATCTAAGATTTCATTGTTTAATGTTTTATTGTGCCAAATTATCACTAGGGCTACTTGAAAAGACAGAATGCTGAACAAGAAAATTTGGAATGATGCCCATGTTATGCAGATGAAAGTTGATTATATCAGTGTGTTTCATAAATTAATCCAGCTTGTAAATGCATTTGCAGAAATCGTCATGGACAATATTATTGAACTTGAAAGACATTCGTGAAAACCCTCCATCACTAAATGTTTCTGCTGGCCCAGAGATCCTTGATGCTGCAAATGTGCAATTAAGTTTTGATGAATCAAGTCATGTGAGAGGGGACAAGGATGCTATTTCAGATAGTATTGATTGGGATATTTCTGTCGATAGTGCTCAGATTGACTGGGATATTGGAGTTGTGGAAGAAACTGATGATGGTGGTAATGGTTTGGGTCCTTATGAGATTGTGAATGCTAGTGACATCTTACAGAGTTCATCACAAAATGAAGCTGTAGAATCCGAACGAACCCCATTAAATAAAGGGGAAGACAGCTTGCATCCAGAGGTTTCTGTATCAGAAATATCTTGGGATATTAGTGTTGAAACACCTCAGGTTGATGTCATTGACGATGTCAATTTGCTAAATGGTAGCCTGGAAAATCCTACATTTGTTCCAGACTCTTTAATGCACAATGCAGGAGTGAAGGAAGAAAGGAGCCAGCTTTTGGAGACCGAGTACAGGAATAAACTTCTTGATGACTTATATGAGGTATGCTCGTATTTCAGTACCTGATTCTCTTAGCTTATATGTTACTGTGATATTATCATTATTATTATGTGATTTGTTATTATTATTATTATTATTTAATGACTTTTGGTATGTCTCATATTAGATCAAAGCATTTTTGAGCCAGCGATTGACTGAGTTGAGAAATGAAGAGACTTTGTCCTTGCAACATCAAGTACAGTCTGTTGCTCCGTTGGTTGTGCAGCAGTATACTCCTGATGCCATTGAGACAATGTTGTCAGATGTTTTCTTGGTCATTTCCTTGCTGACAAATAGGAAAACGCGAGACTTGATAATGATTCTCAATTCCAGAAGGTATGCTGATCTATACTTGTTTTTCTATCTTGTCATTTACATCTTTGTTTGTTTTTAATAATTTAGAATGGAACTTCCAAGAAAACTTCCCTATGTTGTTTGCAAAAGAAATTAAGACTAGAAATATGAGGTGCTCTATTGTCCTTTTGGTTAGGGAAAAGTTATGGGTCAGCATCTTATAACCAAACTGCATTGCTTTTCTTGATTCATCTTTTTTAATCTCCAAGTAATTGCAGTGGAAAACTTTAACATGTTAAATGATAGCCGTTGCTGTTTGAGGATCACATAAGAACTGAACACTGTTGTTAGCATGCTGTCAAGTAATCAGAATTATACGTTTACCTGTACATAGGCCTAAGTTGTAGCTTGTTAATGCATTTTATAACTTTAAAGTGTAGAAGTGGACTGGCAAGACCAGCAGCAATTTTGTGATTGTACTGCTTCAAAAGTATATGAAGCTTATAGAGACCTGAACATGGGCTTTTCTTATTTTTTCTTTTTGTTTTAATTTATTGTTATTATCATTTCTGGGGAGCAAGATGCTTTTGGAAGGAATTCTGACCTTGACTGATTTTATGTCAGCATGGTAACATGATTTATTATTATTATTATTATTATTATTATTATGCAACTGAAACTGCATCTTTTGATGTATTGGTTTTCTTTTTGAAATTGGAGCGTAATGAGTTTTAAAGCTACTTTAACATGTCTGCTCAATTTTCAGGTTTCTAGACAGACTGGTAAGTTCATTGGAGGAAAAGAAGCATCACGAGTTGAAATTAAAAGAGGGGTTGAAGGACTTGGCGGCTAAACGCATGGAACTTCACAATTCATTATCTTCATCATGGCCAAAGCAGGTGATATTTTTTTTTTTAAAAAAACAAAATTGATTGTGCTTCGTGATGGAAAGTAGAGCTTGTTTGGTTTTGTTGTTCATACTAGCTCATAAAAGGTTGCTGGTAACTCATAGCTGGTGGTTGATAGTAGTTAGCTAATCTATGTCTGTGTTTAGTAAAATTATAGTAGCGATTGCTGTTAAAAATGTAAAGTAACCATTAGGGTATAATTAGCTAGCAGCTGATTGGGATTTCTATCAACTACTAGCTGCTTATCAAAATCTTTACTAAACATCTTAAGTTTAGTTGTTTGGTATGAATTAGCTAATCAGCTGCATGAATCAGCTGAACTAGATGCGCTCTTAGTATTCTGTTCTGCCGTATTAAGAGGTTATTCTTGTTATGCTCTCTTATCTTCAAGTTGCGCTCATCACTCTTCATAAACTCTCTTTTAATCTACTTCACCTTTCTATTTCTTCTAGATTGGATAAAAGATCGTTATGTTTGACAGTTTTAGATTTGGACCTATTATTGTCTATGACATTCTATTTCTCTCTGCTGCCCTTTTTTCTCTCAAGCATGGACAGATATTTTATTTAACATATAAAATAAAGGAACGAAGGGAACTGAAAGGATATTCTCTCACTTTTTTTTTTTTTTTTTTTATTGTCTTGACAGTTCTATTTCTCTCTTTGCTGCCCTGGTTTCTCTCAAGCATGGACAGAGTATTTTATTAAACATTATAAAATAAAGGAACGAAGGGAACTGAAAGGATTATTCTCGTCACTTTTTTTTTTTTTTGACTATCAAAATTACCCTTCCTGCGTAAAAAGCTTTTTTTTTTTTTTGACTATCAAATTACCTTCCTCGTAAAAGATGATTCCCTGAAGTGTTGTAACTTAAAAAGTCAACTTGACCTACAGAAGAAGGCAAAAAAGGTCGTTTAGATTTATAATGTTGTGGTTGATTAGCTTGTGCGCTGACATGTATGTTCTGAGGGTATTTGAACAGAATCAGAATACTTGTTTATATCTAAATGATCATTGACTTTCAGCTGTTTCTCTGTAGCCTATATTAGGATTTCAAGAATCTTCTTTGGATCAAATGAATGAGACATTCATTTCATTTGCAAATGAAGTTCAGTAATAAAATTCACTTTTAATGAACTCTTGTGTTTGGTATCCTAACTGTTAAGTATATAATTTATTTGTGAAGTCAACTAATTTTAGTCCAATCATGTTGTAGCCTTCTTAGGTTTAGTTCATATGCAAATTCTATTAAATCTAATAAGACTTGGTTATAGAATTAATGATTGAAAACTATTGTTGATTTTTCATTTGTATTAAACATAAAAACAGGCGGATTTGCAAATAAATGCCATAAAAATTTCGTTGGATTCAATTCCACCAAAAGATGTCTAGTGTTTTTTTTTTTTTTCTTTTTGGGTTGGCTTTAGGATCCTTTTACTTGAAACAGTGTCATGTGAAGTATGGAGATATTATAGATGTTGGTATAGGTTCCATATGCATATCTTTTTGGTTTTCTTATGGAGTTATGGTGTTAAACTTGTTATTTCTAAATTGCTCAAAAAGGAGAGTCCTTGGATTAATTTCCTTAAATCTTTTGCTTTATTCAAATTCTATAGGTTCTTTTTCGGGTATTTATGCATTATTATTGGTTGATTATGCTGCTTCCACTCTAATCCTGTATTCATGCTTGCATTACTGTATTGCTGTCTTTATTAATTATCTTTTTAAGGGAAATAAGTCAGATATGCATTCAAAACTTTCAGTTGACTGAAAATCAAATATTAATGATTGACAAATATTCAAATATTTTCATTTCAAGAAAAAAAATATTGAATAGATGCTGTCCTTGATCACAGGAAGCTGCTCTTGCGAAAACCAGAGAGCTGAAGAAGCTTTGTGAGAGTACCCTTTCATCCATGTTTGATGGAAGACCTGTTAACATAATTGGTGAGATCAATACCTTATTGAACAGCGGCGTTAATGCATGAACTCTCCATGGCCTTTTGATTTGGGCAAAGAATGTTAACGTTGGAATGAGATGATCGGCATATTGCAGCCATTATTGCATACATACTGTTGTAAGATGATCACAAGCATGAAGATATGATTTTACTTTTTTTTGCTTCCCTTAAATCAAAAATTAAAGAAGATGAACAAATTTTGGGATTATGCCCACGGGAGGCACATGCAACGCAAGCCTGCAAATTACTTAAATCTTTTTTTCCGGTGCATTTAGATGGCTTTTCTTGTGTTTGTAGAGAAAATTTTAGAGTATTGCAATGTCCTGATGAGAAAAATATTACTGACAATAGAAAATAGAGTTCTAGCGGCCATGACATTTCATCTTTGCAATGTGATAGGAGCAGTAATAAACATAGAATATATGTAATTGCGAAGTAATAGTGCGTTCTTAGAATTTGAAGTGGTAATTTTGTTAGACAAGTGTAGTGCAGTAGGATGTCCACAGCAAAGTTTTATACTTGCACCTTAAACCGAGAAAACAGAGAAAGCAACAAATGGCCTGATCCCACATATTCTCAAAAAAAAAAAAAAAAAAATTTCTCCAAAAAAAAAAAAAAAAAACACAAAAACTTTCAAGATAAATAGAAACAAAAAAAAAAAAAAAAAAACACAAAAACTTTCAAGATAAATAGAAAATTATTTTTTCTGAAATAATTTTCTTCTAAATTGAAATGTCGGAAGGATCTGAACAGAAATGGTAGAGCTATTGAAATATAGAAGAGAATTGGAAATTGGGGAGAGACATTAAAGAATTTTAGAGAACTTAAAATTTCGGGATCCCTTTCACTTGATTAAAGAATTTGAGATTTTTCATGAAGTGAATACAGAATTACAACAATGATGACAGTTGGAATGAATGTAGTGCGAATGGTATTCAACTAGAATCACTTATCAATTTATTTAGAAGCAAACTGCTAGCAATTTCTGGCGGAGTAATGGTGTGATGAAGAGCCTCTGAGACTAGAGTCTGTTACGTCAAAAAATGTGTCAAAGGTATCTTCAGCCCCATCTAGAGGACTGCTATTTGCAAAGGTGAATTTTTGCAGCAGCGACGCCAGAGAGACCACAATTTCAGACATAGGCGGTCGGAATAGCATCTCAGGCTGTTCACATGAAAATAATTCTGATCGACTATGTGCAATTATTTCAGAAAAAAAAAAAGGAGCTACCTTTTCTAAACTACTTGAATAAATTGCAGTAATATATGGCAATACCTGAATACAGAGTGAAACAACATCTGCAAATTGGGAGAGAGCTTTTGGGGAGACTGTTGTTATGTTGATGCCTGGATCTACCATTAGTTCCAAAGATGCATTATCATGAAGACGACATGAAGCCCATTTTACCAATGATTGCTCTTCACTTGGTCTTGAGCTGTGTTAGAGGACATGAAAGATCTATCATTAATAAATACTTAAAAAATGTAAGAGAAACAAAAGAATATGTATGAGCCATACCTATCAAAAGCTTTCCGTCCTGTTAAAAGCTCCAAAAGCAACACTCCGAACGCATATACATCGCTTTTCGTGTCATCTGCTCCTTCCCCAATCTCAGGCGCAGTGTAGCCAATGTCATCAATAACAATTTCAGAAGCCTGTTTATAACATTGTTCAATTGCAGCAGACGAGACTTTGTTAGTAAGTTACAAATTCTGTAGCCGAAGTGCTTTTAACATGCCATTTTTAAGAGGGCATCTTCATATCCTATTGTTAGCCACTTATTACTGTTATAAAGAAATTGTTTAGGAGACTAATCAAATGCTTACCTTAAGTTTATCACTGTTGCTTGTCAGCGATCTCAAAATTGCAGTGCCGCAGTCACATAGACGAGGCTTAAGTTCTTCATCAAGTAAGACATTACTAGCCTTTATGTTGCCATGAGTGATAGGAGGGGAGAAACAACTATGCAAGTAGCTGAAATAGTCATTTTTGCAAGAGGAAGGAATAAAACTCTTTTGCAGCTTTTGATAAGCTATTTCAATTAAAAAAAATGGTGTCTAAATTCAATCCAATATTGGGAAAAGACAAGTTTTCATGTCATACTATGCATACTATAGTAAAGATGGGAACCTGTTAAGGGAACTAACTATATGGGATACTTACTCCAGAGCTGCAGCAACACCAAGTGCAATATTAATGCGAGTAATCCATGGCAGTGATTTGTGTTCTTCATTATGCAGAACATCATGAAGTGTAACATTTTTTATATACTCATACACAAGAAGATGTTGTCCATGTTCTATACAGTAGCCAACAAGTGTTACAATGTTTGGGTGCCTCAATCGCGATGCATTGCAAAGCACATCTGAGAATTGTTCTTCTTCTTGCAAAGATAGTGATGCCATGCGGATGTATTTCACAGCTGATATCTGCAGAAAAAGACTTCTCATGACAGGATACAATCTGAAAAGTTAAAACAATTGACAAAGCAATCCATGAGTTCAGATACTTACTTGGCCATCAGGGAATTCAGCTTTATACACACAACCAAGAGATCCCTCTCCTAGTATATTCTCTTCACTGAAACTGCTTGTTGCTGATTGAAGCTCCGCCACTGTGTAAATTTTAGCACTTTCTGGAGCTTTGAATTTCTCGGCAAAGCATGTTGTACGGCAAGTAGAAGTTATATGGTTCGGGTCAAGAGTAGATGGAGCTTTGACTGGCAAGAATTTTGGACTTGCTTTGAGTGCTAGTAGAGAAAAGTCTGATACGATATATAGAAAATAAATGCAGAAGAAAAGTTCAATGACAAAAGAAGTACATAAGAACACTTGATGTTGCAAAAGAAGCTATACTGCATTCATCCGTAGGGGAGTTGAAATGATAAGTAGCCTATCAACAATGCATTTTTAAGAAAACTTGGGAAAGTCAAGAATAGTTTGTGCTATCAGGTAGAATGTCATAATTTCAAAACAAAAACATATAAATACAAAAGAAAATCAAAGATAAGAAAAATATACTTGAGCTAATAATTTAGAAATATGCATAGAAAGTGAATGACATTCATTAAATAATCAACGCAGTAGAAAAGATTGAAGGAGTCATTAAATGGAATATTTTGGAGTTAACAAAGAGAAATAATTTAGGGTGAAACATATAAAACAGTAACTTGTTATCAATAATATAACTAGTAATAGGAACTCAGGCATATTTCCGCACAAAGATTAGACTGCAGCTTTGAATTCAATAATCAATTTGGTCAATTAATACTTGTGAATTGTACTTCAGTAATCAATCGTCAATGGTAATTTTATACATAAATAGTCTCACCTCTGGTTCTAATGACTGGAAAAACATGGGGTCGTTTGACAAAAATTACAGCAGTTGCTGCACAGGTAACTGCAAGAGTTGTTGCAACCACTATACAAGCTATTCCTCCAGGGCCTAGCCGTCTCTTCTTCACGTGTCCAAATGCTTCAGGATTGAGAGACTTATCTGTGGCACTTGATTCTGTAGTTGGTTGGTCACTAAAATTTTTCCCAACGGTCACATTTTTCGTTTCAGGAAAATTCCAGGGTGGGTAGTTGCCTCCCATGAATTCGTTCCCATCAATCCTATCAACAGGCAAAACCAATAGAGAAACGATAATTGGTACTTAGTGCAGACAGCTAAAACTAACAACAGTTACTTACCATAGATTTTGTATTGACTGAAAATGAGCTGGGATAACACCACTAAAATGATTGCTTTGGATGTTCCTGATAACACATAAAAGAAAAAGATCAAAAAAGTCATATAAGCCAAATGTGGAAAATGCTACCAAGCACAGTGGGAAAAATTTGAAGGAACCTACAAATCGGTTAGCGGTAGATCAGCCAGGTAGATAACTGATCCGGTGAATTGGTTATTTTGCAAGAACCTGCAGATTTGGCCAAAGCAACAAATAAGAACCACTTGACATATGAAAGGAGAGTAAAACATTGTAATCTGCATTAAGGTCCAAATTTCTAGGAAATTAAATTAAACTCACAATCTAGAAAGATTTGTCAGGGATCCTATAGAAGTTGGTAAATCTCCAGTGAAGTAATTGAATGATAAATCCCTGTGACAGTATCTCATGAAGAAACAAGAGTAACCACAAGTTAAAACAAGAGTCATACTTAAATTATGTTTGTGCATGGGCAATGGGGTGTAAATGGAACATACATCTCTTTTAGATTCTTCATGGCAATGAACACATTGCCAATGGGCCCATATAATGAATTGTGGCTTAGATTCCTGGAGAAGAACAGTCAGTAGGATTCAGGACTAAACGCTCATAGACAGAGACAAGTAAAATGAATAGTCAGCTGAGAGCAACTTACAGATATCGGAGAACTTTCAAGGTAGATAAAGAATAGGGAATATTTTGATTCAATTTGTTGCATGCTAAATTGCTGCATTACAATCATATAAAAATCATCCATAAATAAACGCATATGAGTATTTATCAACTTGATATAAATGTGACGATGCAATGAACAATCATCAACTTACATGCGAGTAGCATTAGGGGGTAAGCCATATGGAATTTCACCCTGAAGATAATTGTAGCTAAGATCCCTACGATTAGAATAAAAAAAAAAAAAGCAGAAAAATGTAGATCAAAAGTTTCAGCTTCATTGACAACAAAATCTAAACCAAAACCAAAATCAACTTACAGGTGCTTCAAACTATAGAGATTATGCAGTTGGGTTCCTAGGTACCCACTAAGGTTTAATCCCTGAAGCTTACTGCAGAAAGTGAAAGAACAAATTAATGTTAACAGTGGCAATGTATTATAGTCGACAAACAGTAGAAAATGGTGGGTTATGCGTAATACAGGTCTCTGAGAGATGATCCAGAACAAAAAACTCCAGTCCATGACTCCTGACATGGATCCCCTCCACCAGTTCTCCACCCCTTCAGCTGTGGTGGCTTATTCAGGGATGCGTACAGATTTTCAAGGGCCATAACTGCAAGATTGAAAGACAATCCAATTATTAAATAATTAATTTTTTAAAATCAATAGAACAATTATATGTGCTGTACATGAGTATTAAATATTTATTTAAGAAAAAAATATATTAAATTTTTTAAAACTAGTATTAAAAAGGGAATTAAAGCAAGTCCTGGAGGAACAACAAAAAGAGGTTATAGCCGTAATTTTAATTAATCGGGTCCCATTAATTACATAATTGATTATTAGTTTGGTGAGTTGCAATTAGCAGATCAAGACAATTGTTAATCTAAGTTGATTTACTGCTTCTCCATTAACTCCATTTAATCAATTATGTCATAATCATTATGTTTTTTTTTTTGGGTTCCACATGGTTAATAAGTAAGCTTGTACACACTGGATATTTACTCAAACGTAAGGGCAGATAACGACAATTTAGGGCATGGATCAGTGATTCTCCCGCCATTTCTTCCTCTCTTAGCCATTTTAAAAATAAAATAAAAAATAATAATTCGCCGGCTTAAGTATTTTTTTTCTGTTTGGTTTCTAAGAAAACATCAAAAGAAAAGTAAATTCTTAATCTTGAGCCTACTAAATTAGACTTCAATTTCTGTTGATGGGTTACTGAACGACGAAAACTTTCGAAAGAACTATGACTTCTTGTTACTTTTCCTGTATTTTCGCAGTATTCAAACAGAGGATCGAGAGTATTCTAGAGAAGTGTAGTATTGTCATTTATCGTGAATAACACTAGAATTCAGAGAAATTACTATAACAAACTCCATAGATAAAGAGAAAAATAGAAAGAGAAGAAACGATTATGAAGTAGATTTTACCGTCATTCTGATCCGTAAATGCCCAAGCCTGTGAAACCAGAATCGCCGAGAAAGCGATTAAAGTGAAATACAATTGCAGTAACTCTTTGGCCATTATTATCTCAAGAATCAGAGTTAACTTCCTAGAACCAAAGAGCAAAAACGTGTAGTTAGTTCTTCGAGAATAGTTGTGTTAGTTAAACAGACTGCGAGTTACAAGAAGAAACCCCTGTTTGGTTGCCGAGAAAATTATTTACGGGAAAATACGAAAGATAAAGAAAATTGAAACTACCAAGAAAACGAATTTCGTCCTGAGTTTCAAAAGCAAAAATTTTCTTGCGTTTTCCTTTGTGTTTTCTTTGAGACCAAACAAAGAGGAGAGTTTTGAAGAAACAAAATGAAAATAAATTCAAAGAGAGTGGAAATGCAATGAAAATAGAGTTTTGAAGAACCTTTTTGAAGAAACTATTCTCTTGTTGACTATAGAGAGGATGTTGGAGTGTGCTTTTTGGTTGGTTTGTTACAGACAGAGTACTGATCTTGACGGTGATAGCATGATATATAACAGTATCTGTCCAGCTTCCACGTCAGCAGAAAACCGTTATGGTCGTTTGTGACACGTGCCAGGAAATCTCTCTCGTTGATTGGGCTTGGGTTCCTACAACCTCGTCGGGCCAATATTGGCCCATTTACTGCACCATCGTGTTTTCTGCTAAATGTTCTTTCTCTTTCACTCTCTAGTCTCTGTTTATCAAAATCTCTGTAATGGCAGCAAAGAAACAGGGAAATGAAGAGGAAGATTACATGGGAGATCTCTCTCAGTTTCTTCCTCCTGAAACATCCAATTCTTCTAAATTCTCAAGCAAAAAGGTCAGTTTGAGCTCTTTTAATAATCTTCAACAACATTTATTCTCTCTATCTTATTATGTTGATCTTTGTTTATTTGCGCAACAAAACCTAGCAAAAAGAACTGAACGATTTAATCGAACATTTAGGTAGTTTTTTTATTAAACTAAATATACTATAATTTAATTTGCAGCTCTGAGTTACAAAACCCTAACACAATTATCCAATTTAATCAGTGAATAGCTTATGTTGGGAAAGAAATTAATTTTAGATGTGAAAACACAGAAAAATGAAAGGAAATCAGTAGAATTGTACTGTTGTGAGATATTTATATCCAAGCAAGTTTTTGTATCTGTGATAGATGCATGTGCTAAATGTATGTTAAAGCAAATATTTTATTATACAGTGAGGAGTGTTGATTATGGGTTTTTTTTTTCCCCCTTTTTTGTGTAAAGAATATGTTTAAGTTTATGGAACTATTATTTTTCTGCAAACTTGTCATCTAGACATCACCAAACAATTGGAATATTCATATCTAATTTTATTTTAATTCTTATTTTTTTAGTGGATGAGGGAAAGAATTATCATCATCATTTGTGCAGATCCTGGGCACCAGTACTTCAGCTTTTCAATCATCCAAGAAGAAGTCCAAAACTCTCAGCTGGCAAGAGCAGCGTAGACTTGAAAGAGAAAGAAAGCAACAAGAAGAGGATAAGCAAACCTTAACAAATATAGAGGCTCCAATTCCACAATCAAATATTGGATTTAAGTTGTTAAAGCAAATGGGTTACACCCCCGGTTCAGCTCTTGGTAAGGAGGGCTCAGGAAGAGCTGAGCCGGTGGCAATTGAGATTCGACGAACACGCGTTGGAATTGGAAGGGAGGATCCGCATAAGGAGAAGAGGAAGAGAGAGGAGCTTGATGCTGAGAGGAACAGAAGGAAGGAAGAGACATTGATAGCAGAGTTCGGGTCTAGGCAAAAATCACAATGGCGGAGTAGGAAGGTTGTTGTAAATTTCAAAAAAGCAAAAGCTGCTCTTGACCAGTTGGAGAACAAAGAAATCGTGGCAACAAAGAAGAATGAGGACGAGGAGGGTGAACAGGAGGAAGAGGAGGAAGAAATAACTGAAGAGGTATGTTCAGAGAAAATTTTTTTCATTACTCTTTATAAGTTACATTTTAGCTACTTTTTGCTTTTAATATGTAAGCAGGATTGAAATCAGTTGAGTAACGTGTTCAAACTGAACAAATTATGGATGTCCATCCAACTATTTGTTGTTGTTACATGCGATTTGGCAGTTGACATGCCAAATTACTTAATATTAAATTTGATTTTGTTAATGGCCGCATATGAACTTGAGGTATTTAATAGTAACTGATTGCCATTTGGATGTTGGATCATGAAATTCTTTGGTTTACTTGCTATTAAGATTAGAATCACATATCAGACAGCTGTACCCTACATTCAGATCGATAAACTAAATAGAGTGTAGGATGAGGTCTAAAAATATCGGTTATAAAACCTAAAAGTGCATAATATTTAGTGGCCTTCGATGCTGGGAAAAGGAAAAACAAAAATCCCAATCATTGTTTCGAATGTTTGTCTGTGATATGTGATTTTAATCTTAATAGCAAGTAAACCAAAGAATTTCTTCATCCAACATCAAAATGCCATTCAGTTATGATTAAATAACTCAAGTTCATTCAAGGGGGGAAAAGCCAATCCATTAAAAATTAGCTAAATAGATTGTAGGATGCAGTCTAAAAATGCCTATATAAACAATGATGGGGCCACAGATGCATTACGTTGTTTTATAGGTTCTGTTGATCCATTTGCCATTATGGTTGGTGACTGGTGAGGAACATTCCATTTCATGATGTTTGTTACCTTTGGATGCAATATAAATAAAATTCCATTATAAGCTGGCCAAATGAAAGCTGTTTTCAATATGCTTCATGCTATTATTTGCTTTCATTTTGCTTCAAACTTGATGTTAAAACACGTTTTGGAAAATTCCTGAAATGGTGTTGTATTGGATAACTGCATTGGGGACCTTTTCCTTAGATTGGAGACGAGAGACAAGATACGGTTTGACAAAACTCTAGTATATTTGAACTTTTAGGCCTAAGGAAACTTTCTACTGTTAACAACTCTTCATGTACCATTAATCTTTGTGCCTTTGGCCTTTTTTCAATTTTCAGTTTTGGAAATTGAAATGCATTGAGTTATGGTTTTTTCTGTTTCATGTATTATTTTTGGAAACAGAAAAATAATCATTTGGTATTTTAACAATTTCCTAGTAGTTCTCTCTTTCACCAGACAAACACACAACAAAGAAAGGAAAAAAAATGAAGTTTAAACTGAACTGCTTTAGTGATTTCCTGATTGCAGTTATGAAAGGTTTTCTTTCCAAAATCCTTAAATGAAAATTTTGTTGTGAACAATCATCAATACGAGTTTTTTTTTGTGTATGTAAACATGCTAACATTCTTATCTAAAGTTTGAACAAGTAAAAAATTCCTTTGAATTTCTGTTACTATCAGGGAGAGGATGTCTTTCTTTTCTTATCATTTTCTTCTCCTTTCAAGGATAAGGAGAAGATGTTATTGGATTTTACCTTCTTCCAATTGAAAAGGAAAAGCCGAAGTCTTACATATTCTGAAATCAGTCAAATCCCTCCTCTCTTGAGATTGGATTGTCCTACTTGTTAGTGCCTTTTGTCTTTTGGGGTTGTTATGTAAGTCCTGGTGAAGACTTGTACAAAACCAAATAACAAGATCCTTTTGAATCAAATTGGGAGATCAAATTGTATCCTGGGACTAACAGGTACTTAGTTATAACAAGTACAGAGAACAGAAAACCAGGTTCTGCAAACAATTAAATATAATATCATTTCATCCAAAGTAAGTGAATGTTTGTAGCATTACTGTCTTCTTTCAGTAGGCAAATCTGAGTGTGACTAAGATTTTTATACTTATTCATTTCAGTTTATCTTCATATTCATTAATTAGATAGTTTTTACTTTCTTGGAGATCCTAAGGGCAGTGAACTTGTGGATGCAGGATTTGCAAGAAGTATTGATGACACTGAGGGATGAATATAGATACTGCCTATTTTGTGGATTTCAGGCAAGTCGATTTCTTTCATTCTAGCTGATTATGAAGCATACCGAAATTTTTGCATATGTACATCTTCAATTACAAATTCAAAAGACATGACATTAGCTTGCTGCTTGTTTCAGTATGAAACAATGGAAGCACTTCTCTCCAACTGCCCTGGAATAGATGAAGATGAACATTAGAGTGGCGTCCCAACTTGTTTTGATTCATCTTATATTTAGCATCCAAGTGGAATGTCTGCTTGCAATGTTGATTTCCGGAGAAGATATTGAGGCAAAAGCAAAGCAGAAAGGTGATAAATCTTACACATGTTCTAAAGCATAAGTTGCTGCTGGGGATTTGATTCATTGCAAGTCACGTAAAAGTTTCTCATAGGATTTTACATGCTCAGGGATAGGTAGCTGCAACAGTTTGGACAATATGCTTAATTATTAGTTAGATAGTTCAGACTACATGGTGTCATTTTTAGCCAAGGTTTGATGGCAATAGCCAAATCCAAAAAGTTAAATTTTCGAGATTCTTTCCCCCTCATCTCCCTCATTCAAGTTAGATTGAAGTGGCTGTGGTTGAGGCAAATGATTATGAGTTTGTTTGGTATCAAAGTAGACTTAAAAAAGAAAAAAGAAAGAAATGGAAAAACAAACACACTAGTATAGATGTTTAAAAAGCAGCATAACCATTTTGAAATTTTTATAATTGAAAACATTTGAAGGTCATTTTTAAAGCATGAATTTTACTGACCTCTATCTAACATTTTCAATATGGTACTTAACTACTCAAACGTTGCTAAACATATACTAAAACATGCAGAGTTTAATCAAAGTCTCTCTTGCAAAGCTGTTGAACCGACAACTTTATTAAGGGGCCGGAAATTTCAATCCTTAACTAATCTGCTTATCCCACGTCAAAACATCTTGAAAATATGAAAGTCGAACTAAAAATTTTGGTTTTTGGGGCAAGATTCCATTAATCATCATATAACCACCAGCATCTGATGCACCTCAGCTTAGCTGCCTCGTAACACACAATGGCCATGAGCACACAACTCAAAACACAAACTGCTTCACAGAGCCACCTAAATGATAATCAGTCAAACATATCTCCTTGTTTCAGTCATAATAATAACAACAATAATAATATTAATATTCCAGTTCACAGGTAAAGTCGATCTTAATAAGCCCAATGTACCAGAGCCATTGCCACTGTTATTAAGATTTTAAGAGACATAGGTGCACATTAGCAACAGTCTTGCAATTTTATGCAAATAAACACCAAGTGCCAAAAAAAGTAGATAAGGTTTATGCCCCAACATAAAAATACACGCATAAGGTCACCTGCGCAAAGTTTAGATTCCACATAGTGGGCCGCTTAGAGCGACCAGTGTATGTGATGAGTAGAAGAGTCAAATGCCCTGGAGTGGTCAAGTTCCATATACTGCCTCCTATTCTGTTGAGACAGCTCAAGCTCACCTGAGAAATGACTGTTCAAAGGCTGTGAAATTTGACCCAGACCAAGATCAGGGCACATCTCGTGCGAACTGCTACTAGCTTCACTGCCCTTGAAACCCCAAGACGGGTTCGAATATTGATTCACAGCTGCACCATGAGGAGCTGTTGATTGAGCCATGGGTGCTCCTTGGGTATTCACACCAAGTCCTGGTTCTTGATTTCTTGAGCCCCATGGTTGATTTGACAGAAGAGAGAGAGCACAGCTTGAGTCAGCAATGCCAACTCCTGTGAAGCATTCTCCCGAAGGAATTCCAGAACTGGAAAAACCAGCTCCACAAGCTGCTGATCCTTGTAGATAGAGATTGGATGGAGGATTCTGAGAACTATTCTGCCATGGATGAGGAATAGACCTTCCTGTCGATGCAGTTTGATTTACAGGCGAACGCTCTGATGATCTTCCAGTTGGCCATGCATCCCTTCCACTAAGCCTTGAGTAAGCACTGAAGTCCACAAGAAAGCCTCCACCTCTGTTGCTGCTATCTGTTACCAAACAAACCAAACAGTCAAAATCATATTTAGAACCATATGTTTTTCATGGCGGTCATAGAGAGGAAACATTTAGTGGTCTTACCATAAAGTGTTGAAGAGAGACGGTTATAGCGAGAAGACAACACTGATCCAGGTGGCGGTTTCCTCCGCCGCTCATTATGGCCAGCTAGGCGTCTGCGGCAACTTCGTTTTCCTTGGTCAAATTCAGGAAGTTGATGAAATCTGATCATAACTAGCAGACAAGTTACTAATAGACAGTGATAGGAAAATATTAACACCAATTATCTTTGCATATAGATATAAACAGATAACAAATGGACAAACAAAAGAGAAGTTGGCATCACAGGCCTTTTGCAATCCATATAAACTGGGACTAGGAAAGGTCAAGAAACCGTTCTTGCAAAACAAATACGAAAAAAAAAAAGTGAACCATCGACGTTGTTAGGATGAAGAGTTATAGTTAATGTGGAGCACCAAGTAAAACTGGGGCAAAGATGTTGCAGGTATAATCCATCCAGCCAGGGTACACGACTCAAATTGAAATATTAATTTAGTTATAATCAAATTATCATTGATATTTAATAGTAGTTACTGAAAATATCAAGCTATGCATTATAGAACAAGAACAGCATATATATTGCCGGTCTATTTCGCTCACCTCTGTCCAACTGCGAGCGCCTCATTGAGGTTGCCTGACTCTGGTCATTTTGAATGCTAACCCTTGCACCCTAAGGCCTGCCCTCTAATAGCAACTTTGAAAGAAGTGGTCACTAATATTATTGAGAAGATCCTAAAACCAAGAGCTGTAATGACTAATGAAACCTAGGTTTAGAGACAAGCCATACTCACGGCTTTCAGTCTTGTAATCATTAAAGAAAAAACATTTGTTTAAAAAATGATGAACTGCTAATGACTATAGTACGCATTTTAACCATATAACAGTTCAAATAACTTTCTATCAGAACAGTTATAATAGTTTCCTTTAAATAGCTATATACAAAAAGGAACCTATTCAGAAGGAAAAGAAAAAAGTTTTAATATACAACCATTTGTTTCAACATTATGTGCTTACAAAACTAAAACACTCAAATTTCACCTTTTGATTGCTCACCAACCACTGTCCTTCTATTCGTTTCTTCCAACACAATTTGAGCTGATTTCTAGATACTTTAGATTCCATTAGGATAAATGTGCTCAATAAATATGCATAAGTCTGGCTTGACCAATGTGACCAAGTTGTGATTATAGAAATTCAAATTGAAACTTTCAACTAAAATGCCACCCATTACATACTTTCTGAAAGGACTAAAATATTCTCAGGTGAGGATTTATTTCACCTAACAATTTTAACTGGATAAACAACACCAGATAACTTTTTATATGTGGTTAAACCCTTACATTTTGGCACCTTACCAAGTGCCAAGTTTCTATCATACATTTTCATCTTAGGTCACTTATCCTTGATTCAGCATAAGAATACAGTAATCTCTATTACCAAATTCCATATTTGATAATGTCTTAATAGATTATGAAGGCAAATATTAAAGAATATATTAATTTGGAGATCTCACATTCGAGTCCAATGATTAAATACCTTTCCTCTTGAGTCATAGCGAGAATTGGAGCATATGTTGCTGAAGAAAAATGGTCAACAAGCATGACTTCAAATGCAACAACAAAAAAATAATGGACCCACCTAAACTTAGAGAACTTCAACTCCAAAAACCAACATGGTTGAATGGTTTTACATTTTAGTAAAATGGTATGAAGTATTTTGCGTGCAAACACAAAATCAAGTGGTCCAAAACCATTCAACTACATTTAGATGTAGCACAGTCATTCTCAAAGCAGGGTCAATCCAATTGTAGGTCACTATCAAAGCAAGTATTCCCAATCTAAACTTAGAACTCATGCTCTGGTTCACTAAAAGGATGCTAGTAATTTATGAAGCTTTGAACATACGAAAGGGTTTAAAAAATTGTGCAAAGAAGCGCACTCTCTCCTATCCCTTAAATTTGAGAAACATCCTTCAGAAAACCTGTTACCATGCAAGTGAGGCAAAAACTCTTGTATGTTAACATTTCTGCCAGATCTGCATTCTACAAAGAAACATATCAACCTAGTTGAAATTGTGGTTCTTTCTAGCTTGACAAATCAGATAGTGTACTGAACTCAACTAATTTGCATTTAAACAATGATATTTAATTTGAGGGTCATTACCTCCACCGCCACCCTCCCTCCTTTGCATGTGGAAAAATACTAAAACCAAAACATTAAAGAAAAAATTGCAGTGTGCTTCTAGATCAAAGAGGCATCTTATCTGAAGTCTTGGGCAATGTACGGTTGTTCCCGCATTTGAACAAGCCTCTATAAGATTTTCCCTTAAATATAGATACCCGATATAAAACTTCCTAAATTGAACACTTAAAATCAAGTTTCAATTTACTAATTTTACCAAAAAAATATTTGATAACATGTCTAAGATTGGTACAAGTGAACTTCACCAAAATCTCAACTGGATGTTGATGCCAATACTATCATATGATAAAAGTTCTAGCGGCACTTGTACCCCATTTTACTAAAACAAGGATGATCAAAAGGGACCACATTTGCAATTACAATTGTCATACCAGAAGAGTCCTATCAGAATTGGCAGAGAAAATGCTGAAGAATTGATGCATTATAAAACAATATTTGGTCCTTCAAATTCCGGACCACCTCATATAACCACAATATGAACATAGGGTCCCAAACTTCATCAATGAGTCCAGAACTATAAATGTTTTTCAGGACCAATCTGTAGTAACAGCATGCCCTTTTGGTGGTTAGTAATCCTATAACTGCAAAGTGACCATTGGGTCAAGTACAAGCTATCAGTATCAGGGATTCAAAGCTCCACTTCTAATTTTCCCTCTCCTGAAGTAGAAGTCTAAAACATAAAAGCATTGCATAAAAAAAAATTTAATACATAATATAAAGATAAAAACTAATTATATCTACACAAGCACTCCTAAATGTAGAGGGGAGCATATGACAAAAATACAAGATTAGAAAACATTACATTCTAATATATGAATATTTATCTGGAATTCCTTAGGAGATGGCTCAATGATTAAAAATTTTGAATCACAACTAAGACGGTCTATCTTTGAAACTCAGAAGGGATTATGAGTTTATGTAGCCCAAGACCCAATTTGACCCAAAAGAAATGTTCACAGTATAATCATAAGCTATCTTAATGTAGGGATTAAAAGACGAGAAAAACACTATGTATGTCTAAAACAGAATTAAGTAATGCAAGAGCAAGAAGATACTTGTTTCCTAAACCAACAGAAGGCAAGACAAACGAAAAATATAACTTTTCCCATTAGTAAAAGCTGAACAGTCTTCAACAAAGGGAAAAATTTGTAGTTTTATTACCAGAAATGCCTAAAACTAAATAACTTACCACAAAAAAGGATCAAATCAAATCAAATTGAAGGACATGGACAAACCAACACGCTGGAGATTAACAGTAAGATTCCAAATAATAATGCACATAGTAAACATAAACAAACAGCAAGAACCAACCCAACAACCCCCCCCCCCTCTTCCAATTACCTAATTTTTATTTTATTTCTAAATAATAGGTACCCTTATAAATTCAAAAGCTTGTCAATATGATTATAAAGAAATATAAATCCAAAAGATAAACAGATAGAAAAAGGGAAATTATCCAAAAGCCTATCCAATTGACAGCAACGAACCAAACAAAAAACAATCTATGATGATAAGGAAAGATAAATACAAAACCCGCTTAAGAGACATTGAGAGCCACAACTACATCACGACCACGCCACTTGTACCTTAATCTATAACAACTCTAGAAAATTACCATTATCAAACCAGCTCAAGCTCAACCAAAATTCCTCAGCTTTCTTCAGCTAATAAATTTTAACACAACAAGACAAAAGGACCCATAAATTCCAACAACAAAGGAACCATAAACATAAATCAACCAAATCAAATTTTCAATAAAGCATGAAGCCAGGATTATATTTTAAAACAAATAGAGAAGGAATTGAATACAAGTAAATAAATATATTGAAAGAAAGAAAATTAAGACCCAACTTACCTACTGCACTGCTGGCAAAACCTTTGCTCTAAACCAGCAACAATGACCTTAGGAGACTTGGAGTGCATGCCACAAACTTTATGCCTAGAATAATAAGCCTTAGCATCACTCAGATCCACTTTACACCCTTCAACTTGGCACCTAGGTGGTTGCTGCTGGCCACCATGAACTTTCCTGGCCGAGGCTCCAGAACCAGATGAAGAAGACCCGGTTGTAGACTTAACCGGAGCCCCAGCCCCAGTTCCTGCATTCTCAAAATAGATCTTTTTTCCAAATTTTAACCCATTTATGCACTCAACGGGTGGAGAAGAGGGGCTAGAATCACCTGACTCGGTAAAAGAACCCGAACCCATTTCCATAAGTGGCTCTTACAGTTCATTCATGGTAGTTTTTCTGGTCGCTGGCGAAGACTCTATACTATTTAAAAAGAAAAGGAAAGTATAAGTACAGAGAGAAAAAGAGAGAGAGAGAGAGAGAGAGACGAGAGTTTAAGCTCTATGGTTTTAGAGTTGAAAGAAAGAGGAAAAAAAAAAAAGGCAGATAAAAGCAGACACCTGACACTGGCCCATGCCAGCGAGGGTATAGCATAGTACACTGACTGACCAAGAGACACCCCTCTTTGGCTCTTTCTCTTTCTCTCTTCTTTCTTTCTCTGCGTCTATCGAAAATAATAGTGAAAAAAGCAGAGACAGAAGTAAAAGAGAGGTACTTTGTAGAGTTCAAGGAAGCTTTTAAAAAAATAAAAACAGGGACTGTTTACATGGGCAAGAGCAACTAAATTCAACTGTCGTTTTACACAGAAGCTTTTTTTCCTGTTTCTTTCCTTTGGCCGTATGCTATTCTTTATCAATGAGAACTTTTTTTTCTTTCTTTTCTCTTTTTTTTTTTTTTTTTTTTTTTTACTTTTTTTTTCTTTCTTCTTCTCTTTTTTTTTTTTTTTTTTTTTTTCTTTCCATCTCTGTCTATCAGTAGAAGTTGACTGATACCAGTGGGAAAATAAAGGATATAGGGTGGCCCATATTCAATGGTTCTAGAAGGTCATCAAAGACCCTTTCTTTCTTTCTTTTGGTTAGTGAATGGAGACTGTTCTTTCTTGGTCGTGAACCAAAAATATTTTGGACGCAGGCTCACAGATCGGAAATTTTTTTTTTTTTTTTTTTTTTTCTTTCCATCTCTGTCTATCAGTAGAAGTGACTGATACCAGTGGGAAATAAGGATATAGGGTGCCCATATCAATGGTCTAAAAGGTCATCAAAGACCCTTTCTTTCTTTCTTTGGTTAGTGAATGGAGACTGTTCTTTCTTGGTCGGTGAACCAAAATATTTTGAGCAGGCTCAGATTCGGAAATTTCATGATTGATGTCTTCAACAATATCCTTTTTGGGGTTTCTTTTTCACTATATTTAGGGGGTGCAGTGAAGGTGTTATGAAAGGGGAAATATTTGTTAAGTGCTTAACTAGAGTCTAGGTTCCCAACTTGTAATTTTTAAGCTGTGAAGGTAGCTCTAACATACCTATTAAAAAAAAGGATCGTATTATTAAATAAAATATATTAATGTTGATGGAAAATAAATTTAATCTCTTATTTAGAACAAATGAATTCTATAAAATTTTATAGAATTTATCTGAAAACCATATTTTTGTGTTTAAAATAAAAAAAAATATAGATTTCAATAATATGAATTCAATTTAATGAAATTAAATATAACTAAATCAAATTCTAAAAACGTAAGTGAAATTTTTAATCGAATACTACAGAAGTAACCAAACTTTTTGTAATAAACCTACCATCCTTCTTCTACAAAGTGAATTTTTCAAGTTTATGTTTATTTAACTTATTAATTTTTTTCAAAATTTGCTCAAAACCATTTAAAATTTAGTTTTTTTTAGAAAAATGTCAATATACTCATCGTTTTATTATTAAAAAAAGAAAAATTCTTTAAAATTAATCTCATTTTGTATATTGATCCAAAAATATTTTTTACGAAAATCAGAAAACAACTTTTTGGGAACTTTTCTTGATAATATTGATAAAAATTTCAATATTAATTTTTTGGATAGTGATTTTCTATATATATATCTTAATTGAAGACGATTTATATGAATTTTACATAAATTGCAATGCTATTATTTCTATACATATCTAAAATATGAGTGTATTTATTTATATAAATTTTATTATTTATATGAATTAAAAATCAAATTATTATATTGTATATCTATATCTATCTATCCATATAATAAATATATAAAAGCCCAATCAAATTTGCTTATGTAGCGTGATATTATGAAATTTAGTCAATGATGTAGAATTTTGTTATTTTTAAAATTTTTGATATTTTTATTTAATTATTTAATTTGAAGAAATCAAATTATAAAATTTTTCATTTCTTTATTCAATAATTAATAACCATAAAATAAATTTATTTCACTATTAAAAAGATCCTTTTTTTTTTGAAAGCACATTATTAAAAAGATCTTTGTTTTCTTTCGTTTGCAGTAATTAATAATCCAAATAATAATTTTTTTGTATTAATAATATAACACTAATTAGTTTCTTCAATAATTTTTCTATATATATATATCTAAATTGAAGACTATTATTTATATGAATTTTATATAAATTGCAAGACTATATATCTAAATTGAAGATATTATTTCTAAGATATAAGTACATTTTCTTCAATAATTAATAATCACAGTATAAATTGATATAACATTTTGTTACTTTATAATTTAATTTATTCTATATTTTTTTTAATCTTAATTTCCTTTTGAGTACTATGTTTATGATTACTATATCTACTAAATATATCATATAAATTCTTATTTTCTTTTTTATGTTCAGCATATTTTTAAATAGTGATAGAAATTAATACATTGAATAAAAAGATATTTATGATTAACGATTCAATAAAATTTCTTTATTTTTCCATTTAAGTAATTTTATAGTTTGTGTAACACTCACAATCCGGTTCCGTAGGACTAGACAATGGTGTCACATTTTGTGCCAGAGGCACGTACTGATCTATTTCTAGCTATTTCAATTAAGTTTGGTGTTTAATTATTCCAGTCATTTAGTAAATTTTCAGTAAGTATTTTTAATATTATTATTACAGATTCCACAGAAGGACCAGCGTTTTCGAATCTAGATTTTTTTTTTCAAAACAAAATGTGAACTCTTAGGTAATATTTTGAGAATTATGTTTTAACAGTTATACTATTATAATTCATTGAAATAAAGTTTTTCTTGAATTAAAAATTATTTTCAAAGATCAATTGGATTTAAACTTGATAAGCTTTTACTAAAAATTTTCTTTGAGTATCCAATATCCGGTCTTGTAGGACTAGATAATGAATATCACAATTTAAGTAATTATTTTAATTTTTAAGAGCAATATTTATGTTTATTATTTTTAGTTTAGCTAAAAAGTTGAGTTTATTTTTTTAATTTATTAATATAGAATTCTTTTATCATTTTTAAATTTATAGAAAAAATTGGATCAGTAGTTTTTGTTACTATTGTTAAAGGATAAAAAAAAGGTAAATAACAAATATTATTTTTTTCATCATATTAATTTATTTATATTTTTCAATTAAATTTATCTTTTATTAATTATTTACAAGTATTCAGGTAATAAAAAATTAGTGGTTATTATTTATGTTTGTTAAAATATTAAATCAAGGGTATTATAGAAAATAAAGAAAAATAAATTTTCATTTGAGAATTTATTTTAAATATAATTTTATAGTATTCAATTGAATTTTTTATTTTAAATTATGGCATATCAAATATAAAATTTTATTTATAGATAAATTTTACTTATAATTTATTTACTTAGCTTATTTTTTGCAAATATCGACTCATTCAAAACGTATTAAACATATTTATGTATATAATAAATAAAATAAAAAAAGTACTTTTTAGTCTCTAAATTTTGATCTAATTAATCAACTCACGAAATAAATCTTATTTCGATAATTATAAGTAATAGACGATGTGTAGCTACGTCAAACAATTTTATCATTCTGTTTAAAAACAAAAATGCAAATTGGACTTTAAAAAAGATTATAATTTTGAGAGTAGATGGGAAATAAGCTGCATGCAGCTTTGGCTATGCTCGATTCAGTTGGAGAGAGTGGCAACTTGCTAGGAATAAAGCACTCTTGAGTGTGTATGGAGATGAGAAATGAAGGGCAAAATGGTCCCATGAGAGAGAGAGAGAGAGAAAAATGAACAATTGGGCACTCCAAGCACCCCCTCCCTATATTTATATTTAAAAAATATTATGAGAAGATGTGACCTTTTTGGGGACTAGTGGCTGTGGTGTTGGCAAGTGTGATACGAAATAATTAGATCACTAGAAATTTGGGAGATTTTACTTTTGCAATATCTTTCTTTTTTGCATTGGATTTATTATTACTTCTAAAAGGTCGCTTTGCTGTTTCCTTTCTATTTTCAGTGAATATTAATTAATTAATTAATTTATTAATGCTTCCTTCTACCGTTCTAAAACTGCAAACCTACTTCCCTCTGTGCTAAACTAAAAGCCTAAAATACAATGTTTTGGTTTGGTAACTTTTACACTTAGTGTTTTTTGGTCGCATTTTGTTTGGTTGATGAGTAGAGAGTCTATTTAAAATGACTACTGAGTGTGTTAGTCGTTATCCTCATCGGCTCTGGCCACTAGTTAAGTGTTAAGGTCCCAATTTAAGACAACACACAGGCCGTATCAACCCCTTAAACACTAGTGGGAGACCCTACCCTTTTTCTACATGGTCATGGCGTTGCGGTCCTCAATTCATAATAGCAAGAGCCTGGCTTGAGGCTAGTTAGATACATACTTTTAGGCTACTTAGATACATACTCTATCCCTTCTCTTCATTTATTGGTATCATTATCTATACACTTAATTACTTTTAACTACTATTTTTATTCCGTAATACTTATTGCATTTGAAATTTTACATTTCTTAAGAAAACTATTAACTTTATCTAAATTATAATAAATTATCGAGTAAATTGATTATATTACCCTTAATTAATACTAATTCTCCAATAAAACCATTAAATTGAAGTAATAATTATTTGGTTATATATAAAGGGTAAACATAGAAAAAAACACTTATTACTCCTTGAAACTACAAATGTGACAAATATTTTAAAATAAGTTATTTTCTCAAATGTGATAAATATTATGAAATATAGGTAGTAGAAATATGGGATGACAAGATTCATTTTTCTTTGATCGAAAGTCTAAGTTCGAACATTGAATGTGGAGTGACTTTAAATGTTTGGGATGGAACGTTGTTACATTTGTGGACTCGCTCGGTGTAAATCTGAATTAGTCCAACAAGTAAAATGTGGATGCCAAATGATTAAAAAAAAAAAAAAACCTATAAACACTTGATTTGATTTTTTTCTAAAAATAAAAGAGCTACATACACTTTCTTCTTTTTATTTATGTTTAGTGCAAGGGAAAATATATATTTTTTCTTTGTTTTCTTTGAATAGGTAGAATTTTTTTTTTAAATTCATGAGTGGTTAAAATAGACCGAAATAATACTGCGAACTATATAATAAAATAGCCTTCCTTTTAACTCGCCAAATCGATGAAAACAATTATGATAAAAAAACTCAAACTTCACACCCCTAGCTATATACATAAGTGAGACTAACCAGACCGTTGTCTAACCAACCGCAGACATATCTTTATAAGGAAAGAATTGGTATATATATAAATATTGTGCCAGAAATTTTGAAAATCCCAGCCCTGGAAAGCATGCTTCTCAAAGGAGACATCTGCGTAGTTATAGCCGTAACTGTTATTGCTGCACTTGCTTTAATTAGCAATACTATGTTCATGCTAATTAAAGATAGATGGAATGAATTTTCACCTCTTTAACATATATATATATATATATATATATATCACAAGTTTGCTAAATTGCCAACAAAATTTGATTTAGTGGCTAAAGCTGAATTCACAATTTCTTATATTGTAAAATAAATTATTTATTTAATAATAGTACGACAATATTTACTGAACTTAGCAAAGCATTGTCGGCTCCAAGCCCGTGTAAAGAAAAATGGTTGGCAACTGGATTAAAATAATCAATCCACGATAATCATTTGAATATTTATGAATTAAAAATTAATTTATCGAATTATTTATTAGATTAATGGCATAAATAAAAATGGAAAAGAAACGACCACACTAAAAATCAATTCATTTAAATTTGATTTGATAAATTCTACCCAAAAAAAAAAAAATGATTTGACAAAAATTTAGTGGACCACATGCTAGATGGAGTGGAAATATATAAAAGAGTTGAAAGCATAAATTCGTTTCTTGATTAATAATAATACATATGTTCCTTAAACTCTTTTGTGTCCGTACTAATGAGATTTCTTTTTTTCTTTTTCCTTTTCTTTTTCAGAAGAAAAGGTTATTTTAGCATATAAGGTGGCAGAAAGTGCTCTTTAATATAATTAATTAACAAATAATAATTAATATTCTATTTATGTTTTCCTAAAGAAAGATTCTTTTGATAAGTTATATAAACTTTTTGGTCCGTCTAATTATATATTCGTCGAATGCTCTCGGGAGTCAAAATTCCAGATTTAATGAATTGTTTTATACCAATTATGGCAAAGGCTATTTATTCCAAAAAGATTTCTATAATTATAATATATGTGAGTAAACATATAAATTTAATAAAAAAATATTGATATAATTTTATATTAAAAAAAAAAACATGATAAGAAGCGGTAAGCGACTTCAATCTTAATAAAGGTAAAAATATAAATTTGACACTCGTAAATCACAATGGAAGGATATAAAAAATTTTTATATCTTACAATCTGATGGGATTACACCTCTCGATGATAATAAAAAAAAATTATAATTTATAAAAATATATTGTACTATGGTTTTTAATTAATATAATTTGCTTCCTAATTGATGTATTTTTAATTATTTTTATTTAATTTCATTGAATGCCTATAAGTATTTTATTACATTCTTTTTAAATATTACAAAAGTATATAAGTTTGTTTAGAGAAAAGATCTAGTTAATATGTAATTTTCTTTCTTAACTACTACTTGTTTTGATGTACTATTTTCATTATCATAATTGGAAGTGTAGAAATAATTTTTATTTGTTTTTATATTACAAATTTTATGAAATAATATTTTGAAAGTAAAGTAATATGTGACTACTCGTATTAAAATAAAATCTTCATAATATTATTGATTTTTTTTCATGTAATGATAGTTATTAATTATTACATAGCAATTATACATTAATTTTATTAAAAAACAATAAATATATCAACAAGTATACTTTAATTTTATTAAAAAATAATAAATGTATCAACCGTCGTCAATCTTTAATTATCAAAGTTTAAATATATTAAATTATTAATGAGTTGAACAAGTTGTCAATCTTTACAAAACAATGATAGTTACAAAATACTCCATCAATCAATCAAAACATCATTTTTTAAAAAAAATAAGGATAGAAAGAGAAAAGAAAAGAAGATGCTTGGTAGGAATAACTTTTGAATGACAACGATGTTATGTTATTGTCCACACATTCAGACAGTACACATACATTTATAAGAGACTGCCAAAATGGACAAAAGCAAAGGAACCATAACACTTCTCTAACTCTCTAGCAACTAAATCTTCTCCAAACCCAACTAAGCTACTCCTGCCCATTTACTATTCTTCCCATTGCCAAGTATTTTTATTCTATTTTGAATTCGTTAGAGGGACCAATAGGTTGAGATAACGCTACGAACTATGTGACTTGATTATTCTATTGATTTATTAAATTGATAAAAATAACTGTGATCGGAAGATTTGAACTCGAAACACTTTTCACTTCTTACATAAATGAAAAAGATTAATCAGATCACCACCTGATTAATAAACACTTTTATTCTATTTAATCATTAAGAAATAAATTTCAAATGTAATTCCTTTAATTTAGGCATTTATAATTATTATGCACATTATAATTTCAAGATCAACCAAATACTCTCTAAAAGAATATAGAAGACAAAAAAAAAAAAAAAAAAAAAAATCTTCTCAAACCCCAAACTAAGCTACTCCTCCCGATTTAGCTATTTTGCCCAGTTGCAGCATATTTTTATTCACTTAGTTCTAGAATTCGTTTAGAGGGAACCAATAGGTTGTAAGGATAACGCTACGACGTATGGTGACTATGAGTTAATTCTCACATTGATTTATTCTAAATTGATGAAAAAGATACACTGTGAATCAGGCAAGAAAGTTGCAACTAGAAACACTTTTCAACTTCTGTACATAAATGAAAAGATTAATCAGATACACCACCTTGATTAAGTAAAAACACTTTTATTCTATTTAATCATTAAGTGAAATAATCAATTTCATAATGTAATTCCTTTGAATGTTAGGACAATTTTATTCACAGATTATTTATGCACATTATAATTTCAACGATCAACCAAATACTCCTCTAAAAGTGAATATAGAAAACAAAAAAAAAAAAAAAAAAAATCTACACTAAGAAGAGGAATCTTCTAGTGTTTCTGTGCTCTTTTTTTGGTTGTTTATTTTCACACTCTCTGCTGGATGTCTTTTTTATCTTTTGGCCCTTAAGTGATAAATGGGTTGGGGCGCTCTGCCTTTTATATGAAAAAAAAAAAAAAAAAAAAAAAATCTCACTAAGAAGAGGATCTTCTAGTGTTTCTGTGCTCTTTTTTGGTTGTTATTTTCTCTGTGATTCTTTTTTATCTTTGGCCCTTAAGTGATAAATGGGTTGGGCTTCCTTTTATAGGTGAAGACAGCCCTTAAATCCAATAATAAAAAAAAAAAAAAAAGAAAAAGAAAAAACTATAGTGGGATATAAGGATGGTTGCCCAATAAATAAGCTTAAAGGACTCAATTAACTGATATTTGATAATATCATTTAAATTTGAAATTAAATTTTTAGTATTTTATTTAATACTGTTTATCTATATAAAATATATGGTTTTTTTTTAAATTTATATCATTACTAAAATAATGATAAAAAACAACCTTAAAATAATGTCTCAAAGTCACAAATATTTCACATTCAAACAGAATCCATATATATGGTGAAATCAATGTTGAAATTCCCATATACATGAATATGTTGATTTAGCCCCTATTCAATATGCTCATGCAACTAGTTGAGTAAGGCTTAAGGTCATATGAATGATTTTCCAGGAAAATAAGAAGCTAAGATTTTCCAGGAAAATAAGAAGCTAAGGTTAAATTACTCATCCAATGCCAGCAAACATATGAATGCAGAAAGCGTAATTCTCCTGAAAAGAGGATTTTGTTATGCTTAAAGGGCTCTCATTTTGCTAAACTCAGGGCCATAACTAAATGCAAATAGCACAAGACTGGAGGATTATATGAATCAAGAAATTGAATCAGCAATTACAAAAACAAGCAGCAAATAACAAAATAAATACCTAAAACTTAAATGTAAGACTATAAGCTCTGTAAGCATAATATGGATTTATCCCATGGAGAAAGATAGTATGCAACCATTTGAACAACAAAATTGAACATTACATGCACTCAACAACAGCTTCAGCAGCTCTTCTAGGCTTGTTTTTGCGCCGGCTCCCATTTTGTTGGAATCTACCACTCACTGCTGAATTATCAGTACTCAATTTTGTTCTAACATCATTTTCCTCTTTGACAGAATCTGCATTTTCACTGGTATGTCCAGGCCTCTTCCTTTTCTGTCCATTTTCAGTAGCAGCAAGACTTTTCGCATCTTTATTAGAGATTGAATCATTCACATCCTTGTCATCTTCTTTGATCTCTGCAGCTTCTTCCTCTCCTTCTTCAGTATCATCCTTCAATGGCTTTGTTGGCCTTCCTCTTCTTTTATAAGCTGGAACTTGGTCATCTTCACCGATACTAGGATCTTCATGTGAAGCAATAACAGTCTGCTTCTTCCCTTTCCCTCTACCTCTACCCATATTGTAAAGTTGAATGAAACGAAATCTTAAACAACTAAAGATTCCTGCAAATATGACCAAAGAGAGGCCTAAATCAACAATGTGTTTAGACTCAATTTCTTTTTTTGTTTAAATAGGTTCCAACTGGGGTTGGAGCTGACTCACAATCCCACAATCTTATATATGACTCCAGTAATTCTGAGCAAAGTCTTATTTGATTTAGACTCGCAATTTTTAAATCAACAATCAACATAAAATGAATAAGAAAGATCGCAAGCTCACAAAACCAGAATATACAGCATTTTTCCACAGACTGAATTACTTCTAGTCCCATTTCGTTATCTTTTAAAGACACAACTGAACCATTTCAAAAAGCTCTATTTTCGGTTGATTGAAGATTTTGTATCTTAATAACCCAATCAAAACTGATTTTTTTTTTTTTTTTTGAATTTCCACCTTTCTGCTCCCTGGAAAATCAATTTCGAAGCTGCACTCAGAATCTTTCTTGAAAATGGCAAAACTATAATATATTTTTAGAAAGATGTGTGGAGAAATATCAAGACAACAATGAATCCATGGTAGCTTCAGTTTATATAATACCAAGGGACAAAATTGAAATTAATAATTGCAGCTTTGGTTATACAAAACAAAGAAAAAAGAGCCCAAATCTCCAATCCTATTTGGAGAAAATGAAAGGCTTTTTCTGTTTTCATTTCTCATATGCTAAACAGAAAGAAACACAAGATTCAAATATAATAAATTATTTCACTAATATATTTTACCAACCAAACAAAAGATTAAACCAACACATTAAGGAGCATATGCATTTCCACCAAATGTTATATTACATAGGGAAATAAAGAAATAAGAAACGAAGCTGACCTTAAAAAGTATGTCCATTAATTTGCATCTTTGTTGACCCAAAACTCAATCAAGGAAATATATAAAAACCCCAAGAAACAAATGGGTTTTCGTTTCTATCAGTGGTTTGCAAAAGAAATCAGCAAAAAGAAACAAAGGGGGTGAAAAAATGATCTAAATGGCAATTCAAATATAAGCCAGATCGAAAACGATGTGATTCAAGAGAAATGGCAGCAGAAAGATTGAAACTTTGAAGAGTTTAATCAAGTTTATGAGCTTTAGATGAAATGGAGGCTGAGAGAACTGAAAACAACTGCACAGGAGAAGTTATGGGGAACAAAATGGTGAAGAAGCATATAAATATAATTAATTAATTCCTTCCTTCTTTTACGGGTTGAACTTGAATACAAAGAATATGTGTAAAATATAATTAATTAATGCTACAAATCAGAGGATGGCGCATTTTATTTGAAGGATAACCTAGTTGTAGAATAGGCATTTTAATCTTATTGATAAGATTTTTATTGTTGGTGCAAATCTACAAAGGATGCATTTCTTCTTTCGAAATATTTAATCTTGGCTAACAATTTATTTTTTATCATTTAAAAAATTAAAAATATATTTCATGACACCTTTAATCATTTAAATTATGAAATTGAATGGTTGAATTAAATCGAAACTAAAATAATTAAAATAATTGAATCCTCAAATTGAATTAGGCTGAATTTGATTGGTTTTAGTTTTTTGAAATATAAATATAACTTAGATATTTTTAATTTTCGAATTGTAATAAGACCATGCGATTGATATTGATGCTTTCAAATTGAATTAAAAAATCAAATTACACAAAAAAGAAACAAAATTAAAAGTATAAAAAACTATAGAAATTGACTTAAATTCGATTGAATGTAATTTATTATTATTATTATTATTATTATTTAGAAATAATTACGGTATAGTTTTAAGTCATTAGTAATAACCAGATTGGGAATTGTTCTAAATTGTACTAAATTGAAGAACCAAATACAAAACCAATTAAATAAATATGTGTTTTAAGAATATTATATAAAATTATAATAGAGATTTTTCAACCCCGGAACTGCAAATTGATCACCGTGCACTGCCCTGTCTCCGACTGCTATTCAAATATCACCTTCCACTGCTTTGAGCAATACAAAATACATGAAGGAAGATCATGACCGTCGATCAACTTCAAGAAGGCCTGATTCCATTTTGTTGTTCTCATGCCCTGTGATTTCAGAGTGAGTGCAAGTATCCTTTTCAATGGGAGAAGAAGGAATTTCAAGATCATATTATACATTTTTCAGTAGTTAAATGGAAAAGAAAAAGAAAATGAAAAAGTAAGTATCAAATGCTATCAAATAGAGAATGTACTGGCCAATAGAGCTGTCAAGAATATCGCTTATGAGCTGTTTGATGTTCGATTCAATAAAATCATTCCAAATTGTTCGACAAGTGAGCTATTAAGCTCCTTTAATAAAAAGTTAAACTCGAGTTCAATTTATTAGCTCGCAACAAGTCAACTTTATCGAGCTGAACCATACTCATAAATTAGTTTATCAGCTAAGATTAGTTAAGTCAATATCAAAATGACGAATTCGAATTTCAGCTTGAATTTATCAATTATCCAGTCGAGCTGCAATTTAAAGCCTCTTTGGTTTAGTGGTTTTAGACAGCTGATAGCGGATGAACAATAAGTATTTGGTAAAACTATAATCAGTTGTTGTTGTTAATATGTTAGATGACCAATAAAGGTATATTTTTAAATAAATTAACCTTTACTTATAAAATATTTCTAATCTATTTCTAATGAATTAAAAAATAAAAAAATTAAAAATTAATTAAACTAAGTATCTTAATTAATAAAATCTATGTGCATATTGATAAAACTATGTATCTTAATATTATTGTCAATGGGCAAAGAAATATAATAACGTTAGAAGAAAAAAAAAAAGGGACGTTAGAAGATTAAAAGAAAATATGACAGAGGAGATACGCTGTGTTCTTAGAGATATTTTAATCTATCTTAATAGCAGTTCGTAAAAAGCTCCATAAATCCAGCTGATGAAACTAGCAACCGATTGAGAGTTCTATTGGTTATCAGCTGCTGATTATAATCCTATCCAAACATTTTCAATGTAGCTGTTGAGCCTAGAATCCTTTCCAAACACTTAAAGTAGCTGTTAGGCCCTAAAACAAACGCCCTCTTAGTTATTTTCAAATGAATTTTAGCTTTGGCTTCTTAGGGTCATTGCCCTGTTGAAAGACCAAAGCCTCCTCACTCATGGAAAATAGTTTGTAATTTGGAAAATATTTGAAAAAATAGTTTTTAAGTGGAGAATAGAAAATGTATTCAAATTACAATTATTATCTATATTTTCACTTTATATTTTCTATACGATTTGTTGTTTATATTATCAAATTCGAATTTCATAGAAATGAAAATAGATTTTATTTATTTATTCGATTTTTAAATTGACATAACAACGAATGAACATAAAAAATCAATAATTTTACTAAGCCAATCAGGAGTAATCTGATTAGTCTTCTCGTTAATATCATTACTTGCTAATAAAGAACTTATCCTCGGTTCAATTATATTCATGCACAAAATCTATAACTTGATTAACATAAAGTTCACTTCAATCAAGAATTTGCAAAAAATAAAATGCAAACAACCCATAGAAGGCATATGTTCCTAAGTAACAAATTAACAACTATAACAAAAATGCATATTAATTCACAAAATTTTCTCAAATTAGGAGGTAGCAATTGTGGTGATTTGGCGTACAGTAAACCAAACATAACTGAAATGCGTGCAAATTATTTCAAGATCAAACCAATGACCGTATTAGTTGAAAGAATTCAGAAGACATAATTGGAATAAAGAAGTCCTCAAATGTTGCAGAAAGAATTCAGACAAGTAATTACAGCTCAAGATCAAAAAGGAAATTGGTAGATCAGGACAAGAGAGCAAGCTAGCAAATATTTTTAGTCACTTGCAAAAGTCCCAACTCAAAATCCTACAAAATTAGTTTTTTCTTTTGGAACAGCAAAAGTCTTTTTTATTATTGTTAATGTCAGAAAAAACTTAAACAATCTCCAAAAATTAGCCCCGAGCCAATAGGTCCCCAATACATCCAAACCTAAATGGACAGAATTAAGGGCAAAAAAAGTGCAAGCAAAGTGTAACCAAAGTCACTATAAAGCAGGGGAAATTCTGGAGACAAGAACAAAATGCTATAATTGCAACAAAGTCTCCCTTGATTCAACAAATACAGCTCCAAGATATTACTCCAAAACAGGCAATGATATATAATTTCCACCTGCAAAAATTCTACACAGTCAAGATACAAACACAAACGACATGCATTACGTCTTGCAACAGATATCACGGCATAACTACACAATCCTGCTGACGATTATGAAAGTAATGTGCTAATCTGTTGGGTGCATTTTCCTGAAAGCATTTGACTCTACTAAGCAAACCAATTTAAGCTGACGCATCACTTAATTGTAACAACCAATCAGTGCTGTAACTGAGAAAATCATGAATTGAGAAACATGTTGGGTAGTTCTTTACCTTCAATGTGACTAGAAGTTGTATTAATAGCTGCAAGCCATTTTTCTCTTTCACCATTTATGCATTCACTAGCATTCTCCTATTATGATCCTCGGTCAATTTTGCCTCATGGGCCCTGCCTTCAGCCTCAGCCATGGCCTTAATTCCTATTGTTTCCCGCTCTATTTCAGCTTTCTCTTTCTCAGTTTGACGTTATTGAGCTCGGATCTGCTCCTCAGTTGCCTGTCTTGCTTGTTCGTATATTAGAGTCGTCTTGCATCTTAACTAATTCAGCATTATGCCGCCTCTGAGCTTCATGATCTGTCTGAAAGAAATGATGATGATGATAAGACAATGAAATATAAGTTACCATGGCAAAATATATCTACATACCAATATACGTTCTTCCAAGAATAAATATATCGAAATTAAAATAAGGATCAACTACCAAATTGTTTGTGTGGTGTCTACTGAGTTTTGCCCAAGCACCTTCTTTTAAAAAACAATTAACAGGTGTCCTGACATAACCGTGAAGCCAGTTGCTTCAACAGGCTGAGAAATATAAGCATCCTCTTGAAACCAAACATGCACCACTTATCAACAATAAAAAGAAATCAACAAAATCCAAGACACAAGAAAAGCCTCCAAATTGAACACAGATCATAAGGTGGCACCAACTCTTGTATAGCTTCCATCACATCAGCAGCAAGAAGTTCCTTAAAACAAGGAGCACAAATTCAAACTGCATATCAGCAACAGCCCAAGAATAAACCTTACCCAGATAAATTATCAATATCCGTAAGACTCCTCATACCAAATGAAATTAAAATTGCAGCAAAGCAGAGAGTAAACCAAATTAGGAAGCCAGATAGAGACACAAGTACCACAAACACACATCCGGGCATCATGAAAGCATTTAAGGGTAATCATCACCAGAGCCAAAAAGAAAATTTCCACACAATAAAATCAGTCCTACAAAACTAGTTAACGACATTCTTTTTAAAACACAGAGTATTTCCTGGCTTAGTTTCAGCTTCTCCAACAAAGTTAGATGCTCATGACATCTAAAGAGAGGTATACAGACAATTATCATTAATATGATCACTAAAAATAGTTTACTAATCAGGTACTTCACAGAAACCCAAATAATTAACCTCAATTTCCTTTTATACCTACAATTTTAGACTTTTCAAAACACAAGAAGCTTATACAACAACTAGGTAAATAGTAATTGACAAAGTGATGTTTGAATTCGAAAATCAAGAACTAACCCAAATTGCTCCAACAGTCATAAAACTACTTACAAAATAAACATTCTTAGTAGCACCAACCATTATTAGTACTAAAAACCCAAAAATCAAACCCTCGGAAGCACAACTACTTTATTGTAATTGAAATAAAACCAATACCAGAACCAGCTTCAATCCAATAGGGGATTAGCAGTAGCATACCTCTTTTATTAAATAGATAAAAATTAGCTTACTTTCCCACAATGTATATTCTAACATAAATGCATAAAGCTCACAACATCTACTATTGGGTGCATTGTATGTGTCTCTGGAATTCTTTAGGTAAATATGCAAGAGAAAGAAAACGTAATTTTACATATGCAGGAAAATTTGAGTAAACAGACAATTCAAAAGAAAGAAAAGGCAAAAATTTTACTACAAATTCCTACTGATATTATCACGTCGTATATACAATTTTAGTTTAGGTACCATCTAACATTTTCTATTTTAATTTTAGTATTTGAAAAGAACATGAACACAAAATTGTAGTGGGGCCCTTAACTAAAGCCGAATCCAGGCAAGTATTCAGGAAAGAGACAAAAAAAATTCAATTGTGTTGTTTTTGTAATCGACTGCGAAATTCTTGAAACGGTTTGAATTCTTCTTGCCACTTTGAGAAACGCCTCTTCAACAAATTATAAGCTTTCAGTTCTTGCGAGCTAAAATCCACAACAGCAGCATCAAAATTCAAGTGAATGGGGCACAGTTCATCAAAAAGTTCTTGCCCAACAGTTTCCACCTTATTGCTGTGAATGGACTGTTTCGAAATCATGAAAGCAAATTTGTCATTCTTATGAACACGGCTACTCTCTGTATGGCATTGCATGGCAACAGGACAATGTAAAAAGAAAGACTTTGGTTTTTCAGAATCAACCCAGATGTCATCTCTAGCATTAGCAAGGGAGACAACATCCTCACCAAGAGGCTCAACAGTAGAATCTGGCATGGCCATTTCTCTGGCCACTTGCATTACTTCATTACATCGAATACTCAGTTCTCCCTCCGGTGAAAATGCATCTTCATCCTGTGAATTTGGAAAGCCATTACGTATCTCATGAAGTGTGGTCAAAACTGCAAGAGGAAGAACTGGACCAACAAGTGCATCACTTCGTGGCACTACATATGACCATCTATTGCTGCGGCTTGAAGACTTCCTTAAGAAAAATGGAGGCAACTGGGGTAGGTCCGGAACAACTAAAAATTCCAAAGCAACCTTTTTCTGATCCAAGAGTACTTCAAGAAATTCAGAATAGCTAGAAAAGGCAAGTTGTAAGAGCTCCATTGGCAAGCTTGCCCATATGCTCCTTAAAGCAACCTCATGTATGCTTGTTGGCAAGTTGATGTCGTTAAAAACAACACTAATGGCAGGGGATGTTCTAAATTGACTGAATCCACAAATCTTCAACTTCTCACATATTATTTCATGAAATTCTAAACTAAAAATTTCTCTCTGTTGAGTATTCTCCCTACGCTTTTTCATGTTTAAATCCAACACTTGAGAAAGATTACCATTGATATATGCAGAGAGATAATCCAGCTTCAAATACTTAAATCTTTTAGTAAATTTGTATTCCTCATCATCCAAGGAGTAAAGCAATTTATCTTCCAAACACAGTAATGGATCTGTATGAGCTGCTTCTAATTTTCTAACCAAGTCCCATGATGCAACATATCTCTGAGACTCAAACTTCCCTGAGGACATCAATCTAATCAAAGTAAATCCACCAAATTCATCTGACTCGAAAAGCAACGAAGAGAGATCATTGCTTAAGATGCCGAAGCCCAAAACACTGTCTTTCTTCTGATTTTCATCAATCCATTCAGGAAGAGCATCTTTTAGAAATTCTTCTCTTACAAGACAACTTCCACATCGACACTTGTTACCTGACAACAAGAGATCAGAAGGGAGCTCCCATGCATAAAAAGATTTGGAAATTTTTGAAATTTCTGAAGCAATCAATCCTTTGACAGCAGGTAGAGGTGGTCCATAGCAAAAGAGACTAAATTCAGAATTCCAAAATGACCCCAATATAATGCCAAATCCTGCTGTGGTTGCCCATTCATGCACACTATTTCTTGAGTTTGCCCTTAATTCAGACAATCTGAACACATCAACGTAACATGGCTTATCAAGACAATGTTTCCATTGTAATACTGGCATCAAAGGCTCGCGCACATCACAAAGAACTAACATGTTGGTAGAAGCCAAGACATAATGAAAATGATCAGTAATTGCCTTGCTAAAAGCTAGGAACCGTTCATTTTCAATGGATGCATACACACCAAACATATCAATATTTGCTAAACAAGTCACTTTAAACTCATCATACCTCCAATCAACCAAAAAGACAGCATCTGAACATGCAACAATCAAAATCCTAGGATGCCAACTGAACTGACATCCCAACCATTTACGATTCTTAGAATTACTGTAATCATCCCAAGAAAATTTCAACCTAGTTCCTCTAAAATATCCATTAGAACTATTAGAATTCAGATCAAACAAAAACAATGCTCCGTTCTCCAACAGAACCACACTCTCCTCTAGCAAATGTGGACTCCAACAAGCATCCACAACAGAGCAACTCTTGAAAATCTTGTATCCAATATAACCCAAAGCAGGCCTTCCATTGATTTCACCAATTTTGACGTTGAACCAATGCACAGAAGACATGGTATAAACTAACAAATACCCAACAATATTAGAAGAAGTGTTACCTTCAACGTAGTTGGAATCTGCAAGTGGGTTCACCAAAATTCCCACTATCCTCTGGTTCAAGCACTTATTGGCAGTAAAAACACCATCTTTTGAATCACCGGTGGCATGCAAACTCCTTCCTTTAACAGAAACTAGTAAAAATCCAACTTGGTCATGGTTGCTCCCAATGGAAAAGAAGATAATAATAGCATTGTCATTTGGGATTCTTAGGAATTGCAAGCGATTGTGGCCTAGCAAAGACGAGGCATTGTCATGCATTTCGGGGCCAAAGAGGGAGGCTATGGAGGAAGAAACAGAAACAGGAACAGGGGAGTCAAGTATTGTTGAAGTGGAGAGGAATCTAGATAGAGATTGTCGTGGAGGAGGATTAAGAAGAGAAGGAAAGAGAGTTGGAGCATTGAAGAGTTCAGTCAGGGCATCAGGATTCGGATTGAAGAAAAGCGGACCCAAAATGGCCTTTGAGGAGGGACTGGAGAGGAGGAGAGGTGCATTGAAGACACAGCCAACTGGGAAGAGGGACTTCCATTCCTCTGAGAAGTCCATTTTCTAATTTTATATTACCATGAAATTATTAGTTGTTGTATGAGACAGCTCTTCACTTCCCGAAACCTGTCCACGGAGGAGAAAACCCATTAAGCTCCAACAACATGAAATGGCTAGGAAAAAAAGAAAAAAAAAAAAAAGCAATCAATAATTAGACCCTCAACTACTAATAATCATAATAAGGCCCCAAATATATTCAAAGGCATAATTCGATATAAATAGGAAAAGGTAATGCAGCAAAATACATCTTCCAAAATTAACCAATGAAACTATCATACTAACTTCAGGTTACCTTTAAAATTTTTATTTTTCAATTAATTAAATTCACAATTAGTAGGGGCATGATCTCTCCTCAATCAAAAAAAACTGAAAATCCATTAACCATTCCCTCCTAACCAATTTCAAGTCTTTTGCTTTCAAAGAACATAAACAATATGGTCCAAAACCTACTAATTAATATGCAAAGAAAAGTGGAATACATAGAGATGGGCATGACTATATTTAAAGCCATTAAAATGATTTGGAATCAGTTGGAAATCTTGAACAAACAATCTACAAACAAAATTGATCAAAAGGGCAAAAAAGGTACAATTTTTCAGGGATTTGATTTGAGCCTCTCCAAAATGGGATCGACGCTCTGCGATCGTCAGAGATAGTAGTGATCCCAGCGGCCAGTGGCTTAAAGCCAGTAGTTGGGCAAAGCTCTAGTGTTAATACAAGTGAAGGAAGAGTGTCAAAATCTATGTTCGATCAACTAGCGAAATTGAAAAGTTACCATAGGGATGTGTACCTTTTTTCTATTTTTATTTTTATTGTTTGAATCCCTGCCATTATTCTTAAATAACTTAGAAAGACATAAAATAATTTAGTTAGAGAAATGTTTCACTCTGAATATATATAAATAGATAGAGAAGAGGAATTGCTTAATCAATGTTTCGTTGTAAATGAATATTATTATTTGTTGAATTTGTATTTGGGTCTTAGATTTTAAGGTAGGGGTAAGCTAATTCTTAATTTCTTAATTTTGTAATTGAGATTGTAATAATCAATTGTTATCTTTTAATTGACTAGTTTTTTATGACACACGTTACATGTTGACTATACTCATCCTTTGTGCTCGTTTACAATCAAGTTCGTAGGCCTTTACAATGCTTACAATTTAATAAATCCATAAATCATTATTATGGATATCTAATTCAATAACTAACTCAGTTCTATTAATTCAATTCCGTTAAGTTTCCGTCAATCTAAAACATTATCTTTACATTTTCCTTTTATCAAACTAAGATCAAGTATTAAACAACAAACTACGACCTAGCAATTTGTATTTCCATTAAAGGGCTATAACCTTACTCTTATGCTTATTTCAAACCATTGATCACTTCTAGCTATTATTAAAGATGATTACTTCAGTTAATCAGCTAACAACATTTTTCTAGGATTATCTTAACTCTTGTTTTATCGATTTTTGTGATTTTTGGCTTTGAGGCCTATTTGTCTAATTGCATCGATCAATATTTCAAGAATTGAATGGCATCTAATTGCAAAATTAATTATTTATTCATGACCTACACATCAGACGGAGCATTCTGCCTACTGCAATAATTTCCGGTCATCGGATCCGCGCCGTCTACGGTTGCCGGAGGGTAGGTGGTTACCGAATTCCTCAAGATTCAAATATTAGTCGTGGTTTTTCATGTAGAACTCAATTCCCAAATCAATCCACCATCCAACGCCTAATTTATCAAAATCCCAATTTTATTCAAATTGAAACCTAAATTCTACACCCCCTTCAACCTTCATTCAATGACCAAATCAATCAAGAATAAGTTAATCAAAAGCATCGAGATTCGTTTTTCCACCAACCTGAGTAAAGGGAATTGCCGGAAATGCTTGAGCTCGCCGGAAAGTCGAGAAAGAGAGAACTGTGGACTGAGGTAGCGGCGTCGCAGGAGAGAGCCTTGTTTCGCGTGGAGCAGGCTTCGATCGTTGAAGGGATAGCCGGATTCAAGGTCGCCGTCGATCGGAGCGTCGACCGCCGCCTTGGCCTCGATAACCGATGGCCGAAACACTGATTGGGGAGGGGAGGGGAGGGGAGGGAAAGGAGATCGCCGGTGCTGCGATCGGGAGAGGAGTTTTGGGCTTCTTTGCCCTTTTTGGTTGTTTCTGGTTGGGCTCAATTCACTGGTTCGGTTCGGTTTAATTCAAATGGAAACTTCTAAATTTTAAGGGTTTCAATGGTTTATGCTTGGTTCAATCGGCTGGTTAGCTGTTTGGTTTTGCTTGTTTTATTATTCTTATAAAATTCTATTTTTTACAATAAAATGATATTATTAAATTCAAATTTTAGAATTTAATAGGAAAAACTTTTTAAATTTTAAAATTGGGCTATTTAAGCTATATATATATATTGGTTTTCTTATGACGTGTGTTGCAAGTTAGACTTTATCCATTATTCGTACTTGTTTATTTTTTTATGTTATCGCTCATTTTTACTTGTTATTTATACTCGTTTTCATTTTTTGAATATTAAATATTGAGTATAATTTTTGTCTTATAACATGTAGATTTTTATAATGTTAAGACAAAATTTCATATAGAATTAAAGTGAATATAATGATTAATCAATGAAACCAGTGTGTAAATACACACATATTTCACTTTAATTTATATTGTCATTTATCTAAAATCAATTATAACTGTATATGTATAATAAAATAATATTACCTAATAAATGTGTTTCAATATATATAGATAATAATAAGTATTTTATATACTTTTAAAATTGAAAATTTTCAACTTTTTGTCATCGTATATACACATATGTTCATTTTTTAAAAAAAGAATTAAAAGTGAAAATTTAAAAAATTCGAAAGTCTTAATTGTATGCATTATATTTAAACTTTTATTTTTTAGAAAATATATCCAATCAAATTATACAAATAAAAAAAGAAAATATTATAAAAAAATTTTTTTTTTTTAGCTCTCTCCTAAATAAAATATTTTAAATTATAATAAAAATATAATCAAATATTTAAAAATAACAAAAAATTTCAAATGTCTTGTGATCATACAAATTTATTAAAAAATAAATTGAAAAATGATAAAACTTAAAAATTTAAAATGTTTAATTATCTATATTTTTATTTAAAAAATAATTTCAACAAATTATATCCAATTAACTATCAAAATATAAGTTTCTAATTGATTTTTAAAATATTCAAATTTCATTAAGAGCGCTATAAAAATCACATTAATTCCCATATTTCCAAACTTATATATAGTACATATTTTTAGTTTTTTAGTTTGGTTTTGTTATATCATTATTGAGTTTTAGTGAATTTTTTATTGTGAAATTATTTAATTGAGATATTGGTTTGATTGTGTGTATTATTTATTTAGTTTGAGTTTTAATTTTTTTATTTTATTTTAACATTGTTTGCATATTCAAGTTCGGATACGGGTTTCAATTGAGTTCGGTTTCAAAAGGATTAAATGAATTAATGATACGAATTTGGATATTGATATTGTTAGTTTATTTCTTAATGAATTTAAAACGGATTCGGATTCTTAAATTGATAAATAGATTCAGATTCCAACAGTTGATTTTTTGCAGATACCTGCTCGGCTGTCTTCCCTTGTGAGTGACTATTCTGAAATTTGATGTATTCAATATTTCTCAAATTCTTTAATTGTGTAATTACACATTAAAAAGTTCCAAGTAACAATAAAAATTTAAGAAAGGGAAACAGGAAAAAAAAACAAAGGGATTATTTGGTGAAAAAGAAAATAAACTAAATTAAAAAAAAAAAAAAGTTTTCAAATGTAGGAGCAAATGAACAACAAAAACAATTAAATTGATAAACATATTGAGTGCTTGTTGAAAGCAGGAAAGCATTAAAGAAAATCTCACAGGAGGCATATTTGTGTGAGGAGAGGAGCCTTCACTGAGCCTGAGTGGGAGAGGAGAGCTATTGTCTATAACTCTGATCAATTTTTTTTTTTTTTTTAATTGTCATCACCTAAAAGGAAAAACCCAAATTAGTTTCAATGTGGTACCCTTTTCAATGTAAGAATTAGAACATAAGAAAAAACACAATGTAAACAATTAGTGTGCTTCTCAATGTAAGAATCAGAACAGAAGAAAGAAACATAAGCAGAGATGCTGTCCTTCTCACATGTCCGGTCACTGAAACTCTGAGAGTCTAGCAAATCCTTCTCCACTATTCACAACAATAGATACAAGGGAAATTTGAGTGCATTTGATATAGAGCATATGCAGAAGAAAACTTGAGCAGAAATTACTAGAAAATAAGGTTTGATACCGTTCTTCGAAGATAAGTGTAGGCAATGGAGGTAGTGCCTGTATGCACTTTGTGAGGATGTCATTGGCAAAGACAGATGAATCATGGGCGGAACTAACTTTGTTTGAACAGGTTTGCCCTTGTATCAGCAAGTTTCACAATTGCATTATTCACTGTAAGCAAAAACCAAACAAAATAACAATAAATATTTTCTTTTTCAAACGATGATATGCTGACGTTGGAAGCACACTCAGCTTAACCAAATCATGCAAGAATATTTATGTATAGCACACTCAGGAATCTTTTGAAATGAGAACACAATTAAGGGCCTCAGCAACTTGAGTAAAGATACTTTGAAATGCTATAGACAAAGAAAGTCATCTAAATAGGTCATTTAACTTGGAAGTTTGGAAGCCTAAGGAAATACGGATTTTACAGTGAACTGCACAAAAATAAATTGAAGAGAAGTGATAGAGAGAGGGAGAGGGAAAGGTGTTAGTCAAAATCATAGAGAGCTTTACCTCACACATTATATCATCCTCCTCTGGAATCCAGTTCACAGATTGACCCCTCCAAGTATTAGGATCCCTATAGCATTTGTAATGGTTAAGTATATGAAAAATAACATAAATGTGAACACTTCCCATCAGGCTGCTAGAGCATAGATGCCAATCATGTTCACCTTGTTGCATAACATGGTTTACCGTTCATAGAAGATAGTCTTGGTAAGAAAATCAACCAATTGATCCTCTGAATCAAACATATGCAACAGCGATTTTTTTTTTTTTTCCTTCATGACAGTCTCTGTCAAAGGGTAAATCTATTATAGTCTTCTCATGAAAAATTGGATTCAAAGAAATGCAGCTTGATTATCAAAACACATCCTCTATCCACTAATAAGTGTATCATTTAATTCTACATGCTTTGTCGTCCTAGCATATATAGTTCTTCGATTCTTTTATCAGGTATGGTACCATTTTTCTTCCCTCAAATTGGAAAGAATTGTCTGCAAAATTGCCAAAAGGTGAGTTAAGTACAATCAATCCAATTTCATATCATATATAATCATTGGTATAACACATGATACACCAATATATATGTGTACATAGCACATTTCCAAAACATTCTCATCGTTATCATGCTCAAATGTCAAGGTAAACACATTCTGCAAGTCAATACAATTTTTCAGTATAAATGAATGGCCATAGCAATGAGGATATAATTATTCTTAGGTTGTGTTGGGATAAATCAAGCTGCATTGTCCACTATAATAGTACTGAAATCACATGCTTCCAGAAAATCAATGCAGATTATTGATCAGGTGGTAAATTTTGCTAGACTTTAACAATTGGCAATGCAATTGAGAAACAGCTATCAACTGCTGAAAGAATAATGGACTAATTCATTTCTCAGTGAGGGGAAATCTGAAACAATATAGACGATAAGAAAAAACTAGCTAAAGCCAAACGACAAATACCGGGATCTTAGGCTGCCTTGCTTCAGATGCTCCATTTTCTGCTTTCTAACTCAAGCAAAATTGTCTTTGGCATATTGGTACATGGATAATTATTAAAAAATTCCTGTAGAGGTAACATAATTAAAGATCTTCACACCTACATCACAGAGGCAGAGCCCAGATCCCATGAAATTAGAAGTTATTTCAGCAGAGGTGTTATTCAGAAGTAATGTTTTTCTTCAAATCCAGCCAAACTTCAGAGCCTCTGGGATCAAGTTCAACATACCGCTTAACAAATAATTTATCTGAGATGCCAATTATAGTGCTCAAAGAGAGCATGGGGTCAACCTTTCCTTGATCTTTGAGCCAGTTGTACATTCCAATCCTAAGCTTGATAGTTGGTATTGTATAGCTAAGAAATGCAGGATATGTAACTAAAGCTGAAATGGGATAACCCAAATCATTTATAATAAAATCAATTTTCATTTTGATAACCTCCTTTTTCTGATTAAGAATTTGAGGGGCTATTCTGACCATTTCACAGACATCCTTCCTAACCAAACCAGCTTGCATGATACAATCAAATCTCTCTTGGAGCTCTGCTCCTTTGCCTCGGAAAACCTTTAGTGCCTTTTCCATTTCGTTCGAACTCTCTGAAAATCCCAAGTCCAACAAAAATTTTTTCTTTAGCGTTTTAGATCTCAGTCTCTCTCCAGAATTTGGCAATTTTCCAACTTTTGATCCCATCACCCAGTTCTTCATTTCTTGTGGGTTTTGTAGTATGATATCACAAAGTCGCTTCTTTCCAACATTTAGAGCAGAAAGCAAGCTATTGGTTTTTTTCAATGTACATGAACCCAGCAGAAGTGGATGAGAACGGATGATCTTACCAATCTCTAGTCCCTCCATCTCAATCTCGGTCAGGAATAGAAAGCATTGCCGCAAATTCAAATTAAATTTCCAAACTTGAATTGGTGGAAACTGTAGAAACATTGAACAAATCTGGTTCATTGAGGATCCAAATTTAAGCATAAACCCAATTATTGCTAATGCCCTATCCCCTGAACCCTCAAAAAGGATCCCTGGATGCTGGTTTATCAGCAATCTTAACTGTTCCTCACTGTAACCCGAATTGCTAAATAAGTCCAGAAGTACGTGTGACTGGCTCCAGTTATGAGAACTCTTCTCAGACAAATGCTCCTCAATCCAAGAAAGTCGAATTCCCACTTTCTTCAATATCTCCACTGACTTAATAAACTCTACATTCCTTTCCCCAATCAAATGATAGGGGCTACAGACAACCATTTTAGCAATAAAAGACCGGTCAAACCCCATTTTTTCATATGCTTGAAGTTTCAATGCCAAGACCCCACAGTCGTACTGAAAAATTTCTCCTGCTTCCTTATAAATCTTTCCTATCTTATTTCTTGGAATACCATAATTACACAAAACATGATAATTCTCTAGCAACAGATCATTGTCGCTCAAAAACATTAAATCACGTGGAAGAAGAGACTTATACTCATACGCTCTTAATCCAGAACTCTCAAAGAAAGGCTCATATTCATTAATGGGATGATAACGCAAGAAACGAGTGACAGACCGCCCTACATCTGCCCCAGTATCAATCCTTTGTAGTAACTTGACAAGAAAATTTGGTGAGTTTTTACTCATATGCTCTGCATCAGCAAACTGTAAGCTTCTAGTTGAATGCAAATACTCTATTAGTGCAGCCTGGGCTTGTTTTCTAACTGCATTAGAGAATTTACTAGCGCTTTGCCCATCATTTATTGAATGTTCATCAAAATTATCACCATTTACAGTTTGAACTACTCTTTTTCTCCTATAGAACCTAGGGTTATTTCCAGTGTAGAATAAGGAACCAGCTGACCATATAGGGATTTTGTAAGAGTCAACAGAATTAGAAGAAGCCCATTCAAGAATGCGAGCTATTCTAAGCTTATGTAGATGGGTCATTGTTAACTTGATTACATGTATGTTAAAGATTCAAATAAATTATCCTCATAGAAAAGAAGCACGAGAGACATAAATTCAATAGAAAAGGATATGAACGGTTACAGCGAGAGTTTTCTTACCTTAAATTTGAGTTTAATGTCTGTGTTGAGAGATTTTGAAGACTCAGTCACAGGTATTCTTACAATCTCGTACTGAGAGTTTGTTTTCTTCCAACTTATAAAGCCTTGCACTCTTTCCTTTTTCTTCTTTTTTTTTTCCTCCGGAAATAGTTATTAAAGGGTATTTTATTACGAAAGAGTTTAAAAAAATGTAGGATGTTAGAAAGCCAAATTCAAACCTTAATTCAGCGGTATCTCAAATTTTCCTAAACCTTAATTACAGTGAAATTAATATTTTTATTTTAGTACTTTCTTTTAAAACAGTCTTTGTTTATTGTCAATTAACTGAAAATTTGCTCCTTAATTTAATAATTATAATCAAACTAACTATAAATTTCTTAACTTATTTTTTCTATTAATACTTTAATACTTCTACTTTGAATAAAATTATCAAAGTGTTAATAAAATAATAATTTAGAAATTTCGTAATAAGTTTTGAAAAAATGAAAGCTTCCATTCAGCTAGGGGTGGCCATATTACGGTTTCGGAAACCAGAACCGGTGGTTCGGAACCAGTCCGAACCGAAATTGGAATCGGTGGGAACTCGAACCGGTCCTAACCGGAACCGAAATCGGAGATTTTCAGTTTGGTTCCAGTTCCAGTATTGTTGAAACTGCAAACCGGCGGTTCCACAAACCGGTCGGAACCGGATGGAACCGCCGGTTCTCTGGCCAGTTAGAACAGCCGGTTCGAACCGATTCGAACCGGCGGTTCTAGCCGTTAGAAACTGTCAAATTTATTTTTTTAAAAAATTTTTTTGTGAAATCTCTTACAAAATTATTTTTTTTAAAAAATTTTTTGTAAATTCTCCTTAAATTTTTTGATTACCTCCTAAATTTCTAAAGGAGGAACATAAGGGCAACTTTAATTTTTTAAAAAAAAAAAAAAAAATTTTAAAAGGTTCAAGGCCCTTTTTTTTAAAATTATGTTCAAACTTGTTGAAAAAAAAAATAAATTCAGTTGAATACAATATTTAAAAAAAAATAATTTTAAAAGTTTCAAAGTCTTTAAAAAAAATTAAATTTAATTATGAAGTATTTTTTTTTTAAATTTTAGGGTATTTTTTTTAGAATAACTTTACAACAAATTTTTTTAAATTTTGGAAACCCAGTCTTTCAAAAATTTAAAATTTAAAAATTATTGCGGAAATTAGCCCGAAAAAACAAGTCGGAAACAGGGATCGGAACCGTCGATTTTGGAACCGTAGGAACCAGAACCGGAAAAACCGGAAATTTTCGTCCGGGTTTCCCACCCTTAAAATATCGGCTAAATTATTTTTTTCTTTTTTCTTTTTGGTTAAAAAATTAACTTAACCTTTTTTTCCGGTTTTTTTTTAAAGAATTCAGATATCTGAAGTTTCAACTTGCTCCAATTTAATTCGAAATTGCATCAAAACACAGGGAACTTTAAATAAAAAAAAAGACAAAAGATATTTTTTAGGTGTATTTTTTTTTTAGAAATAACTTTCACAAATTTTTTAAATTTTGAAAACCAGTCTTCAAAATTTAAAATTTAAAATTATGCGAATTGCCGAAAAACAAGTCGGAAAACAGATCGGAACCGTCGATTTTGAAACCGTTAAGGAACCAGAACCGGAACCGGAAATTTTCGGTTCGGTCCCACCCTTAAATTCGGCTATAATTATTTTTTCTTTTTCTTTTTGGTTAAAAAATTACTTCCTTTTTTTCCGGTTTTTTAAGAATTCAGTATCTGAAGTTCAACTTGCTCAATTAATTCGAATTGGCATCAAACAGACTAATAAAAAAAAGACAAAGATCTCCCCTCCGAGTTCTTAATGAGATTCTATACCGAAATGTATGCTTGAACTTAAAATATTTTAGTGATGAATGAAAAGATTTTTATCGCCTCAGCTTATCCCTTACCCCTTACAGATAAAATCTCTCAATTTATTAAAAGTATGTGAAAAATTATTTAATATCAAATATATATGCTTTAATTATTTATTGTGCCGTTAAAATATGTTATTTCTTGGTTGCGGTTGTTGAGGAAGTTGTGCGCCTATAATTTTATGAATCCAGCTTATTTACTTGCTTTTGTTTTGTGTAATAAAAAATTATTAATATAATGTGCATTTTATTAATTATGATTTTGAGAATCTATTGGAAAAAAAATTGGGAAAAGCTAAATTTAATTTTCAATTAGGTTTTCGTAAAAGTGAAAATTTGATTTTATTCAATTGTAAAAAAAAATATTTAATAAAGTGAATTAACCTCATGAAATGAAGAGCATATTAATTTCATAAAAAAAAAAAAAATTTACAAAATTTTATGAAATTGATTTATAAATTTATAATTGACATTTTATAAAAAGGCCACCTTTCCCTCTCACGATGTTATAATTCGGGGCCAAAAGCTGAATACAAAGAAAGCTTGCAACTGTGTTAGGAAAACATGTTTAATGCCTGCTAGTCTATAGTATAACCAGAAAAAAAGCAGGAACTTACAAAATGGAACGAGTGCTGAGGTGCATAGGAGGAATTATCTTATGTTCCACCGGATAAGTGCACTCTCCTTCCATAATCATCTGGGATTTACAAGTTAATAGCGCGGGTCTGCACTTTTATCTTCAACAAATAGTGCAGCCTTCAATGGAGGTCGAAGCATATGGTTGCCTGGCTAAGTTCATGAATACAGCCATCTGATTATGATAAGTAATTACTACTGAGGTATACAAAGTACATTTAATTTATACATAACCATTTTGAGAATTAATATTTACTTCATTCTTATGTCGCCTAATTATGACTCTCTGTATCTAAGAGGCAAGATGGAGAATTCTGGTAATTGTAGCTCTGTTTGTTTTCCAGAGAATATTTTCCTAGAAAACAAGTTATTCACGTTGTTCATTAGTACCTGCAAGGAAACACAGCACTATTTCAAAAACCATACTCCATATTCAACCGATTCAAAACAAGCTAAGGATTTTCTTTTCTTGAATGGTTTTGCTTGATTCAACCTAAAAAGCATGTGTGCAAGTGTAGAAGATAAAGAAGAATAATCTGCTATAGAAGATGGATAAGAATTTAACATTTATAATCAGTGATTGATACAGGGCAGATACAGTTCCACATTCACACAACAAGAAACTCTGCATCATTGCTATTCACTAATGCTGTAGCAGAACACCTTTTGGCAAATTCACAACAATTTTCCACAATAGATCAAAATATCCAATGCATAACAAGTAAAAATTTTCAAGTTGCTAACGAAAAATTTACAAGGAAGGTTTTCATTTTGAATGTTACTATCATAAATTTAAGTTGAATCAATATATTCTGCAGTAATCTGAAAGCACAATTTGGCACAAAACCAGAAATATTATGACAAGGACGAAGATTAAATGCAGAAATGGGTTCATCGATTGCTATAAACAATATGGTAAAGCTATTTATTTCCAGGGATTGCAAAATGCTCAAATAAGTAGAAAACAAGGAAAATAGAGCTAACAATTACCAGTGTTGGGTCTCTTTTGCTTCATAAGCTCAACCTTCTACCTGCCAGCCTCGCAAAATTGGCTTCAATATACAATGATGAATAAGTGGTTGTCAACATTTAGAGAAGTAACAGATTCAAACATTTCCACACGTTTTCCATCAAGAAGGTAGAACTAATGACTGTACGAGTTCATTAATAGAGTGAATTTTTTTCTTTCAATTTCTGCCACACTTTAAGGCCTTGAGGATGTCGCTCTACATGTTGTCTGACAAAATAATCTTCTGTGCATGCAATTACTGTGCTCATGGAAAGTAGGGGACCAGTTCCTTGCGCTTTGAGCCACTTATACATTTCTAACCGAAGCTTGACCCTTTGTGTAGTATAGTTAAGATATTCTGGGAATCTGATCATTTCCGATATGGGATAACCCAGGCCATTTACAAGAAAATCAATCTTCTCTTCAAGAACTTCCTTTTTCTGGTTAAGGATTTGAGGGGACACTTTAACCATTCTACAAACATCCTTTCTGTCCAAACCAGCTCTCATGATGCAATCAAATCTCTCTTGGAGTTCTGTTCCTCGGCCCCGAACAACCTTCAGTGCATTTTCCAATTTGCTTGGGTTATCTACCAATCCCACATCCAACAAGAATTTAGCCTTCAGCATTTTCGATTTTAGTTGCTCCCCTATGTTCGATAATCTTTCAATTTTTGATCCAATCACCCATTTCTTCATTTCTTGTGGGTTATCCTGAATGATCTTACAAAGCCTCCTTTTCCCAACATTCAAAGTAACAACTACAGTATTGGCTCTCTTTAATGTACATGAGCCCAGCAATAGAGGGTAAGAACGGACAATCTTTCCAATCTCATTCTCCTCCATCTGGATCTCTGTCAAGAACAGAAAGCATTTCCTCAAATTTGAAACAAATTCCCCAACTTGCATGTTTGAGAACTGTGGAAATATGGAACATATCTGGTTCATTGAGTATCCAAATTTGAACAGAAACACAATCAGGCATAGTGTTTTATCACCTGAGCCCTCAAATAGAATCATTGGATGCCGGCTTATCAGGCTATGTAACTGCTCTTCACTGTAACCTGAACACCTAAACAAGTTCAGAATTGATAGCATCCGGCTCCAGTTATAACTGTTCTCTGACAAATGCTCCTCAATCCAACTGAACTCAAGTCTTCCTTTTCTCAACATATTCAATACCTTCATAAACTCTACATTCACATCTCCAATCAAAAGGTAAGGGCTACAAGCAACCACCCTACCAGTAAATGACTGGCTGATTCCCAGTTGTTCATAAGCTTGAAGTTTAAATGCCAATACACCATAATCATACCGGAAAATTTCTGTTGCTTCTTTATAAATCCTTCCTATCTTATTTCTTGGAATTCCATAATTACACAAAACATAATAATTGTCTAGCAACAATTCATCATCACTTAAGAACATCATATCACGTGGAAGTAAAGGAATATACTCATAAGGTTTTAAACCAAGACTCTCAAAGAAAGGCTCAAACTCATTAATGGGGTGATACCGCAAGAAACGGGCAACAGACTCCCCAATATCTGTCTCAATATCAACTTTTTGTAATAGCTTTCCAAGAAAATGAGGTGAATTTACACTCATATTCTCTGCATCCGTAAATGGAATACTTCTAGTGAGATGCAAATACTCTAACAATGCAGCCTGAGCTCTTTTTCTAGTGGCACGAGATATATTGCCAAAGCAATGGCTGTTATCCAACAAATTTTTATCTAAATTGTCAGAATTTTCAGTGAGAACTATTCTTTTTCTACCATAAAACCTATAATTCTTTGCAATGCACAAAATAGACGCCATATGCCATAATGGGGTTTTTTGGCTAACAAAGAAATTTAAAGAAACCCATTTGAGAATAGATGTTAGTCTAAGTTTATGCAAATGGGGCATGGCTAGTTTGGCGAAAAGTGAGGTGATTAATCGAGATGTCCGTTCTTTTTTTAGATAAGAAATGCCATAGTTTAATAAGCTCGGTATTAAGATATGAATACCATGAGAGAGCTTATGGTAGAGTTTCTTACCTTGGCGTTTTGTGGAGTTTGTATGAGTTTAGTGTTCGCTAAGAGTGATTCGGAATAAAAGTTGCAGGGTTTCTTCGATTTTCGCTCTGCTGGTGCTATGGAGCCTTGGCTTTGGCTGCAAAGATGTTTGAAGAAGCCAAAAAAGAGGCTCCAAATGGTAGCAAGAGAGTGGGTTTTCGGTCATTTTGCATCTCAGGTACCATCGAAAAATAAACAATGACTTCTTTCATTTTCTTTTGTTGTTTAATTATTCATTTGTTTATTAATTTTGATGTAATGGTGAATGAAATTTTTTTATATATTTATTTATGGCTAAATGATAAAAAAAAGGCAGAATTTTGGTTGTTTTTGCTGTTTTAAGCAATTCTTTTAAGGGAAAATAATAATTGGTCCCTAAATTTTGTTAACACTTGAGAATCTCAATTTTTAAAAATCAATTTCGAGATCTTTAAATTTTAATTCCGTCAGTAGATACATCCTTCCGTTCGAAATACCCACTTTTAACCATTAAACTGATATGTAAATATAAAAATGCTCTTGCTCGGTAGTTCTTCTTCTTTCTCTCCCCATTTCTCTTAATACAACAACAAATTTTTGCAAATTAAATTAAAAAGAAAAAGGAAATCATTGACCAATCTCATCGATAATCAAGCAAAATTTATGAAATTGTTTGCATAAGAGAAATAGAATCTAGTGTAAATCCAAAACTCTGCATCTCAACCAACAATGCATTTGTCTTCCCTGCAAAACCATTTTGAGCGAAGCCAAAAATTAATGCTCCTCAAGAAACCACACTCTTACATTTCATCTTCTTAAAAGACAAGTGAAACAAGCTCTAATTGCCCATCCTTAACATGCATATCCATGGCTAGTATAAAGGAGGATATCATCCATGCCTATTCCAAACCTAATTATATACTCATGTACTGAACCATTCAATTTTGAATCTTCAATAGAATCACAGATCTTAAGTAACTCTACAATCGCAATCTCATCTCCTTCGATCCCTTCTTTTTGCATCTTTCTATAAATATAAATTCGTGTATTCATCAATCAATATATGGTGAATGCGAAAAGTTTTAAGCGCAGCAAAAGAGGTTGAGGCGGCGGAGCCAATGAAAAGTGAAGCAGCTACAAAAGCTTTAAACAACAGTAAGCTAGAATCTCCTATGCAACATTTTCGAAACGATTATAGAACCCAAATAAGTTGGCAATGCTTGCCAAGAATGAAGAGGACTAGGGTTTGTAAGGAAGTAGGTGAAGCTGGCTGCACTTATGGTGTTTTTTGAATTTTTTTTTCTTTCTCATTTGACTAACTTAAATTATTAAGACTAAAAAAAAAATGCGTGTAATTTTGAAAGGAATAATGTATTTGTTTACGGAATTAAAACTTAAAGATTTCGCAATCGGTTTTTGGAAACTGAAGTCTTCAAGTGTTAATTATATCAAACTTAAGAACGCGATTATTATTATTATTTTTTTTAAAAATTTTTCCATGGGTTATGGCTTAATTGAAACGCAGGTTGGGCATATAGGAAGAGTTCTCGGGTTCGATCCCAATTAAATCTTTCTGAAGGAAGAGGTAAACAGTCTTAACTGTAACTAAATTTCGAACCGAATTAGGCGGGCCCTAATAAAAAGTTTAATCTTTTAATCTTGATAATTATGGCTCTAAACTTTTTTTTTTTTTCTCTGCGAAGTTTCCAATCTGGTTGTTAGAGGATTTCCACGTCCTGACACATCAATACCACGTCACCAGACCACGTTAGTAAAAAAAAAAAAAAAAAAAAAAAAAAAAAAAAAGTTTAAATGATAGAACTTATACCCGTTGTACCGGTTAAAAAAAAAAAAAAAAAAAAAAAAAGTTAAATGATAGAACTTTACCCGTTTACCGGCTTAATACATTAAAATACTCTGATTTTTAAGAACTTTTGTAATTTCATTTTATTTTGACATTTTTGTCAATTTCATCATAATTTTAATCTTTTTTAGTAATAACACCCTCAATTACAATTAAGGATGAAATTGAAAATAAAGAAGTATTTCCATATATGCATGATATGACACTGAAAAAAATTTAAAAATAAAAATTTTACAGAAATCATTACTCTATCCAGTTGATATTCCACATAATAAATCTTTATTTTTTAAAATAAAAATTGCTAATTAATTATTTAATAAGTAAAAAAGTTTCATAACTTAAAATCTCAAAGCATAGCATCAAATTAAATTAATAAGATATAGTTTTTTAAATTATGTATTTTGTTTCATAATTATTTATATGTCAAGAATAAAAAATCTCAATTATTGAAAATTTTTAGATTGATAATATAGCCAAAATATTTTTCATTTAATAAAAAATAAATAAATTCTTAATTACTGTAATAGCACATTTTAAATATCATGTTTTTAAATCAATAAAATACGACACTTATTAGATGTGGACATTTGAAATTTTATTTTCAGTGTTAATTTATTTAATACTTAAAACAAGGATAGAAATAGAGTGATATTCAAATTCGAAGTATTTTAAGACATTAGGCCAACTTTGTCCGTTTTGCAATTTTTAGCAAATTTTATGTAATATGAGTTGTTTCATAATACTTGCATATATATATATATATATATACTTAAAACATAATTTATTATAGTTTAATCATGTAAAATTTAAATTTTCTTGAATAATTCTCTAAATTACAACCCATCACTCTGCCATGTAAAATCTATTATCCATTCCCAGGTGAAGTATTTAGAGTAATGCCATTTAATATTTTTCTTTCTAATAATATTTAGAAATTAGTATTAGATAATTTGATGGATTGTTTATGTCCAAAGTCCAAACAACAGAGTTCTGTTTTGAAGTTTAAGATGATCAAAATTTACATTAGGATTTAGACCGTGTGATTTAAAATGAAAATTGTAAAATATTGATATAGTAATATTAAATCCTTTCCAATTTTTATCTGTATTGTAGCATCAATATGTTCTTTCAAGAACAATTTTCAGACATTTTTTCTTTTGTTAATAAAATTGCACATATTTAATTTTTTATTCAATGATTAAATAGAAATTAAGAACATAATTTATTAATTTAAGCTAATAGACACTTCGCTTAAAAACCAAGGTCTTGTCTGCTCAATCCAAAGAGTAAGAAGCTTCAACCTCCACATCCCCCTCCCCCTCCCCCTCCCCCTCCATCTCCATCTCCATCTTGTCTCAAGTCAATCATACACAAGTAAATTGAAAACATTGATTTCCACTTTCAACAGACATCAGGAACAAAAAAAAAAAAAAAAAAAAAAAAAACTCCCCCTCGGCCGCTCCCCTCCATCTCCATCTCTCTCATCTTGTCTCATGTCAATCAATACACAACGTACACTTTAAAACATATGAATTAGTCACAGCTGTATACAAGCAGTACCATCCAGAACAAAGAAAAGAACAAAATTAAAAAAAAAAGTAATCTGCACAGCAATCTCAGCTTTATTCTAGTATGGTTATAATACATTAGATGGAAGCAAAAGCCATGTCAGTTTGAGAGAAAGAAGAAAATATAACAAAAAGAAGATTTCAGTAACAAAAATTTTAGTTTTTCTCTGCATACCTAGACATTCCAATACTGCTTCTATCGGCCACAAGGAACTAGAAAAAAAAAAAAAAAAAAAAAAAAAGAATCCTGCAGAGCAATTCAGTTATTCCTAGTATGGGTTATAATACATTAGATGGATGCCATAGCATGTCCATTTGAGAGAAAGAAGAAAATATAACCAAAAAGAAGATTTCAGTAACAAAATTTTAGTTTCTCTGCCATACTAGACATTCCAATACCTGCTCTAACAGAACTAGTGACAAAGTCTACTCAATGACAAGATTATAGCTGCTAGTAGAAAAGAAAAGAATCAAAGAGAGGAAAAGAAGAGTAAAAAACTAGAACGACAGTGAGATTTCACTGAGAGAAAATCATTGTTTTGGAAGGTAATAAGGGTATCCACCCATTCCCATAGGTGTTGGTGGTGAAAGACCGAGCGGATCTTTCTTCATGGCAACTGGTGGATATGAAATTTGAGATTGAGGAGGATATGGAGCAGGTGCTGTGGGAGGACTTGGGTAAGAGGAAGCAGGATATGATGTCATAGTTTGAGGATAAGAGTAGCCAACAGGGGCAGGGCCAGGATGTGCTTTTACAGGTTGAGTGTATCCAGCTGCCATTGGCAAGGGTACTGGTACCACTGGTGGAGGCAATTGTGTTTGTGCTGTTTTGCCTTTGTGAGTATCAGCAAGCTTCACAACAATAGTTCTCCCCTGCAACAAGAATAATTACAAAAATGTTTAATGATGCTAGCAAAATTAACCAACTGGTGTGAGAATACCCGTGTTTATATAGCAAGTGCAGGAAAATCTCCAAATGATAACAAATGATAAAGCCGAAGCATTTAGAACAAGTAATTAACAATGAACTTGACAAAAACATGATATCTGATTTAGAACATGGAACTATATAGTCTAGCAGACGACAATGATAAGGAAATGCATAGTAGGACGAGAAGATCCTTTATCGTCAATTCTCCCATCTTTGAAAAGGCCCATTTGATTCTCAATTGTTACATCCCATTCTAAAAGGAACACCACTTTCTGTTCAAACTATAGCAGGAAATGCTAATAGGACATGGTCAACAAGTTCAATCAATGACAATATCTTAGACTGTACTACTGCATTATAGTAATTAAGGCCCTTCTCAATTTTTTTTCCCCGCAAGATTTCATATATTGAGAATGAACTCGAGATAATAAAAGTATAAAACATCTGATCTTGCATGCTTCAGTTCAAAGTCTTGACCATGCATGACAAAACATGGCCTTGGACCACTTCGCCAGAGCAAATATATCTTGCATCCCTAATGAATATATTGATATGTATCTGTACCGGATGACTCAAAGAATAAAGTGCAAAATAGATAACTAAGCTAAATCAAAATACACTAAAAAGTAGCAACAACTGGTTCCTATTAGACAGATTACAGAATTAATTATCACTTTACACATGTATCATGGATGTCCATATTTATTCGAAATCACACCATTTCTTGACTACTAAATGGTTTACTTGCCATTTTATTTACAAAATTTTGAAATTAAAAGAATTATAAGCAGATAAATGTATAGTTCTTATTTTCTTAAAAATTATCTAGAATTTTCTACTTTCTACATATTTTAATTGATACCGATACTTTTCTATTTCCATTGATATTTGTAATAATGTGTCGATATACCCATATTTTAGAAACTCAATATACATATAGATTTATTGAAAATGATAATGAAGACTATCATGACAACCAGTACAGCCACAAATTGCTGATCGCTAAACATAAGCTAACGTATTTAGCCATCTATCTTCTAGAGCCAATAGAGATAAATATTCCCTCTGAGAAGCCCTTTATTCCTTGAGTACCACAGATCCAAAATAGTTAAGAGGAACTCCTTGAACAAAGAGTCATGTCTAGAAAAAGATGAAAAAAAGGCATGCATTCTGATCATTTTGAAAAAACATATGCAACAACTTACCCCAAGTGTCTTCTGTGGATCATCTATGGCCTTCTTTGCAGCCTCCACTGTCTTGTATGTAACAAAACCAAACCCACTGCAAATGAAAGGGAAAGGATAGTCACTTTCAAGTATCTATAGATGGAGATATAGGAAGTATAATAAGTAGTCAGAAAAAATAATAACAGAAGATATTCCTCAATGAACAGAGAAAACAAATGATAATCATATACCGCGATTCATTGGTATCTTTGTCATAAGCAACTGAACCTTCTTCAATCTCACCATGCCTTCCAAAAAAGTTGAGCAGCAATTCACTTGTGATCTCTGGTGACAAACTTCCAATATAGAGTTTTCTCTGGGCTAAATCAGGCGTAGTACTCACCCCACTTAACCCTTCACATGCTAGATTACAGACAGCCATCCGACCCTGAGTAACGGTGTTACATTTAGAAGACAGAGACAGGGAGGTAGACAGATATATACTTGTTAAGAAAGGGTATGCATGCCTATAAGATGGAATAATATTCCCTAATTTTGAAATGAATCCCCCCCAAGTACATTGTGGCAAAACAACATTGACAAACAACTCAGTTAAGCCTTAATCCCAATTTAATTGAGAGAGCCTGCAGGGTTCCTTTTCCTCCAAATTAAGTGCACACGTTAGTATAAAATTGTACCCTCTCTTTTAACAAGGACAATTTTAAGAAATATGTTAGGGGTGTGTGTGTTCTGTTTCTACATACAAGAAACAGTCTCTAGAACTTCACTCCATGATTTCCTTTCTTTGAAAAACAGTATTAAAAAGGACACTAAAGGGATTTTACTTGCCACTTACCACCCATCTAAACCAGAGTTATAAAATATAAGAGTAAAATTAAAGACTACGGTTTACAGAAAACAAACGGTCAATACCAAAATTCCTCTCATCACCACAAAAAGTTAGCATTTAGTGACCCCATGCTTACATGAAAGCCTCTCCAAGAATTTGGTCCCTAGCTTCAATTTTGTATCTACATAAGGTTTTTTATTTTGACATTTCAAAGTGGACAATCATCTTATCCATTTGAAAGAGGAAGAAAAGAATAGACCATATTTGTTATTGAGGAAAAACTATCTCCACTCCAATACATTACCAAATCCGACACATGTAATTGAAATGGTTTGGAGATGTCCGAAATAAACCAACAAATGCAACAGAATGAAAGGTCCAGCATATCAAAGTTTATAGGGACAAAGAGATGCGAAGTAGACATATAATGAGATAGGATTAGATGGTGAACAAGGATGAAGCAGCAGACTTCTCTATAAACATAGTCCTAAAGAAGATAACATGGAAGAAAATGATATATACAATCAACTTTAACTTGATTGGAATTAAGACTTAATTATGTGGAGTTTGGGTTAGTAGTTTCAACAAGGTTGTCTTTAAGGAATTTGCAACTGCAATTCCACGTTTCATGCAAAATTTAATATATTTCGAAGAACGGAATCAGAATAGAGATGTCCTCTCATGCATTTCAAGAGAGCTTGAACCATTCCAAGTTAAAATTACCACGAAATTGTTCTCGTCTAATTCTATTCAGTGTAAGCAACATTGACAAGCCACTTCTGCTTAACACATAATTTACGACCTTGAAGAGAGTATGTGAGCGCCATACACCCTCAGATTTGTGTGTGCACATTTAAACAGCTGATGGATCTTGAATTGAGAGAACAATGACAGAAAGATAACAGATGGTTCTGTTAACTAAAGGAAATATCCATGATGTAAAAAGTAAAATAAAAAATTTAAAAAGGTGTTGATGCTTACATCAATCAATTTGCTAGGTGCCCTCAGTGCATTTTGTGTTGATTCCATATGTTTGTAAGTAATAAAGCCGTAGCCACGAGATTTCCCTGTGGCTTTATCATAAATGACAGCACCTTCTTCTATTTCACCATGGACACGAAATGCCTGGAACAAAAACTTATGTGGTCAAATCACTGAAAAGTTAAGAAGAATAATAAGTCAAGGAAATGAAAAGGGGGTACAGGAGATTGATTAGTCAATTTGAATAACATCAGCTATAATTAGTTTCATATGTTACAATCATCACCATAGCATGCAAAAACACATCAGCAATGCACTCACAGCACACAAGGTTTCTGAAGTGGTATTCCAGGCCAAGCCACGGACAAAAAGCTTTCGATGCACTGGATCTGCACTGGCTAGGCTTTTAATTTCTTCTGCAATGGAAGGATATTGGGTCCCTCTTTATGCGTCAACATGCAAATAAACACACATGCAGAGTGTCAATCACACGGCATACAATTGATTAATAGAAGTTACACTCATATGTCATCCTTTTAAAGCAGACATTAGCACAACATTGTCATAACTGTGCGCCCTCCATTACACAAGCCCTCTCTCTCTCTCTCTCTCTCTCTCTCTCTCTCTCTCTCTCTCTTTCCCTCTCTCTCATACACAAACACAGAGCAAAGAAACAAAGGATTCAAACCAATAAAAACACCCGATCTTATCAGGCAATTGAAGAGCTCCCAATGCATCTGCCATTAAATGCTTAAGTTCTAATTTGAAAATACAATAAGGCACATAATAATAAAGATCGAAAATTTGCCAATAAAAGAAGATAAACATATTAGAGGATACTATTTTGGTTGCCTAGAATCGGAATTGATATCCATGAAACCAACAAAATCTTTGCTTTTCACAAAAAATCAGTACTCTTGTAAATTCAAAGTAAGAATTCAATCACTATTAGTCTCACGAAACAGAGCAACTCGATAGATAATCTTTAGTTAAACTATCATAAACAAAACCCAGGCACCTACAATTCCAAGTTGAAAATTTTACTTTGGGCAGCCAATACAATACAGAAAAAGAAAATAAACCCATAAAATAAAACCCAATAAACTTTCAGAGAAAAGTAGAGAGATAAGACGCACAGTCTAGAGAGAAGATCGACGAGCTGGGATTTGTTGAGAGGGTCAAGGAGAGAACGAAGGTGCTCTTGGGTTGTTGAGATTTCACCGCCGTTGCTTGACTCCTCCATCTTCCTCTTCTTCATATCCTCCATTTTTAAGCTTTGGTTAACCTCTCTCTATGTTGCGTTTTTGAGACTGCAAGAAGGGAGTTCGGAGTTTTAACAGGCTTCAAACACAAACAGAGAACTTTCTGCGTAGTGGTGGTCGAACCCTGCTCCCGCTTTGTTTGTTTCCGTCACAGGAATTATACCTACACGCCAATGATTGTGAGTGTGTGTATATATATTGTTTTTTTATGTATATATGATATGATATTTAAGTAGCACACATCCCATAATCCAATTTTCATACTAAAATTATTTTATACTTACTATAATTCTATTTACCCATAAATTGAACTGAACTTATGATTTTCAAAATACAAACTAAAATTTAATTTATATATTAAAACTATATTTACAATAACTCTACTTGTTCAATTGTAACTAACTCAACATTTTAATTTTGTATTATTATTCGTTTGATAAATTATGTAACATGCAAAATAACAATAATCATTGCATATTTAATTTATATAATTTTATAAGTGAAGGAATTATTTAATCATTCCAAAATTATCTATAACATATAAAATTATTTATTTATGTCAAAAGTATTTATTTTGTGGATTGATCTTTTGCGCAAGTGATGCGGGCACTTTATGCACACAATTTTGAGTTCTTCATGGTTTTTATAGTATAACATGTATATATATTATGTTTTTGCCATGTATACTAATGGTATAAAGAAACAGAACTGAAACAAATTGTGCAACCCAACACAAACAAATATGAAATGGAGAATTTATAACTCGTCTCTTGTGTATCACTGAACTATAGATTTAAAGAACATGTTGCAACTGCTAATAAACAGCAAAAAAAAGATTCCTACAATAGCTGCAATCATAGATTAATAGCTTAAAAACATGCATTTAGTACAAAACCTATTACATTTTCACTGACATGCATGACCTAATAATAAGTACATATACAATCTGATATAAACTCGAGGTTGAATCTCCCTTAGAAAGAAAAATCTATTACAATGTGATGTGAGATTTCTAGTGAACCATCTCTTTCAAGCCAAAGTAAGTTTAGTTTGTAGCAAATTGATCTTTCTTATGTTATTATCTCAAGTTATGGGTTATTAATGTTCATTTATTTAATTTCTGTTGCTGCTGCAACATCAGCTTTAGTTGCCTTCCATTTTCTTCAATTTGCAGCTGGAGTTGTCTTTGAATCTGTGCCAAAAAAAAAGGCAAAAAGCTTTAGAAGATGAGTCCTTAAATTCGTTAAAACAACTTTATAATGACTGTAATTATAATCAATACCGTTATTTCAAGAAATAACATTTATTTTTACTTGTTTACCTCCAGTTGTTGATGAATATGTTTTTCAACATCTAGTTGCAGTTGCAGTGCCTCCTTGATTTTCAGAGTCCTGCAAACACAAGTAAGGAATTTGTCAAGAAACTGAGAAAAAACCGAAAATTTTTCGATTTGACTGTTTTTGAACATTATAGTTTGGTTCCCTATCACAAAACTACAAATAGTATAGATTCAAGAACTGTACTTTTTCATGTAGAGCTGAGGCATATCACTTATTGTTCTTTCATCAGTTTTTCCTGTAAAAGTAATAATAATAATAATTGACTCATTATTAATCTATTAGCAAATTGCCATTGAAATTGCAGAAATTTTAACTTGTTTACATTCACAGATTATCTTCTCAGATCGATATTTCTGCAAACCAAAATGTTAAGAATAATACAGTAAGCACAAGTGGAAACTAGATCATTGCTATATATTGGAAAAATCAATTAAAAGTCATCGATATATTAGTTATATATAAAGACTTTCAGAACAGCCAAGTAATATTCTCAAACAGTTTTTTTTTTTTTTTCAAAAATATCTGAAATGGTGCTTAAAGAAAAAACAGTTTTAATTGCACTGGAAACATTCCTATGGTACCTGCAAATGACTTTTGACATGAAAAATGGTTAACCCTTTTGATTTCATCATCTTCAGTATTGCCTTTGGGGTTGCCTCTGATATTATTAGAGCAATACATAGCAAATTAGAGTATAAAAATGGAAATTTTTATGAATAATAGTGAGATATATATAAATTCTTATGATCAAATTACTTACTGTCAGCACCACCAATACTGTTGACACATTCAACAAACTTCCTGTGAAGATCATCAGACCATCTAATTCTTTTTTTATCACTTGAAAAGACTGGTCTAGAAGATCCAGAACTGCTAATTAAAGAAGCTCTCTCCAAATCTCTTGCAGATGATGATTTCTCTTGTTCAGTAGGGAATATCAGCTTTTCAATAGCAAGTGATTAGTTTAAACCATTTCATTAAGTTTAATTAAATACAGCATAATAAAATTGAGAGAGAAAAAAATTACGAAGAGGACTTACTTCAGGATTATTTTCAAAATTTTCACAAGAATGTGGCATTTTTGCATTATTAGGCTCAGGAACCTGTAAAGGGCTCAAAGAAGTAGCAATTTCATACTCTAGTTGTTGTTGAAAATCTAAATAGGACTGGTTTGCAAAAAAAGGAGATGGTAGATGATCTAAATGACTCGCCGGAATGCTAGATGACATTTTAGCCTCCTCAAGGATTTGATGACCTAATTGAGATCCTCCATCCATGCCTGCTTTCCTGAATTTCACTTTTCACAGTCTCTTGCTCATCCAAAGCTGTTGAATATGTAAGCTATTATTGATATTTCCTGCTAAATAGTTCCCAAGAGATCAGCAGTTTAAATCCTGATAATCTACTTAAAGAATTTCCCCTTTTTTTTTTTAGTAGAATCAGAAGCTTTTAATTCCCTTCGAGCAGTTGAGCTTACAGCTTTTGGTTCTTCAAGACGAGTGTGCTTCCCACATTGAATTTGTATTTTCACTTTTACAATGATTGAGATCGCTTATCACTCCGATCATCACATTGTTGGTTTACTTCAAGAATTTCTAATGTACCAAAAAGGGAAAACACCACCTAGAAATGCTCATAGGGTAATCTGCAGAAATGAACTCATGTTTGGATCAACCAAAGAATTGTGACTGCATTTTCTGTATTTGGTGATAAAATGATGTGCTCAATTTTGTATGGGTAATAATTGAATGTCTTTTATATTATTTTTCTTTTAAATTTTTGGCTTTTTATATAAGAAAAACCTCAGTGAATTCTTTTTTGAGGGATTAAATAACTTTTCTACACACGTCAAAGAATGACAACATTATTATGTTGACACTGGAAAAGCATTGCATATCAAATTCTGAGGCAATCAAGCTCTGAACTTGCACAGTACTTGAAAAGGGACTACTTGAAAAATAAGCTGAACATGGTAAAGAATGACAAGTATTTGAAAAAAGGACTACTTGAAAAATAAGCTGAACATGGTAAAGAATGACAAGTATTTGAAAAAAGGACTACTTGAAAAATAAGCTGAACATGGTAAAGAATGACAAGTATTTGAAAAAAGGACTACTTGAAAAATAAGCTGAACATGGTAAAGAATGACAAGTATTTGAAAAAAGGACTACTTGAAAAATAAGCTGAACATGGTAAAGAATGACAAGTATTTGAAAAAAGGACTACTTGAAAAATAAGCTGAACATGGTAAAGAATGACAAGTATTTGAAAAAAGGACTACTTGAAAAATAAGCTGAACATGGTAAAGAATGACAAGTATTTGAAAAAAGGACTACTTGAAAAATAAGCTGAACATGGTAATGCAAACATTATATGTTGACACTGGAAAGCATTGCATTCAAATTCTGAGGCAATCAAGTCTGAACTTGCACAGTAACTTGAACAGGGACTACTTGAACAAATTAAGCATCGAACATGGTAAAGATGGACAACGTATGATTGAAAAGACTAAATTGAAAAATAAGCCTGAACATGGTAAGAACGACAACCAATTCTCTTCAAAACTCGTTAAATTTAAGCAATGGCAAGTGAATGACAGACATAAAAAACATGACAAGTTTTAATTCTCTTGAAAAATAAGCTGAACATGGTAAAGAACGACAACATTCTTCAAAACTCTAAATAAGCATGGCAAGGAATGACAACATAAAAAACATGACAAGTTTTAATTTCTATTCTTAAATTAAAAATAATAATTTTTTAGTCATAATTCAAAAATTACTTTTGATTATAATTAGTCCACTGACTGTTTAATCTTCAACTAATTTTAACATATTAACCAGCTGTGTATGGGAAAAATAATGAAAATGAGAAAAACAGGGAAGCATTCATTTGGCAAATTTTCACTTTGCTTCCTGTTGAGCATCTAATTATCACAAATCTAATACAAAAATTGTAGAAGTATTGAATTTTACAAGCAGATTAATCGATTGGAGATCAAAAATCTGGTGCTTGTAATGTATTTATGATCTTGAAAGTACATACAAAATTTATTTTTCTAACAAATAAAATTTTCAAAAACGTACAACTCTCAGAAATCACACTTCCTAGTTCTAAAGGGTATTTTGTATAATAACATCCACTTTTATATATTTACCTTTTTTTTTTCCTTCACAGATACATATCAAATGTAAATTGATTTGACCATCCAAGTAAATACAAAAAGCTTTTTTTTTTCTTTGCATATCAGCACATTCTTGTTCTTCTTGATTCTGCACTACTGAGAACTAGAGCTGCTGATATGATCAAATCAATCAAGAAAGTAAATGGAAATGATTATGGTACCACAATCTTGAAAGGTCTAGCTTATCTTGGATTTGAAGTGGGTACTATTAGAACCTTCTGCAATGGAAACCTCAAAATCGTCAAGACTGAATTCTGACTCATCCGGGGAGTTAGGATCTGAGTTCTGAGTATTGAAGAGAGTCTGATTTTTTCTTTGCTGTTGATCAAACATCCTCTGTAGCTGTCTTCCTTGTTCTTCAATGCGTAGTTGAAGGTTTTTTTGTATCTTCGAAAATAAAAAGTAAACAAATGAAGTTATGCATTAATGTAATCAAGGATTTCCTGATCATGTTCGGTTCACTCGGGAATTAGGAATGGAATGTAGTTCTTGGGATAGGGTTCCATTTTCATCCACAAAGAATTCAAAAATGATATTTTTTTTTTTAATTTTTGAATGACTTGAATTTCTGCTGAAATTTATTAATATAACTAAAAAGTTATATTTGATCATTTAAAACTAACTTGGGACAGGATTCTTTTGGATTCAGAAATCCATTTTGATTCCCATTTCATTGCCAAGAACTATGTAAGGATATATACAAGTATCCATAAGGTACAAATAAAGGAACAATGAACTATGTAAAGATGATAACTAGAATTCAAATTGAATAAATAGAGCATTTAGATGAAATAAGCAATAGACTGGTGAAAGATCCAATCGATATACCTCCAATTGTTCATGCAGACGCCTTTGAACATCTAATTGCAGTTGCAGTGCCTCTGTGATTTGCAAGCCACTGCTACACATGATTAAAAATTTGTTATAAAATTACTAGTCAAGTATTCGCATTACAATAAATAAGAATATATATATATATATAAATATATACATATGAATGCCAAATATTTCTTGAAATTGAAGTGGGAAGCATTATGAAGCTTACGTTCTTGCATCGATCTGTGGTACTTCATTTATGCTAGTTCTTTTCTCAGCCTTTCCTGCAGTCCAAAGGGTGTTTGAATTAGAGTTTCCTAGTAATTTTGCTAGAACAATTCTTCATTAAGGCATAAAAACAAACAATTACTGTACAACTACAAAACCAAGTAATTTAGCTCCTAATACATGTCTTTTGTAAACATATTACAGCCAAGCTTGAGTGTCATTAATCCCATTCAAAGGACTAAATAATCAAACGTTGCAGCTAAATTTTCATTACCATCACATAACCTACAAAAATTGGTTCTGATATTTAATAACATTTTGATATGATAATATTTTTATTCTGTGAGTTCAAGAATCAGAAATATGGAAATTGAAGATAATACAAAACAGTTACATATCACATCAAAGATTATTACCTTCTGAAGGATCTGGCAAGTACTTTGCAATTCTATATTTCTGTAAAACAAATAAGAATAACAAAAAGTCTAGAATTTAAAAACCAAGTAAAACTCAATACTGAAAATACACATGCATTTGAGTCGAACAATATTACTTGCAAATGACTTTTGACATGAAAGATAGTCAATCCATCTGTGTCCATAAGCTTTAGTATTGCCTTTGGCGTAGCTTCTGCAATTGTTCAACAATAAATAATTAAAAGGATGGATTTTTTTCAGGTACTTTTGCAATTCATAGAAGGCTCATATCTTAAAGTTACTTACTTTCAGCACCGCCAAGGCGATTTACACACTCTACAAACTTCTCATGAAGATCTTGAGTCCATCTTATCCTTGTTTTACTTGACAGCACAGCTCCAGTTGCCACAGGATTACGAGAAGTAAGTCTTGAAGATTGTATCTCTCGCTGCAAAGGAAACCCCATCTGTCCAAATGGAGAACTACATGGATTGCAGCCAATCTGCGCAGAAATAAGTGTATATATACAGCTTAAAGCCAGTAAAGACTAAGGCTTTCTTATACAGCTTAAAGCCAGTAAAGACTAAGGCTTTCTTTGGTATAAATGAATTTGAAGTATATAATTCATGTAAAAACAATAGAATTTGGCTTAGTTTAAACAGAGATTACGAGAAGTAAATTTGAAAATTGTACTCTCTCCTCTGCAAAGGAAACCCCATATGTCCAAATGGAGAACTACAATGGATGCAGCCACTGCGCAGAAATAAGTGGTATATATAACAGCTTAAAGCCAGTAAAAGACATAAGGCTTTAATTAACAGCTTAAAGCCAGTAAAGACTAAGGCTTTCTTTGGTATAAATGAATTTGAAGCTATATAATTCATGTGTAAAAACAATAAGAATTGGGCTTAGTCTTAAAGCCAGTAAAGACTAAGGCTTTCTTTGGTATAAATGAATTTGAAGTATATAATTCATGTAAAAACAATAGAATTTGGCTTAGTTTTATTGAATTTCATAAAATTGAATTCATGAAAATGAAATGAATGTTTCTGTTCATATCAAATAAAACATGGAATTGTAAATGAATATGAACTAAGAAAATAGATTCTAGAAGCTAAAAAGGGTATCTTGAGCAATTTCAATAATCGGGTTCGATATCCCTGGTATAGTAGATGCTCCCACAAAATTCTGTAAAATATATATTCATTTACAGAATTCTAACTAAACCAAATTCTATCATTTATATACCAATTACTATACTTTTGTTTTTCAAATTTGTTTATATTGAACTAGAGGCAACAACAATAGGAAGAACTGTTGAAAATACATACTCTATAATCCTGATCCCCATGAAAAGGAATAGAAAGGTGAATCGCAGCTCCATTATTTAACAGCTTATTTCTTTCAAGCTGATGCAGCTTATTTCCTGTGCTGCAAGGACCTTTATAGATTGACAGCAAGCTGTTTCTGGATTCCAGGCTATGATCAGATCGCTGCTCCATTGAACTGATAGGATAGTTCTGAACTAAAGAGTTCTGCGAAGTAAATTGTGAATCATAGGACTTGGAGTATGCACCAACTTGACAATCATACAGAGGAAAACCCATATATTTTTCTGTTGCATAAAAGGCTGAAGCTGGTGATTCGAAACGGCTCATAATGCTTGTTGATGACTTATCATGCCTAAAATCTTGATGTTGTTGCTGTTCTTCTTCCATGACTTGTGTCAGAATAGGAACTCCCATTTTCCAGTTCTGTTGACTGTCAAAACATTGCAAGGAGTTAAGAGCAAAATCACTTATTACTCCATGGTTTTGTTGAACCCTTTCTTGGAAATCAATCTTTGAAGTGTTCATTACAAAAATATGAGAGGGAGAGAGAGAAAAAAATGGCAAAAAAGTTTATTTTTCTATTGAATTCTCTCTGCCAATGCCAAAAAGTGTGTCAGATTTCATTCTACTGTGAATTACTTAAAGAGAAGAAGCCGCGGAAAATACACAAAAAAATCAGAAAAAAAAAATAAAATCAGAAAGAAAGGACACAGATTGTTTGGATAATCAACACCAATAATGTTGAATTCAAAAAATGGATGGCATAAAATTCTTTCTTATATTCCAAAAGACTTCATGTTCAAGCTATGAATATTTATATATTTGTATAGATGTTCACTGTGCTAATTGTTTGCCTTTTTCTTTTACTTATTCCTAATATGGATAGGAATGAACAAACAATGCTCTGTTGACATAACCAAAGCACAGACAGAAACAAATCACTTAAAAATAAACTAACATATTTCATGCAATTTTGTCCTTTGTATGGACAGAAATGATTGGAAAAAAGAATAATATGTTTTAATTTCAACTGCTAATATAAAAATTAAACTAATCTGAAATCCAAAGCCTTAAATATATATAATATATCAGTAAAAATCATTCTCCATTGTCACTGTTTTATCACCATCAGAAAATTAAATTGGAGAATAAGTGTTATGAGCATCTGTGACTATGGCATAGTAGATTATATGAGATACTGGCATAAATTCACAGAAAGAGATCTGCAATTATTCCATTTTACAGATACAGATAAAACCCACTTTAGCCACTCAACGAGATCATGTATACTGAACAAATTAATATATATATATATTCACATATGATTCTTTTTTCTCTTTTCTTCTCAGAATATAAAGATAAAAACTTCCCATTTCCTTCTACTTACAACTAAAAGATTGCACCTTTCAAAGTGGAGAATCTGAAATTACCAGAAAAGTTCTTGTACTATTATATTTTAATCCAAAAATGCAGTGGAAATGGAATTGTAACGGTCAGATTCTAAAACGTGCTCAAAGAATCAAATGCATATATACAAGTAACATAAACCAATTCCGTTCAGTCCACTACACACACTACATAGTATTCTTCTAAAGAACATTGCCACTATAGCTATGGGCAAAAACTACACACACTACATAGTATTCTTCTAAAGAACATTGCCACTATAGCTATGGGCAAAAATTACTGAAAAATAATTTCATTTCACTAAAATTTTCACATTCCAATTGGTTCGTTGAAAACAAATTAACATCAGTAGGTTGATTTACAAATTACTTTTTTTTTATTGCATACATGTTTTATGCTCGCCGCAGGTGGTACTGCGCCAAGGTTTACAATACAAACTACTTGAAAAAAGATATAAGTAATTTGGATAAAGTTTGTATTAATTATTCCTCTGTTATTCATCCTTGAAGTTCTTGCTTAATATGGTATTTTTGCTGTCACCTATCAGAATCCAGCTTATCTTTCTTGTTTGTTTCAAAAACTTTTTTACAGCCTTTGGCTTCTCTAAACTACTTAAAAAAACAAAAAAAGGAGAGAAATGGTAATCCAAGAAAATAAGGCGTGGCGTGCATTCTTTAACCAGAAATCAAGAAAGAGGAAATAAACAAAAATAAATAAATAAATTGTAAGCAGACAGAAGATTACCTGGCAAAAGCAATTTGAATAATTCCAGGGCCGAAAGATGTAATAATAGCCATTTGGTCTGTCATTGCTTGGGAATCTCCGACTGAATTTTCACTGTTTGATTGTGAGAATAGTGTTAATAAAATAGCCGATATACACACCCTTCACTCATCAGAGTCTAACTTAATCTCTAAAAGCCACTTCGGAGATGTGCACTAGACTATGCTTTAGTGTGCCTTAAGTAATTATTAATTAATTATGAATTTTGATATTCAGGATAACAATAATAACTATTTAATTTTTATATTTTTCTAAGAAAAGAAATTGAAATAGCTATTTTTTAGATTTTTTGATAAAAAAAATATCCAAATTCTCTCTTAAAAAGAAAATTTTTTTGTCTTATAAAAAAAAAAAAAAAGTTATAAAAAAAAAAAAAAAAAGAGTATGCGTAAAGCAATTTATTAACATTCTCATATCCGAAATGGTTTTAAACTTGAGCTTATACCCAACTTCACAGTGCACGTAGCTCTCTCTTTCAAATATTTCTCACTATTTTAAAGATATTAATATTTATAAAATTTTAAAAACACTGAAATAATATTTTTAAGATTATAATTTTTTAGTGACAATGTTTTTCAATGCTGATTTTTTTAATATACAGTAGTTTGATGGTGATATGAAAACTCGATACATCATTATCAAGAAAATGCTATCTTATTAAAAATTATGCCATAATATTCATATTTGAGGGCTCTAAATATTAATTCCTCTGTTTTTTTTTCTTAAAATTAAAAAAAAAAAAGAAATATCTTGATTCTTTTTTTAAATGCAGCATCCCTGGAGAAGAAAAAAAGAATAATTAAGTTTTCCCCCTCTTTTTTTTTTTTTTTTTTTTTTTTTTTTTTTTTTGGCAAATTAGTCAAAAAGTGCATGAACTTTGTCTTATTCCTTACATATACATAAATATGAATAAATAATAAATGGAGCAAGTTGAGAGTTGAGAACCATGTTCGATCCATCCATGTTTCTAGGAGATAAAAATGAAAAGGTATATATAATATAATAATTATCAATTAAATATAGAAACACTTTTACATTTATTTTTTATATATTATATATATATATAGGGAACAATTCTTTGCTTCCATCCAATCCTTCACCTACTTTTTAAATATGATATAAAAAATACATATCTTCTCATAATAATGTGAATTTTAGTTTTACGGGGAATATTTTGGACAGTGTAAAAAGATGCCTCACATTATTGGATTATGAAAACAATACTTTTTAAAATAGTATTTAGTATTATGATACTTTTATTATTGGATCATGAAATATCAGCTCGCGCTTAATGTTAAAAAAAAAAAAGTTGATAGCAACTATAATAGTTGACAACTATTAAAATTAGTATTGTCGAATAGGGTCTACGTCCTTGTTCAGCAATCTTAAGGTAGTTTACTATTTTTATTAGTTATAATACTTGGTAAAGTAATCTATAAAATGACTATTAGAGATTAAGAGAGCGTTTAATGAACATTATTTAACTTAATGTTTAGTGTGCCATAATAATTGATAAATATTTTTTTGACACTTATGTCTATTATCTTTTCACAAATTAATAAATCCACCTGTAATATAAATTAAATTGTTCCCTTTACTTTTTTTATCATTTTAAATTTAACAACTAATTAAGTAATTCACTTATGTAATTAAGTAACAACTAATAACTAATGGATATTAAAATAATTAACAGTTATTAAAACAATTAATACGAGGATTAAGTTATTAGCATATGCATTGAGTTGAGAGGGGAAGCTTGCAAATTACAGAACTTATGTTGTTAAGCATTAATGAAGAATATATATATATATATATATATGCAAAATGACAAAATTTTATATATTGGATTCATCGGATAATTCACATTCAGCTGCCTATCGATACACTTAAAATCCATGTTATAAGAAAAATCAACAAGGAATATGGTTTTTTTTTTTTTTTTTTTAACAGGAATATGGTTTTTTTTTTTTTTTTTTTTTTTAAGCTGCTTAGAACCATATATATACTTATTTTTAGCAATTTTATTATATAAAAAATAAATAAATAAAAATAACAGCTATTGTTTCTTGAAATATGTAGACATTTAAAAAATTCTGATTCTCCAAGCCATTCGTACAGCTAGAGGTTGAGGTGAAAATGACAGTATTGAAACAAGGAAAACCCTTTCAGTGTTTGATTGGTTCATATTAATTATTAGATAACAAACAGATAAGCATGATTATGTTTGGATTAGTCATATGGCATTGCTAATGGAGAAGATAATAGTTAATTATGATATAATTAATAATTAATAATTAATAAACAAAAGGCATGACTGCTGGCTGCCTCTTGTTTGGAAATCACTACAAAATTGACTCTTTAAGGAATCAAAGGGACATTTCATCCAAGCCTTTCATTTCCTGGGCTAACTCATTTTTTGTTTTTTTTTTTTTTTTAAAGATATTAATTATTAGTAGTAGGGGTCCAAACTTGGGTCGGACCATGTTCAAATTAAGTTTCAACCCATTTTGAAATTAGTTGAAATATCTTGTTAATCCAATATGATTTTTTTTTTAAATGTAACTCATTTATAATAATATGCTTTCATTATCCTCTCATAAAATTAAAATTGTAACATCCCTTCCCGGTCCACCCGTAAACCCGAATAAACCGAGTCGAGACGCTACAAACTGATTGACTTTATGACTTGACATGCTGAAGTCATAATGTATATTGAATATAATAGCATGCTGATACTGTATACAAAAATAATGTAATTTATATTTACAAAACATGATACTATAATTTACAAAACATGATACTAGTGTCAAATGAAATGGGCCCAAACTGCTGTGCCCTGTACCATGCCTGAAAAGGATACTACACATCCGTACGAGTAGCTACCCTGAAGACTGAGTCCCTTTACAGATGAACTGCAGCAAGTTGTAAGCTGACTCTCTACTGTCCAATCTCAAAACCTCGAGTTTAAAACAAGGTAACTCGCTGAGCAAAGAAAGCTCAGTGGATAATCTCCAGATAAAGAAACATTAAACACATACATGTAAGAAACAATTTAGCACATACATGTGTAGAAAGAACCATGTAAACACATATGGCACATATAAGCACACATGTCATGATACCTTCATTATACCTTGATGATCTTTATAATACTGTAGGATTCATGCCATGTTATGTCAAGATATTAGTATGGCTCCATAAGGTTATAGTGAAACCGAAGTGATAAGGAAAAACTATATGAAACTGGATGAATACTGTATGATTGGCTGCTATGGCCCATATATAATCATATCCACTCAACGGCTTGTAGCCGGAGTATCGAACTGTATGGGGTGCAGATCTGCTATCCTATGTCACGACAGCGACATAGCCTATCTTACATGGTTTCTACCTAACCTCAATGGAGCATAATGTTTGGTATGTTCAATAATATAAACACAAATATAACACAACATCATATTCATAGTTCATAAATCATAATGTTTATTTGATTTCACATCATTTGTATGCTTGCATGATGTTTTGATACATGGTCTCATGTTGTATTTTGATGTTAAAGTGATTGGAGGCATATAAGTGAAGCAAGGAATACAATTGCATTGAAAAAGAAATCCAAAAGTGCGTGAAAACATAAGTCGTGAGCGCGCCTTGCAAGGTCGCGAGCGCGTACTTGAAAGTCGCGAGCGCGTACTCCAAAAAGCTTGAGTTCTTCTTTAGCTTCTTCTCTCTACAATCTTAGAACTCCCTTCACCTATAAATTAGAATCCTTATGAATTCTAAAATAATAACACCAAATGATTCAATTATGAACTTAAAGAAGGTTTACTTACTTGGATAG